TCCCATTTCTGAACTGTTTTTCCCCATTTCTGAGCCGTTTTCCCCCATTTCTGAGCCCGTTTTTCCCGTTTTTCCCTGTTTCTGAGCCGTTTTTCCCTGTTTCCCAGCCAACTACTCGATCCCGGAGAAGAACGAGTACGTGGACGAGGTTCTGTTCGGGGAGCTGGGCCGGGACGAGGCGGCGCCGCTGGTTCTGCGCTGGAAGGAGGAGGCGCGGAAGCAGCTGCCGCCCTCGGAGAAACGCGGCAACCGCCGCAACAACCGCAACAAGCGCAACCGGCAGAACCGCAACCGCGGCCAGGGCTACGGTCAGGAACGGGGAAAATGGGAAAAAATGGGGTTAAAGTGGGACAAAACGGGGTAAAAATGGGACAAAACGGGGTAAAAATGGGACAAAACGGGGTAAAAATGGGATAAAATGGGGTAAAAATGGGATAAAATGGGGTAAAAATGGGATAAAACGGGGTAAAAATGGGAGCTGGCAACCGCCGCAACAAGCGCAACCGGCAGAACCGCAACCGTGGCCAGGGCTATGGTCAGGAACGAGGAAAATGGGAAAAAATAGGGTTAAAATGGAAAAAAATGGGGTAAAAATGGGATACAATGGGGTAAAAATGGGAGCTGGCAACCGCCGCAACAAGGGCAGCCAGCAGAACTGCAACCGTGGCCAGGGCTACGGTCAGGAACGGGGAAAACGGGAAAAAAATAGGGTAAAGTGGGAAAAAACAGGGTAAAAATGGGATAAAATGGGGTAAAAATGGGATAAAACGGGGTAAAAATGGGATAGAATGGGGTTAAAATGGGATAGAATGGGGTTAAAATGGGATAAAATGGGGTAAAAATGGGATAAAACGGGGTAAAAATGGGAGCTGGCAACCGCCGCAACAAGGGCAACCGGCAGAACTGCAACCGTGGCCAGGGCTACGGTCAGGAACGGGGAAAATGGGAAAAAATTGAGAAAAAACTGCGTTGGGCTGGATTTGAGGGGTTTGGGCTGGATTTGAGTGATTTGGGCCAAAATTGGGCTGGATTTGAGGGGTTTGGGGTGGGATTTGAGCTGGATTTAAGGGGTTTGGGCTGGATTTGAGGGTTTGGAGTGGTATCCATGCGGGATTTGGGGATGGTTCCCGTTCCTGCTCTGACCCGTTCCCATTCCCGTTCCCGTTCCCGTTGGCTCTGCAGTCGGGGGGCAGCGCCGGGGCTACGACAGCCGCGTCTACGGGGGCCAGCAGCAGCCGCAGTACTGGGGCCAGCCCGGCAACCGTGGGGTGAGCGCTTCCAGAACATTCCGGGGCTTTCCAGAGCCTTCCGGGGCTTTCCTGCATTCCTGGGGGCCTTCCGGCTGTGTTGGGGCAGCTTTGGGGCGGTTTTGGGCATTTTTGGTGCATTTCCAGCCCTCCTGGGGCACTTCTGGGCCAGGCTGGGGTGGTTTTGGGGCATTTCCAGGTCATTTTTGGGTCACTTTGGGGGCATTTCTAGCATTTCCAGGAAAATTAACATTTTTACCATCCTTTCCTGTTTTGTCCTTGTCTGAACTGGTTTGTACTGGTTGTAAGTGGTTCTAACTGGTTGTAACTGGTTCTAACCGGTCTCCCTTGCCCCCAGGGCTACCGGAACTTCTACGAGCGCTACCGGGGCTACGACGATCGGTTCTACGGCCGCGACTACGACTACAACAGATACCGCGACTACTACCGGCAGTACAACCGCGAGGTGGGGCTCGAGCTGGCTTAAACTGGGTTAAACTGGGATCTACACCGGGCTTAAACTGGGATCTACACCGGGCTTAAACTGGGATTTGTACCAGGGTTAAACTGGGGTTACACTGGGGTCACTACAACAGATACCGCGACTACTACTGGCAGTGCAACCGTGAGGTGGGGCTTAAACTGGGTTAAACCAGACTTAAACTAGAGCTATACTGGGATCTACACCGGGGTTAAACTGGGATTTACTCTGGGATTGAACTGGGTTTTAACTGGGATTTACTCTGGGGTTAAACTGGGTTTAAACTGGGATTTACTCTGGGGTTAAACTGGGATTTACTCTGGCCTTAAACCGGGGCTATACTGGGATCTACAACAAGATTAAACTGGGATTTACTCTGGGATTAAACTGGGTTTAAACTGGGATTTATTCTGGCCTTAAACCGGGTTTAAACTGGGTTAAACTGGGTTTAAACTGGGATTTACTCTGGGTTTAAACTGGGGCTATACTGGGATCTACACCAAGGTTAAACTGGGATTTATATCAGGGTTAAACTGGGATTTGTACCAGGGTTAAACTGGGATTTACCCCAGGGCTACTCCAGGTTGTAAACCCCAGAAATGCCCATGGAACTGGGGCAGTTCCGGGGTGAAATGTGGGGATTTTTGGGGTGAAATGTGGGGATTTTTGGGGTGAAATGTGGGGATTCTTGGGTTGAAATGTCAGGATTTTTGGACTGAAATTTGGGAATTATTGGGATAAAATTCAGGGATTTTTGGGCTGAAATTCGGGGATTTTTGGGGTGAAATTCAGGGATTCTTGGGTTGAAATTTGGGGATTTTTGGGACAAAATTCAGGGATTTTTGGGGGGGTGTTTTTTGGTGGGGTTCCCTCCCAGTTGCTCCCAGTTTAACCCAGTTCCCCCCCCCCACCCCAGTGGCAGAACTACTACCAGGACAGAGACCGGTACTACAGGAACTACTACGGCTACCAGGGCTACCGGTGAACCCCGGCCCATCCCAAAAAATCCCGAAAATTTTGGGGAGGTGGGGGTGGGGCAAGGGTGGGGGGAGGGGAAATTAAACAAAAAAATAAAAAAAAAAAGGGGGGGGAGAAAAAAAAACAGGGAGGAGGGAGGGGCTGGAAAAAACGGGGGGAGGGGGAGGGGAGGGGAAGAGAGGAAAAGAAAGGGGGGGAAATGGTAAAAAAAAGGCAAAAAAAAAGATGGAAAATGTAAATCTTTTTTTTAAAGTTTGTTGAAAGAATTTTGTTGTAATTGTATAAAAAAAAAATCAGAGGGAAAATGGAAAAAAAAAAATCCCAGGTTTTGGTGGCAGGGGAGGGGCGGAGGAGGCGAATTTGGGGGGAAAAAAGGGAAAATTTCCCTTCCTGAAGGGGTGGGGATGGGGTTTTGGGGGGAATAAAGGGGAAAAGGGGCAAAAAGTTCCCCCCAAATCTTCCCCTCCCCCCTGCCCCCCCGCATTTCCCTGGAAATCTCTGGGAAAGTTTTGGGGTATTTTGGTGGAATTTGGTGAATTTTGGGGGATTTTGGGGCCATTCCCAGGGAAAAGAGGGGGGTTGGGCCCCCTCCTCCCTCAGGGGGGTGTTAATGAGGGGGTTTTCATTAATTAAGAATTATTTTTAACAGGGGCCGGTCATTGATTGGGTTCCCTGCTTTAATCTGTTAATTATTGCTAATTATTTCATTAATGGCTCTTTAATTAACCGAGGATCTCCATTAATTAATGGGGCTCTTTGTTAATTAACGGAGCCCCTAAAATTTTTTTTCCTTTAATTTTGGGGATTTTTTAGGGTTAATTTTTGCGGCGTTTTTGGGTTTTTTTTAGTATTTTGTTTTAAATTTTTTTTTCTGTTTTAATTTTTTTCCTTTGGGTTTTTTCCCCCCCTTTTTTCTTTGGCATTTTGGGGATTTTTTTCCTCCCTCCTCCCCTTCCCCCACCTCTCTTTCCCCCACCCTCTAAAAAAAAAACAACCCAAATTTGGGATTTTTGGGGTGGGGGGAGGGGGTGGCGCTTTCGGGGCTTTTTTCAAATAAAACAAAAACACAAAAAAAAAAAACAACATAAAAAAAACCCCAAACCAACCCCAAAAATCTGTGAAAAAATCACTTTTTTTTTTTGTTTGTTTGTTTTTGTTTTTTTCCCCTGGGTTTTGGGGATCCCTCCCTGCCCCTCCCCCCGCCGGGTTTCACCCCCTTCCTCCCCTCTCTGCTCCGTTCCGTTCATGGGGGTCAAAAATGAAAAAAAATTCCCCAAATTTCCCCCCAAGGTGAGGGAGGGGAGGCCTCGACCCCTCCCCTCCCCACCCCCCCCTCCCAGGCCGTGTCGGTTTTTGTCCCTTTTTAGAAATAAAGAAAATTCGCTTGAGCCCAGGGCAGCCTCGGGTGCTGTTTTTGGGTTCAAACTGGGTTTAAAAGGGGTTTGGGGGGTTAAAACTGGGCTGGGGGGATTAAGACTCGGTTTAAAACTGGGTTGGGGGGGGTTAAACTGGATTTAAAAGGGGTTTGGGGGGGGGGGGGTTAAACCCAATCTGTGGGGTTTAAAACTGGGTTTAAAAATGGGGTTAAACCTACCCGGCTTTGGGTTTAAACCAGGCTGGCTTTGGGGTTTTTCCAGCCTGAGCTTAGGCCTGGGCCTGCTTTTATCCTTTAAAAATATTTAAATAAATGAAATCATTGAAAAATATTTAATTAATTGAAATAATTGAAAAAGATTTAATTAAAAAGATTTAATTGATTTATTTTCCCTTCCTGCGCAGGCCGGGCCTGCTCTGAGGCCTCAGGCCTGCTCTGGGTTGCCATGGCAACGGGCGGGCTGTTGGCGCCGCCATCTTGGCTGTGGGCGCCGCCATTTTGGGTGCTGGGAGGCGCCATTCTGGATTTGGGCGCCGCCATTTTGGGTACTGGGAGGCGCCATCTTGGGGCAGCCGGGGGTGTGGTGCGCATGCGCGGATGTCATGGAGGCGCCCATGGGAAGGTGTGGGCGCCACCATATTGGGTGTGATCCCCTTTTTCATTTTCCTCTTCCTCCTCATTTCTTCCTCCTCTTCCCCATTTTTCTTCCCCCTTCTCCTCCTTCCTCTTCCTCCCTTTCCTCCTTTTCCTCCTCCCCCAACCCCAAATTCCAATCTTTCCCCCCCCCCCACCCCATCCAAAATTCCCCTCCCCACCCACCTTAATTTTGGGGAACCCCCTTCCCCACCCCAAATTTTCACCTTCCTCCCCCTCAAATCCCTTTTTTTTGGGGGATCCCCAAAAAAGTCCCAGCCCCGTCTGTGCCGCCAAGTGTTTATTTGGGGAGTGGGTGGGGGACACCCCAAAATTTGGGGAACCCCCCCTTTATCCCCCCCTGGGGGTCCCTTAGAGCCGCAATTGGGGTGAGGGAGGCAGACCCCTGAAGTTTGGGGTGGGGGAGGTGAGAGATAACCTTTTGGGCGTGTCCTAAAATTTTGGGGGCGTCCCCATTTTGAGGTGGAGAGTGATGGGGGAGGGGGAATTTTGGGGTGATTTTTGGGGGGCATTTCCAGAACCTTCCCTGAGTCCATCCTTTGAAGCCTTTTGGGGTGGGGGAACCCCCAAAATGCCCCCAAAACCCACCCGAAACCCCCCAAATTTTGAGCTGGGACCACCCCAGCGCTTTTTTAAGGGGTCCCGAATTTAGGGGGGAGGTACCAGCTGTGGGGTGGACCCCAAAACTCCCAAATTACCCCCACCCTCCCCCTCATTTCTGCCTCATTTTTGGGGTGAAATCGGCCCGAAATTTTACGGAGGTGGCCCGAAATGTGAGGGGGGGAACTCATAATTTTTGGGGATGTCCCCCAGGATTTTGGGGGGCTCAGAGGAGGGCGCAGAAGAATTTCTTCTCGCGGAAGGGGTTCTCAGATGTGGGCACGGGCGTGAGTAGCGGGTCCTCGCAGGCGTGAGCCTCGCAGTAGCTCAGCAGCTCCGCCGCAGCCTTGGACACCTGCGAGGGGAGAAACGGGATGGGGGACCCCAAAAATACACCTGGGAACCCCAAAATTTACCTGGAAACCTCAATAATTCATCTGGAAACACAAAAATCCACCTGGAAACCCCCAAAACCACCTGGAAATCTCAAAAATCACATCTGGAAACCCCAAAACCACCTGGAAACCCCAAAAATTTATCTGGAAACCCCCAAAACAACATCTGGAACATCTAAAATACACCTGGAAACCTAAAAACCACATCTGGAGACCCCAAAAATAACATCTGGGAACCTCAAAAAACCACCTGGAAATCCCAGGAATTCATCTGGAAACCCCAAAAATTCACCTGGAAACCTCAAAACTCACATCTGGAACCCCGAAACCATCTGGAAACCCCAAAAATCACATCTTTTCCCAATTTTTCCCCTACCTGCCTCCTTTTCCCCCATTTTTTCCCATTTCCCCCCCATTTTTTCTCATTTTCCCCCTTTTCCCCCATTTTTTCACCTTTTCCCCTCATTTTTTCACATTTTTCCCTCATTTTTTCAAGTTCCCCCCCTTTTTTCCCCCATTTTCCCCCATTTCTCCCCATTTATTCCCATTTTCCCCCTTTTTCACAGTTTTTCCCTGTTCTTTTTTTTCCCCATTTCCTCCCCATTTCTTCCCCTTTTTCCCCCCATTTCCCCCCATTTTTTCCCATTTCCCCCCCTAATTTTTTCATGTTTCCCCCCCACTTTTTCCTGTTTCCCCCCGTTTTTCCCCCAGACCTTGACCCGGCACAGGCTGGCCTCGATCTTCAGCTGCTCCACCATTTTCCGGGCCTGGCCCACGCTCAGGGTGCTGCTGGGGGGGGGCTCGCCCTTCATAGGGGGGGCTGTGGGGGCACCCCCAAATTTGGGAACCCCCCCCAAAAAAAAATCCCTCCAAAAAAATACAAAATCCCCAAAGAAATCCCACCCAAAAAAAAAAAAAAACCTGAAAAAATCCCTCATAAATGTGGTATTTCCCCTCTAAAAAATAAAAATAATAATAAAAAATTCTTCCCCACAATCCCAAATTATCCCCTCGGACCAAAATTTGGGATCCTCCCCAAAAAATCCCAAACACCACCCCCCCCCCCAAAAAAAAAAAATTTCAAAATGAACCTGAAAAAAATTTAAAAACCCACAAAAAAAGAAAATACTGAAAAAACCCCAAATCCCCAATGCAAACGGCATTTCCACCCCAAATCCTCCTGGAAAAATCCCAAATTTCCCCCAAATCCATGACCCCCCCCCGCAAAATTATTCCCAAATTCACGCTCCCCACCCCAAATTTCCACCCCCAATTCTTCCCCCCCCAAATTCCCTCCTCCGCCCCCAAATCCCCAAATTTCAGCCCCCACACCCCAAATTTCACTGCAAATGCCCTCCCCCCCAAAATTTTTTGGGGTTTTCACCCCCTCCCTCCCTCAAGTCCCCTCCCCCCCCCCAGGACCCCCCAATCCCCCCGCCCCTCCCCCACCTGTGCAGGACCCGCGGCCGCTCCGGTCCCGGCGATGCTCGGAGGGGGAGGGGCTTGGGGGGTGGGGGAGGGGCGGGGGCCACGCCCTTGCCCCTCCCCCCCCCTTTTATACCCCCCCTTCCTTCCCCCAAATTTTAGGGGCGCCTCAAAACCCCGCCCCCTCCCCCCCTTCCCTCTTTAGAATGGGGAGGGGTCTCAGGTGGGGGAGCGGCGGATTTTAGAGACCCCCCCCAACCATTTTGACCCCTCTCCCCCCAACCCCAAACCCTTCCGCCCCCCCAGATCCGCCAAAATTCCCCCAAAATCCCCCCCAGGACCCCCCAAAACCCCTCATGGCTCCCCCAAACCCCATAAAACCCCCCCAGACCACGCCCATCCCCTCGGGACCCCCCTAAAGCTCCCTCAGGAACACTCGGTGCCCTCAGGGAGGCCCACCAGACTCCTGAGGATCGAAAAATGTCACAAAATGCCCCAAAAGTGCCCAAAATTCCCCAAAACCCCCCGTTGCCATGGAAACGGGGCGGGGCCCGGCGGGGCCGCAATGGGCGGGGCTGAGGGCGGGGCCAGCACGGGAGGGCCCGCAGTGGGCGGAGCTAACGGAGCTCTGTTTAATATGCAAAAGGGCGGGGTTACAGTTAGAATCGACCAATGGAATGCAGCGTGGGCGGGGCTTGGACCCGGAAGCGGCTGGGCCGGGGGCGGGGCCAGGGCGTGGCGGGAAGCGGGAGGCGCCGGCGTTCGGTAAGGGCGCGGGAGCGAAAAAAAAACTCCAAAATTGCCCCAAAAATCCGCCCCCAAACCCCGGAAATCGCCCTCAAAACCTCTGGAATCGCATCCGGGACCCTCGAAAACCCCCGGGGTACCGGAAATCCGAAAAAATTCCCTCAGAAACTCTTCGGGAATGGCGGAAATTCTCCCCGCAAGCCCAAAATTGGCCCCAAAATCCGCAAAATTGGCCCCAAAATCCTCCCTACATCCCCAAAATCTTCCCCAGATCCCCTCCAGGACCCCTTAAATCCCCTTCTTTCCCCGGATATTCCCCAAAATCGCCCTAAAATGCCCCAAAAATCTCCCGGAGTCCCCCAAAACTTTCCCAAAATCTCCTGAAACCCCCCAAAAAATCTCCTGAAATTCCCAAAAATCTCCTGAAATTCCCCAAATATCCTCAAATCCCCTCAAAATCTCCTGAAACCCCCCAAAAAAATCTCCCAAAATCCCGAAAAAATCTCCCGAAATCCCAAAAAAACTCCCGAATTCCCGAAAAATCTCCGAAAATCCCGAAAAATCTCCCAAAATCCCAAAAATCCTCCCTGGGACCCCAACCCCTGGAGTTCCCCCGAGTGTCGGGACTGGGGAGGGGAAATTTGGGAATTCCGCCCCAATTTTGGGGTGGGGCCGCCCCTCCCCCCCTTCACCTCTATCCCGAATTCCGAATTTTGGGCTCAGGGAGGGAATTTGGAGTTTTCCCCTCGGATTTTGGGAATGGGGATGGAAATTTTGGGATGGGAATTTTAGGGTTGGGAATTTTCGGTTGGAAATTTGTAGGAAGGGGATTTTTGGGGTTCCCCCACGCATTTTGGGATGGGAATTTTGGGGTCGGGGCCCGGAATTTTGGGATGGGAATTTTGGAGTTGGGAATTTTTAGGGAGGGAATTTTGGGGAGGGAATTTTTGGGGAAGGAATTTTATGGAGGGAATTTTGGGGTTCCCCCACAGAATTTGGGAATGGTGGGAGGGGATTTTGGGGAGGGAATTTTGGGGTTGGGTTGGAATTTTTAGGGAAGAAATTTTTGGGCAAGGAAGTTTTGGGTCAGGAATTTTCAGGGTGGAAATTCTGGTGTTGGAATTTTTAGGGAGAGAATTTTGGGGAGGGAATTTTTAGGGAGGGAACTTTGGGATTCCCCCACAGATTTTGGGGTGGGAGAAGGGATTTTAGGTGGGGCCTGAAATTTTTGGGGAAGGAATCTTGGGATTCCCTCAGAGATTTCGGGGTGGGGGAGGGGACTTTTAGAAAGGGAATTTTGGGATTCCCCCACGGGATTTTGGGGTGGGGGAGGGGATTTTGGGGAAGGAATTTTGGGGCTGGACCTGGAATTTTTGGGGAAGGAATTTTGGGGTTCTCACACGGATTTTAGTTAGTGGGGGGGGGGATGGGAATTTTGGGACCCGGAATTTTGAGGAAGGAACTTTTAGGAAGGGAACTTTGGGATTTCCCCCACAGATTTTGGGGTGGGGGAGAGGATTTTGGGGAGGGAATTTTAGGAGCGTTGACCTGGAATTTTTGGGGAAGGAATTTTTGGGGAAGGAATCTTGGGGTTCTCCCACAGATTTCAGTTGGGGGGTGGGGGTGGTGTCGTGGAATTTTGGGATGGGAATTTCGGGACCTGGAATTTTGGGGAAGGGACTTTTAGGAAGGGAAATTTGGAATTCCCCCACAAATTTTGGGGTGGGGGAAGGGATTTTGGGGAAGGAATTTTGGGAGCGTGGACCTGGAATTTTTGGGGAAGGAATTTCGGGTTTCTCCCACGGATTTCGGCAATGGGGCTGGAATTTCGGGGAGGGAATTTTGGGGTTCCCCCACGGATTTTGGGGTGAGGGAGGGGATTTTGGGGAAGGAATTTTGGGGCTGGACCTGGAATTTTTGGGGAAGGAATTTTGGGGTTCCCGCACAGATTTTAGTTAGGGGGGGGGATGGGAATTTTGGGACCCGGAATTTGGAGGAAGGAACTTTTAGGAAAAGAACTTTTCGGAAGGGAATTTTGGAGTTCCCCCACAGATTTTAGTTGGGGGGGTGGGGGTGGTGTCACGGAATTTTGGGATGGGAATTTTGGGACCCGGAATTTTGGGGAAGGAACTTTTAGGAAGGGAACTTTGTGATTTCCCCCACAGATTTTGGGGTGGGGGAGAGTATTTTGGGGAGGGAATTTCGGGGTTCTCCCACGGATTTTGGCAATGGGGCTGGAATTTCGGGGAGGGAATTTTGGGGTTCCCCCACGGATTTTAGTTAGGCGGGGGGATGGGAATTTTGGGACCCGGAATTTTGAGGAAGGAACTTTTAGGAAATGAACTTTTCGGAAGGGAATTTTGGGCTTCCCCCACAGATTTTGTTGTGGGGGGAGGGGGGAAATCCCGGAATTTTGGTGCGTATCCCGAAATTCCTGAATTTCCCTGGAGGGCAGGGGTGGAGAGGAACCCTCCCCCTGCCCTCCCCTCCCCCCTGACCTCTCCCCTGCCCTCCCCCCTCTCTCCGCAGCTCCTCCCCGCCCATGGGGCTCCCCTCCCCCCCTCTGCCATGGCTCCTGGGGGGCTCCCGCCGCCCCCGCTGCTGCTCTGGGGGGCTCAGCTGGGGCGGGGGGCGCGGCGGGCGCTGCTGCGGGGGGCGCTGGGGCTGAGCCTGGCGCTGCTGCTGCTCTGGGCCGCGCTCTTCCTCTACGGCTCCTTCTACTGGGCCTACCTGCCCGCGGCCGCGCTGCTGCGCCCGCTGCACCTGGCCTTCAGGTAAAGGGGTTTGGGGGGTTTTGGGGGGTTTTTTGGGGAGTTTGGGGGGCGTTCAGGGGCTCTGTACCTGCCCGCTGCTGTGCCCGCTGCACCTGGCCTTCAGGTAAAGGGCTTTTGGGGGTTTTTGGGGGTTTTTGGGGGGTTTTTGGGGGGGGTTTGGGGGGCGTTCAGGGGCTCTGTACCTGCCCGCTGCTGCGCCTGGCCTTCAGGTAAAGGGGTTTGGGGGGTTTTTGGGGGTTTTTTGGGGAGTTTGGGGGGCGTTCAGGGGCTCTGTACCTGCCCGCGGCCGCGCTGCTGCGCCTGCTGCGCCTGGCCTTCGGGTAAAGGGTTTTTGGGGGTTTTTGGGGGGTTTGGGGGGGGGTTTGGGGGGCGTTCAGGGGCTCTGTACCTGCCCGCTGCACCTGGCCTTCAGGTAAAGGGCTTTTGGGGGGTTTTTGGGGGGTTTGGGGAATTCAGGTGTGGCCAGGTGGGGTTTTGGGGGGGTTTGTGGGATTCAGGTGTGGCCAGGTGGGGTTTTGGGGGGGTTTGTGGGAGTTCAGGTGTGGCCAGGTGGGGTTTGGGGAGGTTCAGGTGATGCTGGGAGGGGTTTTGGAGGAGTTTTGTGGGGGTTAATGTGTGCCCAGGTGTGTTCAGGTGGGGTTTAGGGGATTTTGAGGGGGTTTTGGGGGGTTCAGGTGTGGCCAGGAGGGGTTTTTGGAGGGTTTTGGAGGAATTTCGGGAGGTTTGAGGGAGTTCAGGTGTGGCCAGGTGGGGTTTTGGAGGAGTTTTGGGAGCTTCAGGTGTGCCCAGGTGTGTTCAGGTGAAGAAAATCTGGGGTGAGTGACCCTAAAATAACCCTTAAAAGAAATACCCAAAAAAACCCCCAAAAACCAAAAAACCCACTTTAAAAAAAAAAATTTAAAAGTCCCAAAAATGCCCAGTGGGTTTCCCTGTGCACACCTGGGCCAGGTGAGGGGGTGAGGGTTGGGGTGGGGGGGTTTGGGGCTGGTTTGGGGGAGTTTTGGGGTGGTTTTGGGGTGGTTTTGAACCGGATTCGACTGCCCTCACCCCAATTTTGGCCCCCCAGGTCGGACTGTGACAGCCCCGGGCCCGAGCTCTGCTCCTTCCCCTCGGCCAACGTCTCCCTGCTGGGGGAGCACCGTGAGAAGGTTCCGGAAAACCCCAAATTTGGGGGGTTCGGGGCTTGGGGGGGGGGTGGGAACGACCTTAAAAACGGGGAGGGGGGGGTTGGGGTTAGAAAATCCCAAAAATGTGGGGTCTAAATGTCCTGAAAATGTCCCAAAAATGTGGGGCCAAAATGTCAGTTATGCTCAGGTGTATCCCAGGTGTACCAGGTGTACCCAGGTGTATCCCAGGTGTACCAGGTGTACCCAGGAGTATCTCAGATGTACCAGGTGTATCCCAGGTGTACCCAGGAGTATCCCAGGTGTATCCCAGGTGTACCTGCCCCAGGTGCTGCTCTACGGCCAGGTGTACCGGATCTCGCTGGAGCTGGAGCTGCCGGAGTCGCCGGTGAACCGCGAGCTCGGGATGTTCATGGTGACCCTGACCTGCTACGGCCACGGCGGCCGGACGCTGGCCACGGCCTCGCGCTCGGTACTGGGACTGGGAGGGACTGGGATGGACTGGGAGGGACTGGGATGGAATGGGAGGGACTGGGAGGACTGGGGATGGGGACTGGGGGGACTGGGAGGGACTGGGGGGACTGGGGGGGACTGGGATGGAATGGGAGGGACTGGGGGGGACTGGGAGGGGGAACAGGAACAGGGAACAGGGTGGCCCCTGGCCATGTGGGGTGGATTTGGGGTCTCTGGGATGGATTTGGGGTGGGATTTGGGGTGAATTTGTGGGATTTTGGTCCCCCAGGCCATGCTGCACTACCGCTCCCGCCTGCTCCGGGCTCTCCACACCGTGGCCTTCTCCGGCCTCTTCCTCAGCGGCTTCGCCGAGCAGAGCCAGACCCTGGAGCTGGAGCTGATGGCGCGCTACCGCGAGGACCCCGTGCGCTGGGGGGGTTTGGGGGTTCCTGGGGGGGATTTGGGCGGTCCTGGGGGAATTTGGGGGGTCTCAGGGGCATTTGGAGGGTCCTGGGGGGGATTCGGGAGGATTTGAGGGATTTTTTGGGGGTCCCATGGGGATTTTGAGAGGTCCCATGGGGATTTGGGGGGTCCTGGGGGGGATTTGGGGCATCTCGGGGAGATTTGGGGGGATTTTGGGGGGTCTTGGGTGGGGATTCGGGAGGATTTGAGGGATTTTTGGGGGTTCCATGGGGATTTTGAGAGGTCCCATGGGGATTTGGGGGGGTCCTGAGGGGAATTTGGGGGGTCTCAGGGGGATTTGGGGGCTCTCAGAGGGGATTTGGGGGGTCCTGGGGGGGATTTGGGGGGTCTCGGGGGAATTTGGGGGCTCTCGGGGGAGGTTGGGGGGTCCTGGGGGGGGATTTGGGGCATCTCAGGAGAGATTTGGGGGGTCTTGGGTGGGGATTCGGGAGGATTTGAGGGATTTTTTTGGGGGTCCCATGGGGATTTTGAGAGGTCCCATGGGGATTTTGGGGGGTCCTGGGGGGAATTTGGGGGGATTTTGGGGGGTCCTGGGAGGGATTTGGGGCTTTTGGGGAGGATATGGGGGGTCCCGGGGGGATTTGGGGGGGGGTCCAATGAGGAATTTGAGGGTTGGGGGTGATTTTGAGGAGTCCTGGAGGGGATTTGGGGGGTGGTTCGGGGTTCCTGGGGGGGGTCTGGGGGATATTTTGAGGGCCCCAGGTTGATTTGGGGGCTGTTTCGGGGGATATTTTAGGGGTCCCAGGGTGTTCTGGGGGATATTTTGGGGGTCCCAGGGTGTTTTGGGGGGTATTTTGGGGGTCCCAGGGTGTTTTGGGGGGTATTTTGGGGGTCCCAGGCTGTTTTGGGGGGTATTTTGGGGGTCTGGGGGCTGTTTTTGTGGGTTCTGGGGTTGTTTTTGGGGTCCCTGACCCCTGTGCCCCCCAGTACACGCCGACCGTGGGGGCGCTGGTGGAGATCCGCAGCCGGCGGGTGCAGCTCTACGGGGCGCGGCTGCGCGTGCACGCGCACTTCAGCGGCCTCAGGTGGGCCTAAACCGGGCCTAAACCGGGTTTAAACCGGGCCTAAACACGGCTTAAACCTGCCCCAAAACCTGCACCAAAATTGCCCCATAACGGCCCCAAAAACCCGGCCTAAATCTGCCCCAAAACTGCCCCAGCCCCACTTCAACGGCCTCAGGTAGGCCAAACCTGGACTAAACCGGGCCTAAACCAGGTTTAAACTGGGCCTAAACAGGGTTTAAACCGGGCCTAAACCGGGTTTAAACTGGGACTAAACCGGGTTTAAACTGGGCTTTAACCAGGCCTGAACCTGCCCCAAAACCTGCCCCAAAACTGCCCCATAACGGCCCCAAAACCGGCCCAAATCTGCCCCAAAACTGCCCCAGACCCCCCAGCCCAGCCCCAGGGTGGGACCCTGTCCTTGTGTCACCTGTGTCACACCTGTGACACACCTGTAGGACATTTCACACACCCGTGACACGCCTGTCACACACCTGTCACACCTGTATCACACCTGTAAGATGTCACACACTTGTCACACTCCTGTGACACACCTGTCACACCTGTGACACACCTGTAGGACATTTCACACACCTGTCACACACCTGTGACACACCTGTGACACACCTGTATCACACCTATATCACACCTGTAAGATGTCACCTGTCAAACCTGTATCATACCTGTAGGATGTCACACACCTGTCACACTACTCTGACACGCCTGTCACACACCTGTAAGATGTCACACGCCTGTCACACACCTGTTTCACACCTGTCACACCTGTATCACACCTGTAAGATGTCACACACCTGTCACACGCCTATGACACGCCTGTGACATACCTGTAGGACATTTCACACACCTGTGCCACACCGGTAAGATGTCACACGCCTGTGACATGCCTGTGACACACCTGTATCACACCTGTGACACACCTGTAGGACATTTCACACACCTGTGACACGCCTGTCACACACCTGTGACACACCTGTCACACCTATATCACACCTGTAAGATGTCACACTCCTGTCACATGCCTGTCACACACCTGTTTCACACCTATAAGATGTCACACACCTGTGACACACCTGTGACACACCTGTAGGATGTCACACGGCTGTCACACGCCTGTGACACACCTGTCACACCTGTATCACACCTGTAAGATGTCACACACCTGTCACACTCCTGTCACACCTGTAAGATGTCACACACCTGTGACACACCTGTGTCACACCTGTAAGATTTCACATGCCTGTGACATACCTGTGACACACCTGTGACACAACTGTAAGATGCCACACACCTGTGACACACCTGTGACACACCTGTGTCACACCTTTAAGATGTCACACGCCTGTCACATGCCTGTGACACACCTGTAGGACATTTCACACACCTGTGACACACCTGACACACCTGTATGACATTTCACACACCCGTGTCACACCTGTATCACACCTGTAAGATTTCACACGCCCGTCACACGCCCGTGACACGCCTGTGACACACCTGTAAGATGTCACCCGCTCGTGACACACCTGTCACACCTGCACAGGTACCTGCTGTACCACTTCCCGCTGACCTCGGCCGTGCTGGGCGTGGCCGGGAATTGGGCGCTGCTGGCGCTGCTCACCTTGGGGGGGTACCTGCAGTGGGGGCGGGGCCAGCGCCCGCCACGCCCCGCCCAGGTGAGTTATGGGTGGGGGAGGGGCTGGGGGGGACCGCCCCTCCCCCACCCCCCAACTCACCTGAGCCCCTCCCCCACCTGTGACAGGAGCGGCCGAGCCACGGAGGAGCCCCCGGGGAGGGGGAGGGGACAGGTGAGAGATGGGGATTTTTGGGGGAAATTTTGGGGATTTTTGGGGGGGAATTTTGAGGACACCTTTTGGGGAAATTTTGGGGGATTTTGGAGGAGATTTTGGGCAAATTTGGGAAGATTTGGGGGAGATTTTGGGGAGGATTTCAGGGAGATTTTGGAGAATATTTGGGGAGGATTCTGGAAAATATTTTGGGGAGGATTTGAAGGAGATTTTGGGCAAATTTGGGAAGATTTGGGGAAGATTTTGGGGGGGATTTCAGGGAGATTTTGGAGGATATTTGGGGAGGATTCTGGAAAATATTTTGGGGAGGATTTGAAGGAGATTTTGGGAAGATTTGGGGAAGATTTTGCGGAGGATTTCAGGGAGATTTTGAGAGGATTTTGGAGGAGATTCGGGGAGGATTTTGGAAAAGATTTTGGCGAGGATTTGAAGGAGATTTTGGGCAAATTTGGGAAGATTTTGGGGAGGAATTTTGCGGGAATTCTGGGAGGATTTTGGGCAAATTTGGAAGGGATTTTGGGGAAGATTTTGGGGAGGTTCAAGGTGCTTTTTTTTGGTTTTTGTTTTTGCCCCTCCCCCACCCCCAGATCTCTCAGCCTCTCCCCAAAATCCGGAGGAGCCCGAAAGCGTCGGAGCTTCAGAGCCCAACCGAGGTGGGGGAGGGGCAGCACCCAAAACCCCCAAATTCGGGGGGGAGGGGGCAAAATTTTGGGGGGGTGGCCTAATTTTGGGGGGGGGGGGGACTTAATTTTGGGGGGGTTTGCCCACATTTGGGGACGGGGCCTAATTTGGGGGGAGGGGCATAAGTTTAGGGGGAGTGGCTGATTTTGGGGGGCCAATTTTGGGGGGAGTGGTCTGATTTTAGGGGGGAGGGGCCCACATTTGGGGGGGCAATTTTGGGGGAGTGGTCCAATTTTAGGGGGAGGGGTTTCGGTTTGGGGGGAGGATCCCAGATTTGGGGTGAGTGCCCCAATTTTGGGGGGGGAGGGGCTCAATTTTGGGGTCTGGGGGCTCTGATCGCCCCTCCCCCCCCCCCAGAGCCCCCCCTGCTCAGCGCCGCCAACGCCCCCAGCAAGGAGGGGGAGGGGCGGGAGGAAGAGGAGGATGAGGGGGAGGGGCAGGAGGAAGAGGGGGACCCCCCCACGCCCCTCCCCCCCCTCCCGGACCGCCCCTCCCCCCTCCGGCAGCGCCACCTCTGCTCCAGCTCCTGAGCCCCTCCCCCACCCCCCCCAAAATTTGGGGGTCTCAATAAAGGCTTTGGCCCCTCCCCCACCTCCCAAAATCCAGGTTGGGTCCATCCGCTGGGGGGGGGAGGGGCGGGCGAGAGGCGGGGACCTCAAAAATCTTCCAAATCCCCAAAACCACCCGAATTTAACCCCAAAAAATCCTCCAAAAGAACCCCCAAAATCGTCTCCAGAATTCTCCAGAATCCTCTCTAAAATTCCCTGAAATCCTCCCCAAAATGCTCCTCAAAATTCTCCCAAATTCCCCCAAAATCTTTCCTAAAATTCCCCAAAATCCTCCCCAAAATTTCCCCAGATCCTCCACAAAAAGTTGGGTGGGTTTTGGGGTCACTTTTGGGTGAGATTTGGAGTGTTTTTGGGGTATTTCAGGTGGGTTTTTTGGGTATTTTTGGATAGGTTTTGGGATATTTTTCGGGTATTTTTGGGTGAGTTTTGGGGGAATTTAAGGGTGGTTTTGGGTTATTTTTGGGACATTTTTGGGTGAGTTTTGGGGTATTTTTGCGGTCACTTTAGGGCGGTTTTGGGAAATATTTGGGGTATTTTTGGGCGGGTTTTGGGGTCAGTTTTGGATGAGTTTTGGGGTCAGTTTTGGGTGAGTTTTGGGCAATTTTCGGTGTCACTTTCCGGGCCAGTTTCCCGCCTTTCCTTTCTGCCGTCCGCGTCTCGCTGCGTTGTGTCCCGCGCCGGGCGCCGTCCGTTCCCCGCCACGTTATGTCCCGCGCCGGCCGCCGTCCCCCACGTGACGCGAGCCCGGGGCCGCCGTGATGGCGGCGGGCGGCGGGGCCGAGCCCGGGCGGGCCCTGGAGGCGCTGCTGGAGATGGGATTCGGGGCCCGGCGCGCGTGAGGGCGGCGGCGCCGCGGGGACATCGGGGGAGGGCCGGGGACAGCGGGGGAGGGCGGTCGGGAGCAGCCGGGGATAGCCCGGTAACGGGAATGGGATTGGGGGGGGGGCGGGGGGAGAGGGGACACCGAAAGGCCCCGGAGCTCCGGGACCCACCAAACTCCACCGGGACCCCCTCAAAAATAACCGGGAGCCCCCGGTCCCGCAGGGCGAAGGCGCTGGCGCTGACCGGGAACCGGGGAGTGGAACAGGCCATGGACTGGTGAGGGGAGGACCCCAAAAACACCCCCGGTCCCCAAAAAAAACCCAACCGAGATCCCCCAAAAACAGCCCCGGGACCCCAAAAAAACCCACCGAGATCCCCCAAAAACAGCCCCGGGACCCCCCCCCAGAAAAAAACCCGGGACCCCAAAATCTCCCTGGGACCCCCAAAAATAGCCTCGGGACCCCCAAAACTCGCTGCAGGAGCCCCAAAAATCCCCCTGGGATCCCCAAAACTTCCCCTGGGACCTCCAAAATTCCATTCAGGACCCCTGAAATTCCACCTAGGACCCCCAAAAACCCCCTGAAACCCCCCAAAATTCCTTCTGGGACCCCAAAATTCTCTTCAAGACCCCAACCCCCCGCCCAGGACCCCCAAAATTCTTCCCAGGACTCTAAAAACCTTCTCTGGGACCCCCAAAATTCCCTTCAGGGTCCCCAAAATTCCCTTCAAGACTCCCCAAAAACCCCCTGACACCCCAAAATTCCTGGGATGCCCCAAAAACCCCCTGACACCCCAAAATTCCTCCTGGAATGCCCCAAAAACCTTCCAGAACCCCCCCAAATACCCCCAATTTTGGGTCCCCTCCCTGATTCCTTGCCGATTTTGGGGTCCCCAGGCTGGTGGCTCACGAGGACGACCCCGACTCGGACTCCGAACTCCCCCCGGGTTTGGGGGCGCTGCCCTTGGGCCTGGGGGGGCCCCGGCAGCCGCCGGGCCCCGAGGATGAGACCCAGAAGTGAATTTTGGGGGTCGGGGGGAAATTTTGGGGTTTTAAGGGAAATTTTTGGGGTTTGCGGAGGAAATTTTGGGGTTCAAAGGGAAATTTTGGGGTTTGGAGAGGAAATTTTGGGATTTGCAGAGGAAATTTTGGGGTTTAAAGGGAAATTTTGGGGTTTGGGGAGCTCAGGGATATTTTGGGGTTCAGAGTGGTTGATTTGGGGTTTCAGGGCGGTTTTTGGCAGGGTTTTTGGGTATTCTTGAGAGGGTTTTGGGGTATTTTTGGGTTGTTTTTGGGCTGCTTTTGGGATATTTTTGGGTGAATTTTTTTGCTGTTTTTAGGGTGGGGTTTGGGTTGTTTTTGGTGAGTTTTTTCGGATATTTTTGGGAGGGTTTTGGGGCTGGATTTTGGGTATTTTTGGAATATTCAGGCTGTTTTTGGGGTCCCAGGCTGCTCTCCGAGGCCGGGCAGGAGCGCGAGCGGCGCCGCCGGGGGCAGGAGCTGGCCAAGCTGCGGGAATGGCGGCGCGACGAGGAGCGGCGCCGCGCGGCCGAGGAGCGGCGCCGGGAGCGCGCCGAGGAGTGGGCGGCGCGGTGAGGGAACCCAACCCTGACATTTTGGGGGAATTGCCCAAAATTGCCCGAAATTTCCCCCCAGAAAACCTTGGGAGGACCTTGGTCCTCCGGGCCACCAGGGAACGCCAAAATGGCAGGAAAAGCCCTCACAAAAAAGGCGGGAAAAGCCCTCACAAAAAAAAGCGGGAAAAGCCCTCACAAAAAAGGCGGGAAAAGCCCTCACGAAAAAAGGCGGGAAAAGCCCTCATGAAAAAAGGCGGGAAAAGCCCTCACGAAAAAAGGCGGGAAAAGCCCTCACAAAAAAGGCGGGAAAAGCCCTCACAAAAAAGGCGGGAAAAGCCCTCACGAAAAAAGGCGGGAAAAACCCTCACGAAAAAAGGCGGGAAAAGCCCTCATGAAAAAAGGCGGAAAAAGCCCTCACGAAAAATGGCGGCGCCACGGGAATTTTGGGAGGACAAAAACCCCTCAGGATTCCCTCAGACCATACAAATTCCCTGAATTCCCACCTGAAAACCTTTTGTGGACGCTCCCTGAGCCCCCAAACCTGAGAGTGCCACCCTAAAACTTCGGGGGTTCCCCTGGAGATCCCCTGGGATCCCCAAATATCCCTCAGGATTCCCTCAGGATCTCCAAAATCCCCTCAGGATCCCCCAAATTTCCTCAGGATTCCCTAAATCCCGTCATGATTCCCTAAATTCCCTCAGGATCCCCCAAATCCTCTCAGGATCTCCCAGATTCCCCCACAATCTCCCAAATCCCCTCAGCATAGCCAAAATTCCCTCAGAATCCCCCAAATTCCCCTCAAGATTCCCCAAAATCTCCTCAAGATTCCCAAAATCCCCTCAGGATCCCCCAAATCTCCACAGGATCCCCCAAATCCCCCCGGGATCCCCAAAATCCCTCTGGGATCCCCTGGATTGCCGCAGCCCCTCCCAATTTTTAGGGATCCCAAAAGTTTCGGGGAACCCCTGAAAATTTGGGATTTCCCCCCAAACTCTTTAGGCAGAGGGTGCGGGAGAAGATCGAGCGGGACAAGGCGGAGCGGGCACAGAGGGTGAGCGGGATCTCAAAAAATTTTGGGGATCCCAGGGGATTTTGGGGATCCCAGGGGATTTGAAGTGATCCTAAAGTATTTGGGGGGGATCCCAGGGGATTTTGGGGGATCCCAGTGGGTTTGGGGCATTCCCAGGGGATTTGGGGGATCCTCGAGGCCACTTTGGGGTGCAGCCCCGCTTGGATACCCCAGATCTCCCCCTGCCCCTCTCCCAGTTCGCCCCGACCCCCCCGGAGCCCCCAAATCCCACCCAGGAGCCGCCCCGGGAGCCGCCGGCGCCGCGGGAGCACGAGCACTGCCGGATCCAGGTGGGGATTTTGGGGATCCCTGATGGGATTTTGGGGATCCCTGATGGGATTCTGGGGAATTTGGGAGAGATTTTGGGAGGATCTAGGGGGATTTGTGGGCTCCCTGATGGGATTTGGGGACTTTTGAGGGATTTGGGAATTCCCTGATGGCATTTTGAGGTATTCTGAGGGGGATTTTGGGAGGATCTGGGTGTATTTCAGGTTATTTTAGGTATGTTTTAGGTTATTTTTGGTACATTTAGGGTACATTTTTGAGTACATTTTTGGTTATTTCTCCCCAGCTGCGCCTGCTGGACTGGGGTGAATTTTGGGTTATTTAGGGTTATTTAGGGTATATTTTAGGTACATTTAGGGTACATTTTGGGTTATTTTCTCCCCAGCAGCACCAGCCAGACTGGGGTTTATTTTGGGTGGATCTGGGTGTATTTTGGGTTATTTTGGGTACATTTTAAGTACATTTTGAGTACATTTTTGGTTATTTCTCCCCAGCTGCCCCACCCGGACTGGGATGAATTTTGGGGTATTTTAGGTACATTTTGGATGATTTTAGGTTCTGTTTCTCCCCAGCTGCACCTGCCAGACTGGGGTTGATTTTGGGTGGATTTAGAGTTATTTTGGGTGATTTTAGTTACATTTTGGATGGTTTCTCCCCCCAGCTGCACCTGCCAGACTGGGGTTGATTTTGGGTGGATTTAGAGTTATTTTGGGGGATTTTAGTTACATTTTGGATGGTTTCTCCCCCCAGCTGCGGCTGCCCGACGGCCGCGCGCTCACGCAGAGTTTCCGGGCGCGGGAGCCGCTGGCGGCCGTGCGGCTTTTCGTGGAGCTGCAGGGGGGCCCGGGGGGCTTGGGGGGCTCCGGGGGTCCCCCAGAGCCCTTCAGCCTCCGCACGGCCTTTCCCCGGCGCCTCTTCACCGAGGACGACATGGAGAAACCCCTGCAGGAGCTGGGTGAGGCTGGGGGTCCTGGGGGAATTTGGGGGGTCCTGGGGGGATTTTGGGGGGTCCTGGAGGGGGATCTGGGGACTCCAGGGTGGGTTTGGGGGTGCTCCTGTTGGGATTTGGGGGGTCCTGGGGGAGTTTGTTGTGTCCCTGAGGGAATTTTAGGGTAATTTGAGGATTTGGGGGATTTTTTTTAGGGTCCTCACATGCCTTTCCCTTTTCCAGGCCTGGTTCCCTCCGCCGTCGTCATCGTGGCCAAAAAGGAGGGGAGCTGAGGGGGGTCACCCCCCAAAATCCCCAAAACCCCCCAAGAAAAACCCAAATAAACTGGAAAAAATTAAAAAAAAACCAACAAAAAAAAAACCCCAAATAAATATAAAAAAGTCCAAAATAAGTCCCAAAAATCTCAAACCCAAATAAACCCATAAAAAGGGGAAAAATTTTTAAAAAAATACAAATAAACCCAAAAAACCAAAATAAACCGCAAAAAAACTCAAACCCAAAAATCTCAAATAAACCCAAACCAACTTGAAGTAAACCCAAAAAAAACCCGCAAATAAGACCCAAAAAAGCCAAATTAACCCAAAAAACCACAAATAAACCCAAACCGATCCTAAACAAAGAGAAAAAAAATAAAAATCCTCAAAAAATCCAAATAAATGCCAAAAAAACCTCAAATAAACTAAAAAAAAAAAGCACAAATAACCTCAAAACCCCCCAAGCCCCTCTGGAGCCGGTTTAGGTTCTGGTTCTTTATTGGCGCTCGGGGCTCCGGTTGGTGCCGGTCGGAGCCGGTTTCGGTGCCGGTTTCGGTGCCGGTTCTGGTCCCGGTTCCCCTCGGGCCCCTCACGGCTCCGGGCGGCGGCGTCCCACGGGGTCGGCGAGGATGACGATGGCCCAGGCGCCCAAACCTGCGGGGAGGGTGGGGCTGCAGCACCTGGGGGCACCTGAGCACACCTGGGGCACACCTGAGATACACCTGGGGGCACCTGAGCACACCTGGGGCACACCTGAGATACACCTGGGGGCACCTGGGCACACCTGGGGGCACCTGGGCACACCCCCACCCATGGAAGCCTCAACCCCTCCCCAGGATTCTGAGGGGAATTTGAGTGATCTGGGAATTTGAGGACATTTTGGGAAACTTGGGCCATTTAGGGACATTTTAGGACAATTCGGGCATATTTTGGGGCCATTTTAGAGCATTTTGGGACATGTCAGGATAATTTGGGGACATTTTAGGGCATCTTGGAGACATTTTGGGAATATTTGAGGACATTTGGCAACATTTTGGGGCCATTTTGTGGCATTTTGGGACAATTTGAGGCCATTTAACAGGCGTTTTGGGAATTTTTGGGGACATTTTGGGAAATTTGGAGACATTTTTTAACAATTTGGGGATACTTCCAGACATCTGGAGACATTTAGGGGCTTCATGGGGACATATTGAAGAATTTGAAGACGTTCTGAGCCTTTTAAGGGCATTTTCGGGACATTTTGGAACAATCTTAGACATTTCGGGGCTATTTTGTGACGATTTAGAGACTTTTTGGGGACACTTTTTTACATTTTGGGGCCATTTCGGAACATCCCGGTGGCCCCCCCCGCTCCCGTTGCCATGGAAACCCAGGCCCTGCCCCGCCCCCCCCCTCACCGGCGGCCAGGGTGATCTGGGCAATGGCGGCCATGGACGGGGGCGCGCCGCTCCGCATGGCGCTGCGCGGGCCCTGGTACACCCAGAGCGCGGCCAGCAGCAGCCCCGTGCCGCTCAGCAACCGGCAGCTCCAGCAGCCGCCGAACAGCGCCCGCGGCGGCGCCTCCCGCGGCTCCGGGACCGGCGTCGCGCCCTGCCGCGACATGGCGGCACCGGAACCGCCGCCGGAAGTGTCCGTACTTTATAAAGCTCCGGTGGGGTGCACCCCGCGAAAAAAAAAAAGTTCCGTTAGCAAACCGCACCCCGCGCTGATGGTTCCGGGGGAAATTTGGGGTCACCGGGAAACGGCGGGGGGGAGTCCAGCTGCTGACGTCACTTTCGCCACGGCGCCGCGCGGTGCGCCACGTTGTCGTCGGTCTCGGCTGCCTCGCGCAGCGCCGCCATGATCATCTCGTTGTGGCGCCGCCTCTGCGCCACAGTCGCGGCGTCCGCGCCCGGCTGCCCATGCGGAACCGGGAAAAACCGGAAATTACCGCCGGGTCCCGTCCCCCGGAGCGGCCCCGCCGCTGCATTCTCTCCGTACCTTCATCGGCTGCTCCCCGCCCGCCACCGCCGCCCACAGCAGCAACCCCAGCGCAACAGGAACGGCGCCGCGGGCGAGCGCCCGGGGCCACCGCGGGTCCGGCGCCATAACCGCCCTGTCCTGAGGCCGCTTCCGGCGCCACTTCCGGGGCCGCTCTGGCCCGCAAGGAACCATAGAGACGGCGACCAGGAGGACCGGAAGTCTCTTCCGCTACACCGGAACAATAAAGATAGCACCCGGGAGTACCGGAAGTCTTCTCCACCACACCGAAACCATAAAGACGGTGTCTGGGAGGACCGCAAGTCCCCCGCCACACCGGAACCATAGAGATGTGGGCCGAGAGAACCAGAAGTTCTTTCCGCCACACCGGAACCATAGAGACACGGGGTCAAGAGGACCGAAAGCCCCCTCCGCCACACCGGAACCATAGAGAAGGAGCCCGGGAGGACCGGAAGACCTCCCGCCAAACCGGAACAATAGAGACGTGGGCCGAGAGGACCGGAAGCTCTCTCCGCCATACCGGAACCATAGAGATGTAGGCCGGGAGGACCGGAAATCCGGACCTACCGGAGACCATAGAGACGGCGCTTTGGAGGGCCCGGGGACCCCCGCTCGCAGCCCGGGTCGCTCCGCCACCGAAAGCAGCCACGAGACCGAAGCGTTTCAGACCAATTTATTAAGAATTTAAACACCAAACGATCCTCCCGCCGCCGGCGCGGTCCTGCGGCGCTCTCGGTCGCTTATCCGACCCTATAAAAGATAAAAGTACGGTGAAGCGGCGGCCCCGAGCGCTGCGGGCCTCCATAACCCAAACCCCGACCCCACCCCAAGCCCTGTCCCGGCGTGTGAGGGTGGGACCGGCGGACGCCACCGCCGGCACCGAAGACATCGCGCCGGCCGCTGCTTTCCCTCCGCACATCACGGAGCCCGGCATGGCCCCGCCGGGGCCCGCCAAGAACGGGAGGAGCCTCCCGGTGTCGCCCGCGCGGGTTTAAACCCAAATCCCTCCAAAAAACGGACCCGGAACTGGAACCGCACCCAGAGCGCTCCCGGCACCCAGAGGGCGCCCGCAGCGGCGGCGGAGGTTTATATAGAGCCCGGTGTGGGCGGGGTTTCGGAGACTTTCACCAATCAAAGCCGCCGGCGCGCGCGCACCAACCAATGATATCAAAGCAAAGGCAAAGAGGCGGTGGCCTGAAGGGGGATTAGAATATGGGCGTGGCTCTCACCAGCGCAGCCAATCAGAACTCGCTGCGCGCGCGCGTGGACGGGCCAATGAGATTCGTGGGGAGGGGCAAAGAAAGGGGCGGGGTTTGATACCGGAAGTGCGGGCGGACGGGAAGTGGCGGCGGCGATGGGGATCGGCGGGAAAATCAACCGGCCCCGAACGGTTCCGGCGGGCTCCGGGGGCACCGGGGGGGCACCGGGGCGGCCCGGGAGGGGCTTCAGGAGCTGCCCTGGGGGAGGCAGAGCGCGGGGGGGGGAGCGGGGCGGTTATTCCCATCTTCACCGCGCTGCCGGTAACCGGTGCCGGTACCGCGGGCGATCTCCGGTAACCCCGGGAGCGCCCCGGTGATTCCCCCGTGCTCCGCAGGAGCTGCGCAAGAAGCTCTTCAAGCGGCGTCGGGAGCGGGCGCGGGGCCGGCGGCAGAAGCGGCGGTGAGCGGCGTCCCTCCCCCACCCCCCCCCCGCCCGGTTCTCCCTCCCGGTGTCGCCCCCGGTGACCGGGGGGGTCCCGGTGTGACCGGGGGGGTCCCGGTGTGACCGGGGGGGGGGGTTCCCGGGGCTCTTTTCGGTGCAGGGCGGCAGCGGCGGCGGCGGCCCCGGTGTGGGGGAAGCGGCAGCGGAAGGAGCTGAAGCGGCTGCGGCGGGGGTGAGCGGGGGAGGGGCGGGGGGGGACAATGAGGGGACAATGGGGACACCGGGGGTGGCACCGGAGCCGCCCTGAGCCCTCCCGGTGCCCCCAGCGCTGCCGGCGCCCGGCGGCCGCGCGGAGACGGCGGCGGAGGCGGAGGGACGGCGGAGATGGAGCCGTGACAGTGGAGACACCAAAGTGACACCGGAGACACCGGCGACATCCTAGTGACACCAGTGACATCCCAGTGACACCAGTGACGTCCCAGCGCTCCCAGTCCCTCGTGCTGCTCTCGCTGCTGGGCCTTGGCCGGAGCCACCTCGGTGTCCCCAGCGTGTCCCCAGTCCCTCCCAGTCTCTCCCAGTACCCCCCCAGTGTCCCCAGTCCCTGTCCCAGTGTCCCCAGTGTCCCCAATAAAGCCGCTCTGTCTCTCTGTCCGTCCGTCCCTCCCCGTGTCCGTCTGTCCCGCGTGGGGGACCGGACCCCTTTTCCGGTAACACCGCCGGGCACCGGGAGAGGGGCGGAACCCCCGCGCGCGGCCGCAGCGCTGGGAGGGGCATTTCCGGCGTGGGCGCTGCCCGCGCATGCGCAGCCGCCCTCGCCCCCCCCCCCCCGGCCGCCGCCGACATGTCGGCGCTGTGCGACCCCCCCGGGGCCACCGGCGGTGCCCGGGTCCCGCTCAGGTACCGGAGAGCCCCGGCCGGGGACGGGGAGGGGAGGGGAGGGCACCGGGAGCCTCGGGGATGCGGGGGAGGCGAGCTCCGGGAACCCCCCCTCCCCCTCAGGGGCCCCCCCGGTGCCGGTACCGAGCCCCTCTCAGGGACCCCCGGTTCCCCCCCGGGCCTCCCATCCCCTTTTTAACCCCATTTCCCCCCTTTAACCCCATTTAACTCCATTTTACCCCATTTTCCTTGTCCTTATTCCTTTTCTAACCCCATTTTACCCCCTTTCACCCCATTCTAACCTTATTTTAACGCTGACTATCGCATTGTAAACCCCCATTTTACCCAACTTTCCCCCTCCTTATCCCTTTTTTAACCCCTCTTTAACCCTTTCTTACCCATTTACCCCACTTGCACCCCCTTTACCCCATTTTAACTGCATTTTACCCCTCACTATTCCATTCTAACCCACTTTAACCGCTTTTCCCCCAATTTAACCCCCTTTTCCCCATTTTCCGTTTTTAACTCTTTTTTACCCCATTTTTGCCAATTTTCCTCTGTTTTGTGCCTCATTATCCCTTTTTAACCCCTTTTTAATCCTATTTATTCTCATTTCACCCCACTTGTACCCCATTTTTGCCCATTTTACCCCTCCCTATCCATTTTCTAACCCCATTTTTCCCCATTTTCCCCGATTTTTCCCTCCCCGTCCCGTCCCCGCAGCGCGCAGGAGCTGTCGCAGGAGGTGAAGGCGTTCCTGAGCGGGCTGGACCCGGCGCAGGGCACGCCGCTGTCGCCGGCGGCGCATGCCCGCTGCGCGCTGCGGCTGCTGCGCTGCCTGCCCCCGGCGCGCCACGCCGCGCTGCAGCACCTGCGCGGGCTGTTCGATGAGCAGGTCTGCGCCCACCTGCTGCAGCGCGAGGCCGGCGCCGCCAACGCCGCCAGCGCAGCCTCGCCGGGCGCCGAGGCGCTGCAGGAAGCGAGGCGGGCGCTGGCCGAGCTGGTGGCCGCCAACCCGCGGGCGTGGGCGCCCGGCGTGGCCGCCTGGGCCAGCGAGCTGATGGGGCAGCTGAGCAGCAAGTACGCGGGCCGGCCCGGCGTGCCGCCCGCCGCCAGCCTCAACGAGCTGCTGCAGCTGTGGATGGCGTGCCCGGCCACGCGGGCGCTGCTGGACATCTACAGCCAGTGCCTGGCCGCCATGGCCGGCAGCTGCCCCGACGCCTGCGTGGACGCGCTGCTGGACACCTCGGTGCAGCACTCGCCGCACTTCGACTGGGTGGTGGCGCACGTCGGCTCCTCCTTCCCCGCCACCATCATCAGCCGCGTGCTGTCCTGCGGCCTCAAGGACTTCTGCGCCCACGGCGGCGGCGGCGGCGAGGCGGCGGCGCTCGGCGACAAGCGCGCGCCCAAGATGGCCTCGGTGGTCGGCATCCTGGGGCACCTGGCGTCGCGGCACGCCGGCAGCATCAAGCAGGAGCTGCTGCGGATGTTCCACGAGAGCCTGGGCTCGTCGCGCGAGCACCACAAGGCCACGGTGCCCTTCCTGCTGCAGCTGGCGCTGCTGTCGCCGGCGCTGCTGGCCACGGTGTCGGCCGAGCTGGTGGACGCGCTGCAGCCGCCGGTGCTCAACCAGCTGCACCAGCACTTCTCGGCGCTGCCCCGCGACGAGCTGGAGGCCACGGCGGGCGTGGCGGTGCACCTGCTGTGCCACGCCTCGGCCGGCGCGCTGCGGACGCTGCGCTTCCTGCTGGCCACCGCCGCGCCCGCCTCCGTCATCGCCGCGCCGGGGCCGGCGCTGCGCGAGGGCGTGCGGGAGGCCTGCGAGCGCCTGCTGCAGCTGCTGCTGCTGCACCTGCAGAAGTTGGTGCATGGCCGCGGCGCCGCCGGCCCCGCCGAGGCGGGCGCCAGGCCGGTGCCGTTCCTGGAGGCGCTGCGGCCGCACGTGCGCGAGCTGTGCCAGGACGCGCTGCGGCTGGAGCGGCGCCGCGGGCTGTGGCAGCAGCAGCTGCTGGCGCTGCTGGCGGTGCACTCGGCGCCGCACGGCGCGGCCGAGGCGCTCTTCTTCCTGCTGGCGCTGGCCCGCACGCCCGAGGAGCTGGCGCTGGCGCCGCAGCTGCGCGCCGGGCTGCGCGCCGTGCTGCCCGACCCGCTGCCCGCCGCCGTGGCCGCCGCCGTGGCGCAGATCCACGCCGGCCGCCTGCCCGAGCCGCAGCTGGCGCAGCTCCTGCGCAACCTGGCGCTGCTGCTGCAGCCGCGCGAGCCCGATGGCGAGCCGGGCGAGCCGGCGCTGGGCGCGGCGCTGGCGCGGCACCTGCCCGACCTGGCGCAGCTGCTGCTGCACCCGCGGGGCCGAGGTGGCGGAGGCGGCGTGCCGGCTGCTGGCCGCCTGCCCGCTGCCGGCGGGCGCTGCCGCCGGCGCATCTCCTGCCAGCCGTGCGCGCCGCCGTGCGCCGATTCTCGCCGGGCTGCGCCAGGGCGACGCGGCCGCGTGCCGGCGGCCGGGTGCCAGGCTGCTGGCGCGGCTCAGCGCCGTCAGCCCCGCCGCCGCCAAGGCCGTGCTGGCGCAGGCTGGTGGAGGCCGCGCTGGGCGGCCGCGACGCCGAACTCTTCGGCGGCGGCGACGCCGAGCGGACGGGCGCGACGGCACCGCCGCGGCCTCCACCGCCGCGCCGACCGCAGCGTCGCTGCTGGACGACAACCGGCGCCTCACCGCTGGCCCCAACGCCGCCGGCGGCGTGTGGTCGGTGTTCCACGCCGGCGTCATCGGCCGCGGGCCCAAGCCGGCGGGCGGCACGGCGCGGCGCAGCGCCGAGGAGCTGAGCCGCAACACGCAGGCCTTCCTCAGCCTGGTGCTGCGCTGCTGCCGCGGCACCGGCCCCGCCGTGGGCGCCGAGGCCGCCAAGGCGGTGGCGGCGGCGCTGGTGGAGGCCGTGTGCCCCGAGGCCGCTGGCGCCGAGCTGGCCTGGCCGCCCGAGGAGCTGGCGCGGGCCACGGTGGAGCGGGACCTGCGCATCCTGCGGCGGTTCCGCCGGCACCCGCTGCTGTTCCCGCTGCTCCGGCTGGTGGCCGGCGGCCGCCCGGCGCTGTGCTACTGCTCCGTGCTGCTCCGCGGGCTGCTGGCCGGGCTGGTGGCGCACTGGGACGCGTGCCGGGCCGGCAGCACCGCGGCCTCGCCCTGGCACCTGCGGGCGTCGTGCGCGCTGGTGGCGCTGCTGGCCGAGGGCTCTTTGCTGCCGCCGGTGCTGGGCAACATGCACGAGCTGTTCCCAGAGCTGGCGCCCTTCGAGGTGCACCTGCTGCTCCTCAGCGTTTGGGGCTACCTGCGCGACAACAGCCCCCTGCCCCAGAAATTCACCTTCCAGCCCCGCCTCGGCGCCTTCCGACGCGACTTCGGCCGCGACGCCGACCTGGGCAAGCACCTGGCCGTGCTGCACAGCGTGCTGCACCGAAACATCCACCGGCTGGGGCGGCTGGCCGCCAGGTTCTACCCGTGAGCGGCATCCGAAAAGCGGTTTTGGGGGTTTGGGGGGCGGCGGGCACCTGGAGTTGGAGTTTGTGAAATAAAGGACGTGCAAAGGAGAGAAGGGTCTGGAGTTTGGGGGGTGTTCAGAGGGGTTTTGGGGGTTCTGGGTGTGTCCAGAGGGGGTTTGGGGCTGTTCAAAGCGTGTTCAGGGGTAATTGTGAGGGTCTGGGGGTGTCCTCAGGGGGTTTTAGGGGTTCTGGGTTTGTCCAGACGGGGTTTGGGGCTGTTCAAAGGGTGTTCGGGGGTAATTGTGAGGGTCTGGGGGTGTCTCCAGGGGGTTTTAGGGGTTCTGGGTTTGTCCAGACGGGGTTTGGGGCTGTTCAAAGGGTGTTTGGAACACCCTTTGGTGGGTCTGGGGGTGTCCAGAGGGGTTTTGGGGGTTCTGGGTTTGTCCAAAACTAGTTTGGGGCTGTTCAAAGCGTGTTTGGGGATATCTTGGGAGGGTCTGGGGTGTCCAGAGGGGTTTTGGGGGTTCTGGGTTTGTCCAGAGGGGGTTTGGGGCTGTTCAAAGGGTGTTCGGGGGTATCTTGGGAGGGTCTGGGGGTGTCCACAGGGGGTTTTGGGGGTTTCAGGGGTGTGTTGGGGGATGTGGGGAATTTGGGGGTGTCCAGGAGGTCCTTTGGGGCATCCAAAGGGGGTTTTAGGGGTGTCCAAAGGGGGTTTTGAGGATCCCAGGGGTGTTTTTGGGGTCCTGGGGTGGGAGGGGAGTTTTGAGAGGTCCCTGGGGGATTTTGGGAGGTCTCGAGGGTCCTGGGGGGTCACGGAGTTTTTTTGGGGGGTCCCGAGGGTCCCTGGGGGAGTTGCAGGGGGTCCCAGGGCTGGTTTGGGGGTCCAGGGCTGTTTTGGGGGGTCCCAGGTTTGTTTTGGGGGTCCCAGGTTTGTTTTGAGGGTCCCAGCTTTGTTTTGAGGGTCCCAGGGCTGTTTTGGGGGTCTCAGGGCTGCTTTGGGGGGTCCCAGGGTAGTTTTGGGGGTCCCAGGTTTGTTTGGGGGTCCCAGGTCTGTTTTGGGGGTCCCAGGGCTGTTTTGGGGGGTCCCAGGGTAGTTTTGGGGGTCCCAGGGTAGTTTTGTGGGTCCCAGGTTTGTTTGGGGGTCCCAGGGCTGTTCTGGGGGTCCCAGGTCTGTTCTGGGGGTCCCAGGGTAGTTTTGGGGGTCCCGGGGGGGATTTGGGGGTCCCGGGGCGCTCCTGTTCCCCCGCCCTGTCAATCACCACTCTGTCCCCGCCCACCGCTCCATACCGACCAATCACCGCCCTTTCTCGTGCCGTGACCCCGCCCCTTTTCGAAGCGCCCCTCTCGGCTTGGTGGGCGTGGCTTGGCTCGTTCTCGGCCAATCAGCGCCGAGCGCGGCGGCGGCGGCGGGGACGCGTCACTTCCGCCGGCGGCGGCGGCGGCGGCCCGAGGATGTTTTACCACGTGAGCGGCACCGGGGGTCACGTGCGGCACCGGGGGTCACGTGTCAGGCCGGGGGGGGGGTCCCGGTCTCCCCTCGGGGGGTCCCGGGGCTGTCCCGGTAACTTCCGGTAACTCTCGGTAACTCCCGGTAACTTCCGGTAACTCCCGGTGCCCGTAGATCTCCCTGGAGCACGAGATCCTCCTGCACCCGCGGTACTTCGGGCCCAACCTGCTCAACACCGTCAAGCAGAAGCTTTTCACGGAGGTGGAGGGGACCTGCACCGGGAAGTGAGCGCGGGACCGGGGGGGGGGGGCGGGAATACCGAAACCGGCACCGAAATCCCCAGAAACGGCCCTGAAAGTGCCCGAAACGGCACCGGAATTCCCGAAAATGGCCCTGAAAATCCCCTAAAATGGCACCAAAACCCATAAAAACGGCCCCGGAAAAGAGCCCAATAAACCCCAAATAAATCCCAATGAAATCGCAATAAATCATTAATAAATCATACAATTAACACTAATTAATTATAAATAATTGATTTTAGGTACGGATTTGTGATTGCTGTCACCACCATCGACAACGTGGGCGCCGGGGTGATGCAGACCCCAATAGGCCCATCCCAAACCCCAACAAACCCAAATAAAACCCCAACAATACCCCATAAATCAATAATAAATCCATGATAAATAAATAATTAGCAGTAATGAATTCCCAATGATTTAATTACAGATATGGGTTCATTATCGCCGTCACCACCATCGACAACGTTGGAGCCGGGGTGATCCAGACCCCAAAGGGCTCATCCCAAACCCCAGTAAATCAATGATAAATCCCAATAAAATCGCAATAAATCAATAATAAATCATTAATAGATCGTACAATTAACACTAATTAATTATAATTAATTGATTTTAGGTACGGATTTGTGATTGCTGTCACCACCATCGACAACGTGGGCGCCGGGGTGATGCAGACCCCAATGGGCCCATCCCAAACCCCAAAAAATCAATGATAAATCCCCAAATGATCACAAATTGATTAATTAACGGTTATTAATTGCAGATACGGGTTCGTTATCGCCGTCACCACCATCGACAACGTCGGGGCCGGGGTGATCCAGCCGGGCCGCGGCTTCGTGCTGTACCCGGTGCGCTACAAGGCCATCGTCTTCCGGCCCTTCAAGGGCGAGGTGGTGGACGCCGTGGTCACCCAGGTCAACAAGGTCAGGGGTCAGAGGTCACACGGGGTCACCCGGGGTCACCCAGGCCAACAAGGTCGGGGGTCCCTGTCTGTCGTTTCCTGTTTCTTTTAATTAATTTTTATCCTTTTTTTGTCTCTTTCTGTGCCTTATTCTCCCGTTTTTGCCCCGTTTTAATCCAATTTTATCCGTGTTTGCCTCTTTAATCCCTTTTTATCCATCTTTATCCCATTTTTCTCACTCTTTTATCCATTTTTATCTGGTTTTGCCCATTTTATCCATTTTTATCCATTTTTATCTGCTTTTGCCCATTTTATCCCTTTTTATCCATTTTTATCAATTTTTGCTCATTTTATTCCTTTTCATCCATCTTTATCCCATTTATCTCCCACTTTTCTCCATTTTTATCCATTTTTGCCTGTTTTATCCCTTTTTATCCATCTTTACCCCCTTTTTGGCCCGGTTTTTCCCACTTTTCCCCATTTTTGCCCTGATTTTTACCCCATTTTTTCCCCATTTTTGCCTTGTTTTTTCCCCATTTTTCTTCCTTTTCCCCAATTTTCCCCATTTTTCTCTATCTTTGCCCATTTTCCCCATTTTTACCCTGTCTTCACCCTGTTTGTATCCCCTTTTTTCCCCATTTTTCTCCCTTTTCCCCAATTTTCCCCATTTTTCTCTATTTTTGCCCATTTTTCCCCATTTTTGCCCTGTTTTCACCCTGTTTTTATCCCTTTTCCCCCATTTTTCTGCATTTTTCCCGTTTTTTCCCCATTTCCCCCTTTTTTTCCCCGTTTTCCCGTTCCCAGGTGGGGCTGTTCACCGAGATCGGGCCGATGTCCTGCTTCATCTCCCGCCACGTGAGAGGGGACCCCAAAAACGGCACCCAAAAATGTCCTAAAGGGGGGAGGGGATCCCAAAAATGGCACTGGGGGGGAGGGGACCCCGAAATTCCCCCTTGGGGCTCTCCCTGACCCTTCAACCCCTCCCCACTTCCCCCCAAAATCCCTTTGGGGACCCCAAATTCTGCCCTGGGGACCCCAAATCTGCCCCCTGTCCCCCCAGTCCATTCCCTCCGAGATGGAATTCGACCCCAACTCCAACCCCCCCTGCTACAAAACCGTGGACGAGGTGAGGGGGGGGCCTGGGCGGATTTTTGGGGGGTCCGGGGGGGTCCTGAGGGAAATTTGGGGGTCTTGGGGGGGTCCTTGGGGGTTTTGGGGGGACTTTGGGAGTCCTGGGGGGTTCTAGGGGGTGTTGGGTGGTCCTGGGGGGGATTTTGGGGTGTCCTGGGAGGGTTCTGGGGGGAATTTGGGGGGGGGTCCTGGGGGGATTTTTGGGGAATTTGGGGTCTTGAGAGGTCTTGGGGGGAATTTGGGGGAGTCCTGGGGGGATTTTGGAAGAATTTGGGGTCCTGTGGTGTCTTTGGGGGAATTTTGGGGTTCTGGGGGATCCTTGGGGGGGGGTTGGGGGAATTTGGGGGGGTCCTGGGGGGATTTTTGGGGAATTTGGGGTCCTGGGGGAGAATTTGGGGGATCCTGGGGGGATTTTGGAAGAATTTGGGGTCCTGAAGGGTCTTTGGGGGAATTTTGGGGTTCTGGGGTATCCTAGGAGGGGTCTGGGGGGGTTCTGGGGGGAATTTGGAGGGGTCCTGGGGGGATTTTTGGGGAATTTGGGGTCCTGAGGGGTCCTGGGGTGAATTTGGGGGGTCCCGGGGGGATTTTGGGGGTCCCGGGGGGATTTTGGGGTCCCCACTGTCCCTCCCCACCCCCCCAGGACATCGTGATCCAGCAGGACGACGAGATCCGCCTGAAGATCGTGGGGACGCGCGTGGACAAGAACGACATCGTGAGATTTTGGGGGAAATCCCGGGGTTTTGGGCAAAATCCTAAAATTTGGAGGGGAAATGCGGAAATTCTGTGAGGAAAATTCCCAAAATTCAGGGGGGAAATCTCAAAAATTTGGGGGGAAAATCCTGAAACCGGGGAGAAATGCTGAAATTCTGGAGGGGAAATCTCAAAATTGGGGGGGGAAAGCCCGAAATTTGGGGGGAAAATCTCAAAAATTGGGGAAAATCTCAAAAATTGGGGAAAAATCTCAAAATTTTGGGGGAATCCTGGGACTTGGTGGGAAATTCTGGGATTTGGAGAAAAATCCCAAAGTTCTGGGGGGAAATGTTGGGATTTATGGTGGGGAAGTCCTCAAATCGGGAGCGGGGAGAATCCACAAATCCAGGGGGAAATTCCCAAATTTAGGGAGAAATTCCCAAATTTGGGGGAAATTCCCAACATTTGGGGGCAAAATCCCAAAATCTGGGGGGGAAATGCTCAAAATTCAGGGGGGAAATCCAAAAATTCTGGGCTGAACTCCGAAATTTGGGGGAAAATCTCAACATTTGGGGGAAATTGTCAAATTTGGGGGGAAATTCCCAAATGTAGGGGGAAATCCCAAAATTTGGGGGGGTCCCAGCTCCGGGGGGGGGTCCAGGTCAGCCCCTCCCCCTCCCCTGAGCCTTCCCCTCCTCCCCCAGTTCGCCATCGGCTCCTTGATGGACGATTACCTGGGTGAGGCAGGGCTGAGATTTTGGGGGGATTTGGGGAATTTTGGGGTCCTGGGGGGATTTGGGGGTCCCAGACGGGTTTGGGGGGTCCTGGGGGGGATTTTGAAGGGATTTTGGGTGTCCCGGGAGGGGGTTTGGGGATATTTGGGGGGCCCTGGGGGAATTTTGGAGGTCTTGGGGGGATTTTGGGGGGTCCCGGGAGGATTTTGGGGGAGATTTGGGGAGTTTTGGGAGTGTCCCAGGTGGGTTTTGGGGGGTCCCGGGGGAGGTTTGGGGGTCACGGAGGATTTTGGGGGGTCCCGGGGCGGATTTTGGGGTCCCTCATCCTTCCCTCCCGCCCCAGGCCTCGTCAGCTGAGCCCCAGGAGCAGCCGCGACCCCTCCCCAAATCTGGCTCCCCCAAATTTTGGGGGTCCCACCCCCCCATCCCCAATTTTGGGGGTTCTGGCAGCTGGGCCCGCCCCCTTCAGAGCTGGGGGGGCCTCTGTTTTCCCTCAATAAAAGCGTTTCTCCCAATTTTCTGCCTTTTCCTCTTTTTTTGGGGGGCTCCGGGAATTTCGGGGGGGTCTTCACCTCCCGGTGGGGCCCACTGCGACATCGCCGCTTTAAGGCGGCATCGCCCCTTTAAGTGCAGCCCCCCCGTTTCCACGGCAACCACCCCGTCCCGCGCTTTACGGCGCCGCGCGTCACTGCCGCGCTGTTCCCACCCAGCCCCGTTTCTGCGCTTTGCGGCCGCGGCCCGGCCTTCTCCCCGCGCTCTCCAAGATGGCGGTGTCCGGGGTGAGTGCGGCCGCCGCCGCCATCCGCCGCCATCCTCCTTCCCCCGCCGCCCCGCCGCCTCCCCGCCGCCACCGGGGGAACCACGGGTCACCGGGGAGGCGGCCGGGCCGGCTGCGGAGCCGCGGGGAGGCTGCGGGGGGCGCGGATGGTGGCGGGAAGGGAGCGGGGGGGGGGAGCCCTGAGGGGAACCGGACCCGGTGAGGGTGGGGGGGGGCGGGGGGTTTGTGCCACCCCTGGGGACACTTGGGGACATTTCGGGGACATCGGGACAGACCCTCGGGGACATTTCGGGGACCCCCTGCCCCAATTTCCTCCCAAATCCTGCCCGGGTACCCCAAAATCGGGGGGTTCCAAGTGTCCCCCCTGTGCCCGCCCCACATCGGGACCCCCGGGGCCACCCCCGTGTCCCAAATCTTGGGGACACTTTAGGGACATTTTGGGGACGCATCAGGGAGACTCTAAGGGATATTTTGGGGACGCTTCAAGGGACGTTTTGGGGACACTTTTAAGGGATGTTTTGGGGACACTTTAGGGACATTTTTGGGGACATTCAAGGGACACTTTGGGTACCCTTTGGGGACATTTTAGGGACATTTTGGGGCCACTCTGGTGACATTTGAAGAGACATTTTGGAGACGCTTTGGGGACATTTTTGGATACATTTTGGGGACACTTTGGGTACCCTTTGGGGCCACTCTGGGGACATTTTAGGGACACTTTGGGGACATTTAAGGGATGCTCTGGGGACATATTGGGGTCACTTTGGGGACCCTTTAGGGACACTCCAGAGCCGCTCTGGGGACACTTTTGGGGCCACTTTAGGAATACTTTGGGTACCTTTTGGTGACCCTTTGGGGACACTTCAGGGACACTTTAAGGGACATTTGGGGGATACTTTGGGGACACTTTAGGGACATTTTAGGGACACTTTGGGTACCCTTTGTGTACTTTTTGGGGGATATTTTGGGGACACTTTGGGGCCTTTTTGGGGACACTTTGGTGACACTCTGGGGACCCTTTGGGGATATTTTGGTGACACTCTGGGGACCCTTTGGGGATATTTTGGGGACACTTTGGGGATATTTTGGGGACACTCTGGGTAGCCTTTGGGGATATTTTGGGGACACTTTGGGGCCATTTTGGGGACACTCTGGGTAGCCTTTGGGGCCATTTTGGGGACACTCTAGAGCCACTCTGGGGACGCTTTGGGTACCCTTTAGGGACACTTTAAGGGACGTTTTAGGGACACTCTGGGGATATTTTGGGGACACTCTGGGGCCATTTTGGGGACACTTTGGTGACACTCTGGGGACCCTTTGGGGACACTTTGGTGACACTCTGGGTACCCTTTGGGGACACTCTGGGGACATTTTGGGGACACTCTGGGGACACTTTGGGTACCCTTTAGGGACACTTTAAGGGACATTTTGGGGGCACTCTGGGGACAGTTTGGGGATATTTTGGGGGCACTCTGGGGACAGTTTGGGGATACTTTGGGGACACTCTGGTGGCCTTTCCCGCTGGGCAGACGCTGTACACGTACCCCGAGAACTGGCGCGCCTTCAAGGCGCTGATCGCGGCGCAGTACTCGGGCGCGCGGCTGCGCGTGCTCTCAACACCGCCGCTCTTCCGCTTCGGCCACACCAACCGCAGCCCCGAGTTCCTGCAGAAGTTCCCACTGGGAAAGGTGAGTTCTGAGCCTGGAAATCCCAAAATTCCCCCCAAAAAAACCCCAAAAACCTAAAAAATTCAAAAATCCCAATGGAATCCCAAAAAAACCCAAAATGAGGAGATTTAGGGTCTGGGGACTGGGGTTTGGGGAAGTTCAGGCCCCGCAGTTGCTGCAGAAGTTCCTGCTGGGAAAGGTGAATTCTGAGCCTGGAAATCCCAAAATTCCCCAAAAAAACCCCAAAAAATCTAAAAAAACTCAAAAATCCCAACGGAATCCCAAAAACACCCAAAATGAGGAGATTTGGGGTCTGGGGTTTGGGGGGTTCAGGCCCCGCAGGTGGGTCCTGATCCCAAAAAACATCCCGAAAAGAAACCCAAAAATCAAAAATAAACCCCAAAAGACTCAAAAATCCCAAAAATTCCCGAAACTGTGGGGATTTGGGGTCTGGGGGCATTTTGGGGGATTTGGGTAAGAATTCAGGGGTTTTGGGGGATTTGGGTGGGAATTTGGGGTTTTGGGGCATTTGGGGTTTTGGGTCAGAATTGGAGGTTTTGTGGTGTTTTTTTGGTGGTTTTGGGGTCTATTTGGAGTATTTTTGGGCTTTTTTGGGATTTTTTTGAGGTTTTTGTGGGGGTTTTGGGGCATTTTTGTGGGGGTTTTTGGTTTTTTTAGGGATTTTTGGGGGGTTTGGGGATTTTTTGGGAGGTTTTGGGGATATTTTTGGGGTATTTTTGTTGGTTTTGGGTTTTTGGGGTGTATTTGGGATATTTTTGGCATTTTTTGGAGTTTTTTGGGTATTTTTTGGGGTATTTGGGTTGTTTTTGGTCTCACCCGTCTCCCTGCAGGTCCCGGCCTTCGAGGGCGACGACGGATTCTGTGTCTTCGAGAGCAACGCCATCGCCTACTACGGTTAATTAGCTCCCTAATTAGCTTAATGAGCTGCTGTGTTCCTCACTGGCTGTGTTCCCCTGCCTTAATTAATTAATTTGTTCATTGATTGATTGATTGATTGATTGGCCCTTTCCTGGAGCTCAGGGTGGGGCACTGAGAGCTCGTTAATGGTCTCCCATTGCTCATTAAGGATTTCTCCTGCCCCTTAACGAGTCCCTCCTCTAATTAACCATTCCGATAGCTAATTAATTACCCTTTTGGCTAATTAATTAACCCCTTCCTGCCCAGTGAGCACGGACGAGCTGCGGGGCAGCACCCCCGAGGCCGCGGCGGCCGTGCTGCAGTGGGTGAACTTCGCCGACAGCGACGTCGTCCCCCCGGCCAGCACCTGGGTGTTCCCCACGCTGGGCATCCTGCACTACAACAAACAGGTGGGGAATTTTGGGGGGAATTTGGGGAATTTTTGGGGGATTTTTGGGGATTTTTTGGGATTTTTTGTGATTTTTTTAAAATAATTTTTTGGTGTTTTTTTGAGCGGTTTTTGGATGTTCCCCACACTGGGCATCCTGCACTACAACAAACAGGTGTGCTCATTTTTTAGGGGATTTTGGGAATTTTTGGGGAATTTTTTAAGGGTTTTGGGAAAATTTTCAGGAATTTTCGGCGGTCTTGAGGAATTTTTGGCGGGTTTTTTTGGGATTTTTCATGATTTTTTATCTCATTTTTTGGGTGTTCCCCACGCTGGGCATCCTGCGCTACAACAAATAGGTCTGCAGGTTTTGGGGGATTTTTTGGGATTTTTTGGGGATTTTTGAGGGGTTTTTGGAAATTTTAGTTGATTTTTTTTAAGAATTTTTTTGCGCGTTTTTTTGAGCAGTTTTTTGGGTGTTCCCCACACTGGGCATCCTGCACTACAACAAACAGGTGTGTGGATTTTTTAGGGGATTTTGGGAATTTTTGGGGAATTTTTTGAGGGTTTTGGGAAATTTTTCAGGAATTTTTGGGGATTTTCTTGGGATTTTTTGAAATAATTTTTTGGGGTTTTTTTGAGCGGTTTTTGGATATTTTCCACACTGGGCATCCTGCGCTACAACAAACAGGTGGGGTTTGGGAATTCCAGGAATTTTGGGTTTCCTTCCCCAGTTTTGGGGTTTTCCTCCCCGATTTCAGGTTCCCCTCCCCAATTTGGGTTCCCCTCCCCGATTTTGGGTTTTCCTTCCCCGATTTTAAGTTTCCCTCTCCTGTTTTGGGTTCCCATCCCTATTGTTTGTATTTCCCTCCCCAATTTCGGGTTCCTCTCCCCATTTTTGGGATCCCCCTCCCCAAATTCCGGGCTCTCCCTCCCCAGTTTCAGTTTCCCCTCCCCATTGTTTATATTTCCCTCCCCAATTTTGGTTTTCATTCCTCAATTTTGGGGTTTCCCTCCCCAGTTTTGGTTTTCATTCCCCAGTTTTAGGTTTTCCCTCCCCAATTTTGGTTTTCATTCCCCAGTTTTAGGTTTTCCCTCCCCAGTTTTGGTTTTCATTCCTCAGTTTTAGGTTTTCCCTCCCCAATTTTGGTTTTCATTCCCCAGTTTTAGGTTTTCCCTTCCCAATTTTGGTTTTCATTCCCCAGTTTTAGGTTTTCCCTCCCCAGTTTTGGTTTTCATTCCCCAGTTTTATGTTTTCCCTCCCCAATTTTCGTTTTCATTCCTCAATTTTGGGGTTTCCCTCCCCGTTTTTTGTATTTCCCACCCCAATTTTTAGTTCCCCTCCCCAACTTTGGGTTTTCCTACCCCAATTTTAAGTTTGCCTCCCAGATTTTGGGTTTCCCTCCCTAATTTTGGTCTCCCTCCCCGTTTCTGGGCTCCCCCTGCCCGCTTTGGCCCGCAGGCCACGGAGGTGGCGAAGGAGGAGGTGCGCCGGGTGCTGGGGGTGCTGGACGGGCACCTGCGGACCCGAACGTTCCTGGTGGGCGAGAGGGTGAGCCTGGCAGACATCAGCCTGGTCTGCGCCCTGCTCTGGCTCTACAAACAGGTAATTGGGTCGTTTTGGGGAGATTTGGGTCGTTTTGGGGGGATTTGGGTCATTTTGGGGGTGCTCAGCCTGATCTGTGCCCTGCTCTGGCTCTACAAACAGGTAATTTGGGTCATTTTGGGGAGATTTGGGTCGTTTTGGGGGGATTTGGGTCATTTTGGGGGGATTTGGGTCATTTTGAGGGTGCTCAGCCTGGTCTGCGCCCTGCTCTGGCTCCACAAACAGGTAATTTGGGTCATTTTGGGGAGATTTGGGTCATTCTGGGGGGATTTGGGTCATTTTGGGGGGGCTCAGCCTGGTCTGCGCCCTGCTCTGGCTCTACAAACAGGTAATTGGGTCATTTTGGGGGGATTTGGGTCATTTTGGGGGGGCTCAGCCTGGTCTGCGCCCTGCTCTGGCTTTACAAACAGGTAATTGGGTCATTTTGGGGAGATTTGGGTCGTTTTGGGGGGATTTGGGTCATTTTGGGGGTGCTCAGCCTGGTCTGCGCCCTGCTCTGGCTCCACAAACAGGTAACTGGGGGGATTTGGGAATCTCAGGTGTATTTAGGATATATTTAGGATGTATCTCTGGTATATCTCAGTTGTGTTTTGGGGATCTCAGGTGTGTTTTGGGGATCTCAGGTGTATTTTGGGGATCTCAGGTGTATCTCAGGTGTATTTTGGGGATCTCGGGTGCATTTTGGGGATCTCAGGTGTATTTAGGATATATTTAGGATGTATGTAAGGTGTATTTCAGGTATGTTTTGGGGATCTCAGGTGTGTTTTGGGGATCTCAGGTGTATTTAGGATATATTTAGGATGTACTTAAGGTGGATCTCAGGTGTGTTTTGGGGATCTCAGGTGTGTCTGTCTCTCCCCAGGTGCTGGACCCCGCGTTCCGCGGCCCCTTTGGCAACGTCACGCGCTGGTTCCTCACCTGCCTGAACCAGCCCCAGTTCAAGGCCGTGCTGGGCGAGGTGCAGCTGTGCCAGCGGATGGCGCAGTTCGACGGTGGGCACACCTGGGGACACCTGGGGGCACCTGGGGACACACCTGGGCACACCTGGGGGCACACCTGGAGTGGCTGGGACACACCTGGAGACACCTGGGCGCACCTGGGGGCACACCTAGAGTGGCTGGGCACACCTGGGGACACACCTGGGAGACCTGGGCACGCCTGGAGACACACCTGGGGACACCTGAGGGCACCTGGGGACAGCTGGGGGCACACCTGGAGGCACCTGGGACACACCTGGGGGCACACCTAGGGTGGCTGGATCACACCTGGGCACACCTGGGGACACACCTGGGGGCACCTGGACACATCTGGGGGCACACCTGGGGTGGCTGGGACACACCTGGGGGCACCTGGGAGGGGCTGGGACACACTTCGGCACACACCTGGGCACACCTGAGGAGGGTGGCACACACCTGGGCACACAGCTAGGCACACCTGGGGGGGTGGGGACACACCTGGGCACACCTGGGGGCACACCTGGAGTGGCTGGGACACACCTGGGCACACCTGGGAGGGGCTGGGGCACACCTGGGCGCACCTGGGCACACCTGAGGAGGGTGGCACACACCTGGGGGCACCTGGGGGGGGCTGGGACACACTTCAGCACACACCTGGGCACACCTGGGGGTTGGGGACACACCTGTGAATTTTAGAATAGTTTAAAAGGAGATTCTTGGGGTAAAAAAGGGGCAGAGAAGGTGAATTTTGGGGTAATTTAAAAGGAAATTTTTGGGATAAAAAAGCAGCAGAAAAAGCAAATTTTAGGCTAATTTAAGAGGGATTTTTTTGAGGTGTGAACCTGAATTTTAAGCTAATTTAAAAACATTTTTTTTTGAGGTTAAAAACTGAATTTCGGGCTAATTTAAAAGCGATTTTTTGAGATGAAAAGGTGAATTTTTAAGCTAATTTAAAAGGGATTTTCTTGAGGTAAAAAGCTGAATTTTGGGCTAATTTAAAAGCAAATTTTTGAGGTGAAAAACCGAATTTCGGGCTAATTTAAAAGCAACTTTTTGAGATGAAAAGGTGAATTTTAAAGCTAATTTAAAAGGGATTTTTTTGTGGTAAAAAGCTGAATTTTGGGCTAATTTAAAAGCAAATTTTTGCAGTTAAAAACCGAATTTCGGGCTAATTTAAAAGCGATTTTTTGCGGTAAAAAAAACAACAAAAACCACGATTTTGGGGGCGATTTTTGCCCGAAAAACCCCAAATCTCACCCTTTTCTTTTGGGAAGCAGCCAAGAAGTTTGCGGAGGGGCAGGCGCGGCGGGAGAAGGAGAAGGAGCCCCCCAGGAAGGGGGAGAAGGAGAAGGAGCCCCCCAAGAAGGGGGAGAAGCCCCCCAAGAGGGAGGAGAAGCGGCCGGAGCCCGAGCAGGACCTGGACGAGTGCGAGCAGGTCCTGGCAGCCGAGCCCAAGGCCAAGGACCCCTTCGCCCACCTGCCCAGGAGGTGGGGGCACCTGGGGGGCAGCTGAGACACCTGGGGGGGATTTGGGGGGATTTGGGGACACCTGGGACACACCTGGGGACATCTGGGCAGTTTTGGGGACATCTGGGGACACTTGGGGGGCAGCTGGGGGACACCTGGGGGAGTTTTGGGGGGCGTTGGGGACACCTGGGGGGGTTTGGGGGACACCTGGGGGGTTTTGGGGGGATTTGGGGACACTTGGGGGAGTTTTGGGGGGATTTGGGGACACCTGGGAACACTTGGGGGGCAGCTGGGGGACACCTGGGGGGGTTTTGGGGGTTTTGGGGACACCTGGGGGGTTTTGGGGGGATTTGGGGACACCTGGGAACACTTGGGGGGCAGCTGAGACACCTGGGGGGGTTTGGGGACACCTGGGGACACTTGGGGGGCAGCTGGGGAACACCTGGGGGGGTTTTGGGGGGCGTTGGGGACACCTGGGGGAGTTTTGGGGATGCCTGGGGGGGTTTTGGGGACACCTGCGGGGGTTTTGAGGGGATTTGGGGACACCTGGAGGGGTTTGGGGGGGATTTGGGGACACCTGGAGGGGTTAGGGGGGTATTTGGGGACACCTGGGACACACCTGGGGACATCTGGGGGGATTTGGGGACATCTGGGGGGGGTTTGGGGGGATATGGGGACACCTGGGGGAGCACCTGGGACACCTTAGGGGCAGCTGGGAGGGGTTTGGCGGCACCTGGGACACACCTGGGGACACCTGGAGGGGGTTTGGGGTCACCCTGGAGGTTTTGGGGTCACTCTGAGGGGCTCAGGGTCACGCTCAGTGTCCGTCTGTCCCCCCAGTCCGTTTGTCCTGGACGAGTTCAAGCGCAAATACTCCAACGAGGACACGCTGGGGGTGGCCCTGCCGCACTTCTGGGAGCACTTTGACCGCGAGGGCTGGTCCCTGTGGTACTGCCAGTACCGCTACCCCGAGGAGCTGAGCCAGACCTTCATGAGCTGCAACCTCATCACGGGTGGGCCTTCCTCCCCCTCCTCATCCTCTTCTGCTTCATCTTCATCCTCATTCTCCTCTTCTTCGTCCTCTTCGTCATCCTTGTCTTCCTTCGTCTTCATCCCCACCCTTCCCATCCTTGTTCTTCCCCACCCTGAGGAGCTCCCCCAGACCTTCATGAGCTGCAGCCTCGTCACAGGTGGGCCTTCCTCCTCCTCCTCTTCATCTTCTTCTTCATCCTCATCCTCATCCTCCTCTTCTTCGGCCTCTTCGTCATCCTTGTCTTCCTTCGTCTTCATCCCCACCCTTCCCATCCTTGTTCTTCCCCACCCCAAGGAGCTCCCCCAGACCTTCATCCTCCTCCTCCTCATCCTCTTTTTCATCTTCTTCTTCATCCTCATTCTCATCCTCATCCTCCTCTTCATCTTCATCCTCATCCTCCTCTTCTTCAGCCTCTTCTTCATCCTTACCTTCCTTCGTCTTCATCCTCACCATCCCCATCCTTGTTCTTCCCCACCCTGAGAAGCTCCCCCAGACTTTCATCCTCCTCCTCATCCTCTTCTTCATCATCCTCATCCTCATCCTCCTCTTCTTCGTCCTCTTCTTCACCCTTGTCTTCCTTCATCTTCATCCCCACCCTTCCCATCCTTGTCCTCGTCACAGGTGGGCCTTCATCTTTATCCTCTTCTTCATCCTCATCCTCTTCATTTCATCCTCTTCTTCATCCTCATCCTTCATCTTCATCCTCACCATCCCCATCCTTGTCCTTCTCCTTGTCCTTCCCCACCCCGAGGAGCTCCCCCAGACCTTCATCCTCCTCCTCCTCCTCCTCCTCCTCCCTTGCCTTCCCTCCCTTCCCTTTTCCTGCTGCTCCTTTCCTGAGTTTTCTTTCTTTTCCCTCTTTTCCTTCAATTTTCTCTCCATTTTCCCTTTTTCTCTCCCTTTTCCCCCTTTTTTCTCTCCCTTTTCCCTTTTTCCATCCCTTTTCCTCTCTTTTCTCTCAATTTCCCTTTCCTTTCCTCTCTCTCCCATTTCCTCTCCCATTTCCATTCATTTTCCCTGTTTTTCCCAGTTTTCCCTCTCCTGGGGACATCCCAGCACCTGCACAAATCCCTTTTTTCTCCTTTCCTCTCCTTTGCTCTCCTTTTCTCTCACTTTTCTCTCCTTTTTTTCTCACTTTTCTCTCCTTTTTTCCTCACTTTTCTCTCCTTTTTTCCTCACTTTTCTCTCCTTTTTTCCTCACTTTTCTCTCCTTTTCTCTCACTTTTCTCTCCTTTTTTTCTCACTTTTCTCTCCTTTTTTTCTCACTTTTCTCTCCTTTTCTCTCCTTTTTTCTCACTTTTCTCTCACTTTTCTCAATTTTTTATCCTTTCCTCTCATTTTTCTGACTTTTTCTCCTTCTCTCTCCTTTATTCTCCTCTTCACTCACTTTTCTCTCCTTTTCTCTCTTTTTTTCTCACTTTTCTCTCACTTTTCTCACTTTTCTCTCATTTTTCTCTTACTTTTTCTCATTTTCTCACTTTATTCTCCTCTCACTTTTCTCTCCTTTATTCTCCTTTTCTCTCACTTTTCTCTCCTTTCCTCTCATTTTTCTGACTTTTTCTCCTCTCTCCTTTATTCTCCTATTCTCTCACTTTTCTCTCCTTTTCTCTTTTTTTTTCTCACTTTTCTCTCACTTTTCTCACTTTCCTTTCCTCTCCTTTCCTTTTCTCTCACATTTCTCTCACTTTTCTCTCCTTTCCTCTCACTTTTTCCCGTTTTTCCCCTTTTTCCCCGTTCCCAGGGATGTTCCAGCGCCTGGACAAGCTGCGCAAGAACGCCTTTGCCTCGGTGGTGCTGTTTGGGAAGGACCACGACAGCAGCATCTCGGGGGTCTGGGTGCTGCGGGGGCAGGAGCTGGCCTTCACGGTGAGAAAACCAGAATAAACCCCAAAATTACCCCCAAAAAATCCATGGGGCGGGGTTTACAGGGAGAAAACCACAAAAATCCCCACTGAAATATCCCAAAATAGCCCCAAATCCAAGCCCTGGGTGCCGTGGGGGCAGGAGCTGGCCTTAACGGTGAGAAATCCCAAAAAACCCCAAAATTCAAAAAAAAAAAAACTTGAAAAAATCCATGGGGTGGCTTTTACAGGAAGAAAACCCCAAAAATTCCCATTGAAATATCCCTAAATACCTCCAAACCCTTGGGAATTCCGGGCTTTCATGGCATTTTCACTGAAAATATCAGATTTTTTTGCAGTTTTCACAAGAACCCCAGTATTTTCTGTCCCTAATTCCCATTTTTCCCGTTTTCCCCCCATTTCCCAGCTGTGCCCGGACTGGCAGGTGGATTACGAGTCCTACACCTGCCAAAACCCCCCTAAAATCCCAATTTTAAGGGTTTTTTTGTGGGAATATCAGATTTTTTTGCGGTTTTCAATGGAAACCTGCTGTTTTCTGTCCCTATTTCCCATTTTTCCTGTTTTTTCCCCCATTTCCCAGCTGTGCCCGGACTGGCAGGTGGATTACGAGTCCTACACCTGCCAATAACCCTAAAAAAAGCTCAAAAACTGCCCAAACACCCCCCAAAACCCCTGAGAATGTCGGACTTTTTTGCAGTTTTCACAGGAAACTCAGTATTTTTTTTAACAATTCCCATTTTTCCCGTTTTTCCCCCCATTTCCCAGCTGTGCCCGGACTGGCAGGTACATTACGAGTCCTACACCTGCCAAAACCCCCCTAAAATCCCAATTTTCAGGGGTTTTTCTGTAGGAGTATCAGATTTTTTTGCGGTTTTCAGTGGAAACCTGCTGTTTTCTGTCCCTAATTCCCATTTTTCCTGTTTTTTCCCCCATTTCCCAGCTGTGCCCGGACTGGCAGGTGGATTACGAGTCCTACACCTGGCGCAAGCTGGACCCCGACAGCGCCGAGTGCCGGACGCTGGTGACGGAATATTTCAGCTGGGAGGGCGAATTCCGGCACGTGGGCAAACCCTTCAACCAGGGCAAGATCTTCAAGTGAATTTGGGCTGAAATCCCGGGATTTTGGGAATTAAATCCCAGAGTTTGGGGCTGAAATTCCAGGGTTTGGAGCCCTTCAACCAGGGCAAGATCTTCAAGTGAATTTGGGCTGAAATCCCGGGATTTTGGGGCTGAAATTCCAGGGTTTCAGGGCCCTTGGAGATCTGCAAGCGAATTCAGGTTCAAACTCCAGAATTTTGGGCTCAAATCTCAGCATTTCGGGGCCCTTCAACCACTTCAGGATCTTCAAGTGAAATTTGGGCTGAAATCCCAGGATTTTGGGCTCGAATCCCAGGATTTTGGGCTCGAATCCCAGGATTTTGGGCTCAAATCCCAGGATTTCAGGGCCCTTTGAGCACAGCAAGATCTCCCGGTGACCCCCTGGAATTTTGGGCTGAAACCCCGGGATTTCGGGGCCCTCCAGCCCCGATCCAATAAAGAATTTGGGACAGGACAAGACTCCGGAGTGGTTTGGGGTTCTTTTGGGGTGGATTTGGGGCATTTTGGGCCATTCCAGAGGGTCCCAAGGGGCTCCAGGAGGTGCTGGACTGATCCAGAATCCCAAATTTTCCATAAACTCCCCCAAAATCTTTGCTCAGGAGGAGAACCGGGAGCGCTCCCGGAATTTTGGGGGGTCCTGGGGCGATCCCAGCCCCGTTGGCCCCAAAAAATCCCAAATTCCGACGAATTTGGGGCAGAAATTCCGGAATTTTCTGGGAATCCCCTCCCCCCACATCTTGGGGGGCTGAGATTTGATTCGGTGCTGGGGGAGGGGCAGTCCCAGTATAAACCAGTAACGGCCACCAAAACCAGTTTGGGCCCCCCGCCCCTCCCCCGTTTCCTTCCTGGGCTTCCCCTCCCCCACCCCGGCAGCGCCAGATGTGGCCCCGCCCCTCCCCCACCCCGCGGCCACATCTGGATCCAGTTCGGTCCCAGTTCAGCCCCAGTTTCTCCCAGTTCCTCCCACTTCAGACCCAGTTCCTCCCAGTTCAGCCCCAGTTCCTCCCAGTTTAATTCCAGTTTGGTCCCAGTTCAGCCCCAGTTCCTCCCAGTTTAGCCCCAGTTCCTCCCAGTTTCTCCCAGTTCAGCCCCAGTTCCTCCCAGTTTAGCCCCAGTTCCTCCCAGTTTCTCCCAGTTCAGCCCCAGTTCCTCCCAGTTTTTCCCAGTTCCTCCCAGTTCTTCCCAGTTCCTCCCAGTTCAGCCCCAGTTCCTCCCAGTTTCCGCCTTTCCGCGGCCGCGCCCTCCTGAGTCACCCCCGGGCGGGGACAGCGCCCCCCCCCCCCGACATTGTCCCCAAACCCCGGGGGGGGGGTCCCGGTGTCCCCTCCCCCCCCCCCGGTGCCAAATTCCACGGGGGGACACTGGGGGACACTGGGGGGACACGGGGGGACACTGGGGGACACCTGGCCCAGGTGTGGCGGCTCCGGGCCGGGGCCACGCCCCGGTGTCCCCGAATGTCACCGGGTGTCACCGGGTGTCCCCGAATGTCACCGGGTGTCCCCGAATGTCACCGGGTGTCCCCGGGTGTCACCGGGTGCCAGCGGAGCGCCCGCGGGCGGTGCCACGCCCGGGTGCCACCAAAAAAGTGCCACCAGATGTCCCAGGGCGAGCTGGCAGCGCTCGAGGGCCACCAAAGTGTCCCTGGGGGTGGCACCGCGCGGGTGGCACCGGAGCCGCTGTCCCCTCCTGTCCCCTCCTGTCCCCTTCTGTCCCCGTCCCGCGGCTCCCCGCAAATTATTCGGGAATTCTTCGGGAATTCGGGAGTCCCGGGGTGCCCCCCACACCCCCCTGCCACCCCCCCGTTGTCGCCCGCCTGTCCCCTGCCGCGGCCCCCCCGCCCCCGGTGGCCCCGGGCCAGCGCGGAATCCCAAACATCCCAAAATCCCAAACATCCCCCCCCTCCCCTCCCCCTCCCGCGGGGGGGCCGCGCCCTCCCCTCCCCCTCCTCCCCCCCCCCCCTCCCCCTCCCGCCGCCCCGGGGGGGTCCCCGGTGTCCCCCGGTGGTCCCCGGTGTCCCCCGGTGTGTCCCGGTGTGTATCCCGGTGTGTCCCGGTGTCCCCCCCCCCCCCCCCCCCGCCGTGGCGCGGGGCCACGGGAGGGGCGGGGCGGGCGGGGGGGATGAGGCAGCGCTCGGGAATGCGCCGGGATTTGGCACCGGAGGCTCCGGGACCGCCCGGGAACGGCCCCGGGAGCGGCCCGGGAGCGGCCCCGGGAACGGCCCCGGGAACGGCCCCGGGAACGGCCCCAGAACCGCACCGGGAGCGGCCCCGGGAGCGGTCCCAGAACCGCACCGGGATCGGGCCCGGTTCCGTTCGGGAACAGCCCCGGGAGCGGCCCCAGAACCGCACCGGGATCGGTCCCAGAACGGGCCCGGAATCGGTCCCAGAACGGCCCCGGGATCGGTCCCAGAACGGCCCCGGGATTGGTCCCAGAACGGGCCCGGAATCGGTCCCAGAACCGCACCGGGATCGGGCCCAGAACGGCCCCGGGAACGGCCCCAGAACCGCACCGGGATCGGGCCCGGAACCGCACCGGGATTGGTCCCAGAACCGCACCGGGATCGGGCACAGAACCGCACCGGGATCGGTCCCAGAACGGCCCCGGGATTGGTCCCAGAACGGGCCCGGAATCGGTCCCAGAACCGCACCGGGATCGGGCCCGGAACGGCCCCAGATCGGGCCCGGGAGCGGCCCCAGACCCGCACCAAGATCGGTCCCAGAACCGCACCGGGATCGGTCCCAGACCCGCACCGGGATCGGCCCGGGACTGGCCCCGGTACCACCGGGAAAGGCCCCAAATGGACCCAAAACGGCCCCAAATGGACCCAAAACTGCCCCAAATGGACCCAAACCGGCCCCAAATCAGCCCCGGTCCCACCGGGAACAGCCCCAGAACCGCAGGCGGGGAATGAGGGACCGGGAAGGGGAATTTGGGGAAAACTTTGGGAGAATTTGGAAGAATTTGGGAGAATTTAGGGAGAAATTTGGGGAAATTATGAGGGAATTCGGGAGAATTTGGGAGAATTTTGAGGGAATTTGTGAGAATTTCAGGGGATTTGGGGGGATTTGGGAGAATTTGGGGGCTCAGGGGTGGGGACAGTCCCAGATTTTGGGAAGATTGCGGCTCCCAGTACGGACTGGGCCAAACTGGGAGGAGAACCTGAGGGTCCCGGCTGTCCCCAGTGCCCCCCCAGTGCCCCCCAGTCCATCCCAGTACCCCCCCAGTGCCTCCCCAGTCCATCCCAGTCCATCCCAGTGCCCCCCAGTCCATCCCAGTGCCCCCCAGTGCCCCCCAGTCCATCCCAGTGCCCCCCCAGTTCCAGTTCTGGGATTTTTTGGGGTTTTTGGGGGTCCGGGGTCACTTTTGGGGTCGGGGTTACCGGGGGGGGGCGGGGCTTGGGACTCACCTGGGGGGGGTCCCGGTCCGGGATTGTGAACCGGAACCGGGACCGGATCCGGAACCGGGATCGGGACTGGAACTGAGACCAGAACCGGGACCGGGATTGGAACCGGAACCGGGACCGGAACCGAGATCGGGATCGGGACTGGGACTGGGACTGGAACCGGGACCGGGACCGGGACTGGAACCGGACCGGGACCGGGATGAGCTCGGGAACGGGAACACGACTGAAGCTGGACCGGGACCGGAACCGGGACCGGGATCGGATCAGAACCAGGACTGGAATTCTGGGATCGGAATTGGACAAGGGACCGGAACCGGGACCGGGATCAGAACCGGGATTGGACCAGAGCTGGGACCAGAACCGGGACCGGGATCGGGGTCAGAACCATCCCGGGAGAGGGTCCAGGCTCGGAACTGGGACGGGATCGGGACCAGGACCGGGATCAGACCGGACCCAGAACCGGGACCAGAACGGGGCCCACAACCGGGATCAGACCAGGCCCAGAACCGGAACCAGAAGCGGGACCAGAATCGGGATCAGAACCGGGCTCAGAACCGAGACCAGAACGGCCTCGGACCGGTACCAGCTCGGGCCCAGAACCGAGACCAGATCCGGGATCAGACCGGGCCCAGAACCGAGACCAGAACCGGGATCAGACCGGGCCCAGAACCGAGACCAGAACCGGGATCAGAACCGAGACCAGACCCGGGATCAGAACCGAGAGCAGAACCGGGATAATCCCGGGTCCAGAACCGAGACCAGAACCGGGATCATCCCGGGTCCAGAACCGAGACCAGAACCGGGATCATCCCGGGATCAGAACCGAGACCAGAACCGGGATCATCCCGGGTCCAGAACCGAGACCAGACCCGGGACCATCCCGGGATCAGAACCGAGACCAGAACCGGGATCATCCCGGGTCCAGAACCGAGACCAGAACCGGGATCATCCCGGGATCAGAACCGAGACCAGAACCGGGATCATCCCGGGTCCAGAACCGAGACCAGAACCGGGATCATCCCGGGATCAGAACCGAGACCAGAACCGGGATCAGCCCGGGATCAGAACCGGGATCATCCCGGGTCCAGAACCGAGACCAGAACCGGGATCATCCCGGGATCAGAACCGAGACCAGAACCGGGATCAGCCCGGGATCAGAACCGCCCCGGCCCGGCCCGGCCCGGCCCCGCTCGCAGCCGAACCGCGGCCGTGCCCCGCGCCGGGCGCGCCGGGGCCGCTCCCGCGGCCGCTGCCGCTCCGGGGCTGTCCCGGGCCGCTCCCTGTCCCGGGGCCGGGCCGGGCCGGGCCCTCCCGCGGGGCGGGGGAGGCTCCGCCGCCCTACAAGAGCCGAGACCCGCCCGGGCGCGGCCACTCCGCACGGACCCGCCGGGGCCGCTCCGGGACCGCCGGCACCGGCACCGGCACCGCCGCCAGGACCCGGCACCGGGCATGGCCCGGCCCGGCCGCTGAGCCCGCAGCGCGCAGGTACCGCCGGGGCGGCACCGGGACGGGACCGGGGCGGCACCGGGACGGCACCGGGACCGCCGGGAGGGGCGAGCGGGGGACCGGGGACGGTCCCGGGGGGTCCCGGGGGGTTCTGGTGGTCCCGGGAGTTGCCGGGGGGGGTCGGGAAGTGTCCGAGGGAGTCCCGGGCGGCACAGCGGGGGTCGCGGTGGTCCCGGGACGGGCCCGGGGGGCTCCGGGAGCGCCGGGAGTTGGTCCCGGTGGTCCCGAGAGTGGCCCAGGGTTGTCCCGGGGGGTTCCGGCGGTCCCGGGGGTGTCCCGGGGGGTTCCGGCGGTCCCGGCAGCGCCGTGGGGGTGCAGGGGGGGGTCCGCTGAGGGTCTCGGGGGGGCTCCGGGACCCCCGGGGGTCCGGCGGGGTTCGTTTATCCCGGGGGGCTCCGGGAGCGCCGCGAACTCCGCGGGGTGTGGCGGGGGGGGAAACCCACGCGTGTCCCGTGACGGCTCCGGGGCGGCTCCGGGAGCTCGGGGGGGGTCCCGGGGGTCTCCCGAGCCGGGCGGGGCGGCCCCAGGGGGGTCCCGGGGGTCCCGACCGCGCTCAGGGCGTGGCCCCCCCCCCCCCCCCTCCGGCCGCGCCCGGGGAGTCCCCGGTGGGGGCGGGGCCGCGGCTCCCCCCCCTCCCCCCACCTCCGGGCCCCGCCCGGGCCGGGGGGACCCCGAGGGGGGGGTCCCGGTGCCGAATTTGGGACGGGGGATCCCCGGGATCCCGCGAGGGCGCGGCCGCGCGTGGGCGCTGGGTTAATGAGGGTTCGGTAATTAACGCTCAGCAGCGCCGGTTTCAGCGCGGGGGCGGCGCTTTTGGCGGGGGGGGGGGTTGATTTTGGGATTCCCAACCCCAAATCCCCCCCCCCCCCCCCCACCCCCGAGGGAGGGGTCGGTGGGGAGGGGGGAGGGGGCGCGGGATCCCCCCTCTCCCCCCCCCTCCCCCTGCGGTTTTTGGGGCGCGGCCGCTCCCGGGCGCCACTTCCCCCTCTGCCCCCCCACCCCCCCCTTGGGGACACCCCCCCCCCCCTTGGGGACACCCCCCCTCACCCCGGGGGACCCCAACCCCCCCCGGGACCCCCAAGTTTGATTTGGGGCGAGGGCGGCTCCTCCGCGCGCCCCCTCCCCACCTCCCCCCCCCCTCCTTTTGAGGGACTCCCAATTTTGGGGGGGGGGGGCCGGGGACACCCCCGGAGTGTCGCGGCGCCACCGCGCGTGGCCGCGGGCAGCGTCCGGGCAGGACCCGGTGGAACCGGTCCGGGACCCTCCCGGAGCCGCGCGGTCCCCGCCGCCCGCGGGACTCTCGCTCCAGCCGGTCCGACCGGTACCGGCCGCGGGGCCGCGCCCGCTGCGCCTCCTCCTCCTCCTCCTCCTCCTCCTCCTCCTCCTCCTCCTCCTCCCCATCCTCCTCCTCGTCCCGCTCCTGCCGTTTTTGCCCCGTTTTCCCCCGTTTTTTTGGGAATGTTTTCCGGGATTCGCCGTTTCCCGGGAGCCTCCCGGGCCCCGCGTCACCGGCCCCGCCCCGGGGGGGGGTCGCAGCCCCCCGGACGCCCCCACGGATTTGGGGTCCGACCCACCCCCAAATACGCAGTGGCACCCGAGGGGGGGTCCCAAAATCGCACCCGAGGGGGGATCCCAAAAAACGGACCGGGGGATCCCAAAACCGGACCCGGGGGTCCCAAAACCGAACGTGGGGGTCCCAAAACCGGACCCGGGGGTCCCAAAACCGAACCCGGGGGTTCCAAAACCGAACCCGGGGATCCCAAAACCGGACCCGGGAATCCCAAAACCGAACCCGGGGGTCCCAAAACTGAACCTGGGGGTACCAAAACCGGACCCGGGGGTCCCAAAACCGAACGTGGGCGTCCCAAAACCGAACCCGGAGATCCCAAATCCGCGCCCGGGGGTCCCAAAACCGGACCCGGGGGTCCCAAATCCGAACCCGGGGGTTCCAAAACCGAACCCGGGGGTCCCAAAACTGAACCTGGGGGTCCCAAAACCGAACCCTGAGATCCCAAATCCGCGCCCGGGGGTCCCAAAGCCGAACCCAGGGGTCCCAAAGCCGAACCCGGGGATCCCAAAGCCGAACCCGGGGATCCCAAAACTGAACCCGGGGGTCCCAAAACCGGACCCGGGGCTCCCAAAAAACGGACCGGGGGGTCCCAAAACCGAACCCGGGGGTCCCAAAATCGAACCCGGGGGTCTGAAAAAACGGACCCGGGGGTCCGAAAACCGAACCCGGGGTCCCAAAAGCGAACCCGGGGGTCCCAAAACTGAACGCGGGGGTCCCAAAGCCGAACCCGGGAGTCCCAAAACCGAACCCGGAGATCCCAAATCCGCGCCCGGGGATCCCAAAACCGAACCCGGGGGGGGTCCCCATCAGCGTCCCCGTGTCCCCAAACGCCACCCAAGGGCGGGGGTCGCCCCGCTGCCCCCCCCGTGCCCCCCCCGGGTGGGGGGGTGAGGTGACACCTCATCCCCCACCCCCCCCGTCCCTCTGAGGTTTTTGGGGTCGGGGGGGTCGGAGGGGGGGGGACAGGCTGCTAAAGATAGCGGGCACGTGGTTTGCACCCCAAAAATAGCGCAGCGGGGGAGGGGGGGGTGGCATTGCTGCGGGGACACCGGGGACACCGGGGGGGGTGGTTCGTGTCACCCCCCCCCCCCCCGAGCCGCGAGGGGACCTCGGGGAAATTGGGGGGGGGGGGGGCGGTGGGAAATGCGGGGAACTCCTGGAAAAGGCGAATTTTGGGCGGGTTTCGGGGCTCGCGCCCCTCCCCCCGCTCTGAGTCCCCCCCGGTGTCCCCCCCCGGTCTGAGTCCCCCCCGGTGTCCCCCCCCCCGGTCTGAGTCACCCCCGTGTCCCCCGCCCCGCTCTGAGTCACCGACCGGTCCGGCCGCCACCGGCGGAGCCTTCCAGAGCCTTCCGGGGCCGCGGTGGCACTTTGGGGACACCCCGGGGCCGGGGGGGGGACACCCCGGGGTGGGGGGGGCACCCCGGGGTGGGGGGGGCACCCCGAGGGGGCGGCCGCTGCCACCCACCCCCCCCCCAAAAGGTGTCACCCCCTCCCGAAGGTGCCACCACCCCCGAAGGTGCCACCGCCCCCGAAGGTGCCACCACCCCCCCTTCCGGGTCCCCTCCCCGGGTTTTTTTTGGGGGGGGGGTTTTGAGCAGGGGAAGGACCAAAAAAAAACCCAAAAAAAAAAAAGACCCAAAAAAAAAAAAAAAAAAAAACCAGAAATACCGAACCGAAATTCTCTGAAAACGGAGAAATTCCCTCAAAACTTCAGAAGGGGAGAGGGGACAGGGGACAGGTCACCGGGGTGTCCCTGGGGTGTCCCGGGGGGGTCCCGGGGGGGTCCCGGGGGTGTCCCGGGGGTGTCCCGGGGGTGTCCCCGATGTCCCGGGTGTATCCCCGTGTCCCACCCCCTCTCCGATGTCCCCTCCAGGAGCTGCCGCAGGTTCCCGAGCGAGGCCGAAAATTCCTGCCGGGACCGGGACCGGGACCGGGACCCCACCGAGGTCACTGACCCCCAGCCCCACACTGACCCCAGCCCCATTTCCAGCCCCACACTGACCCCTGACCCCTGTCCAGCCCCACACTGACCCCGGCCCCATTTCCAGCCCCACACTGACCCCCAGCCCCACACTGACCCCCAGCCCCACACTGACCCCGGCCCCATTTCCAGCCCCACACTGACCCCAGCCCCATTTCCAGCCCCACGCTGACCCCCATCCCCATTTCCAGCCCCACGCTGACCCCCATCCCCATTTCCAGCCCCACACTGACCCCCATCCCCCTGTGCAGCCCCACACTGACCCCCATCCCCATTTCCAGCCCCACACTGACCTCAGCCCCATTTCCAGCCCCACACTGACCCCTGTCCCCTGTCCAGCCCCACACTGACCCCATCCCCATTTCCAGCCCCACACTGACCCCTGACCCCTGTCCAGCCCCACACTGACCCCAGCCCCATTTCCAGCCCCACGCCGACCCCATCCCCCTGTGCGGCCCCACACTGACCCCAGCCCCATTTCCAGCCCCACACTGACCCCAGCCCCATTTCCAGCCCCACACTGACCCCCAGCCCCATTTCCAGCCCCACACTGACCCCAGCCCCATTTCCAGCCCCACGCTGACCCCAGCCCCATGCTGACCCCAGCCCCATTTCCAGCCCCACACTGACCCCAGCCCCATTTCCAGCCCCACACTGACCCCTGACCCCTGTCCAGCCCCACACTGACCCCAGCCCCATTTCCAGCCCCATTTCCAGCCCCACGCTGACCCCAGCCCCATTTCCAGCCCCATTTCCAGCCCCACACTGACCCCCATCCCCATTTCCAGCCCCACGCTGACCCCAGCCCCATGCTGACCCCAGCCCCATTTCCAGCCCCACACTGACCCCAGCCCCCTGTCCAGCCCCACACTGACCCCCAGCCCCATTTCCAGCCCCACACTGACCCCAGCCCCATTTCCAGCCCCACACTGACCCCAGCCCCATTTCCAGCCCCACGCTGACCCCAGCCCCGTGTCCCGGCGCAGATGGAGCGCGAGGAGGAGACGCGGGAGATCCTCCTGCCCAACTGGCAGGGCAGCGGCTCCCACGGCATCACCATCGCCCAGACCGACGACGGCGTCTTCGTGCGGCGCGTGCAGCAGAACTCGCCCGCCGCCCGCATGGGCGTGGTGCAGGAAGGTGGGGTCACTCACAGGGGGGACACGGGGCTCTTCACTGAATTTTGGGGCTCAAAATGGGATTTTTGGGGTTGTTTTGGTGGCACCTCGCAGCCTCCACGCCTGTGAGCGATGACCCTGTGGTCAGGGTGGGACAGGGGGTTCTTCACTGAATTTTGGGGCTCAAAATGGGATTTTTGGGGTTGTTTTGGTGGCACCTCACCGTCCCCGTGCCCGTGGGCGATGACCCTGCGGTCACTCAGGGCAGGGACGGGGGGTCCCCGCCGGTGTCCCCCCACCCCAGACCCCTGACCCGCTGTCCCCCGTGTCCCCAGGGGATCAGATCGTCAGCGCCACCGTCTACTTCGACAAGCTGCAGTCGGGGGAGGCGGCGCAGCTGCTGCAGAGCATGGGCCAGCACACGGTGGGGCTGCGGCTGCAGCGCCGCGGTGACCGCTCGCCGCTGGCCGGGCGCGGCTGCGGACAGACGGACACCGCGCCCGGCAGCCCCGAGGTCGTGCTGGTGAGCGAGGAGGAGGAGCGGGAGGAAGGAGGAGGAGGGGGAGGATGGGGATGAGGGGGGAGATGAGGATGAAGGTGAGGGGGAGGATGGGGGAGGATGAGGACGAAGATGAGGATGAGGATGGGGATGAGAAAAATATGAGGACGAGGATGAGGATAAAGGTGGGGATGAGGATGAGGATGGGGATGAAGATGAGGATGGGGATGAAGATGAGGATGAAAATAAGGATGAAAATAAGAATGAGGACAAGGACGAGGACGAGGATGAGGATGAGGATGAGGATGAGGATGGGGATGAAAATAAGGATGAGAACAAAGTTGAGGATGAGGATGAAAATAAGGATGAAGATGAAGACGAGGACAAAGAGAAGGATGAGAATAAGGACAAGGACAAGGATGAGAACAAAGCTGAGGATGAGGATGAGGACAAAGATGGGGATGAGGATGAGGATGGGGATGAAGATGAGGATGGGGAGGAGGATGAGGATGGGGATGAAAATAAAGATGAGAACGAAGACGGGGACAAGGATGGGGATGGGGATGACGATGGAGACGAGGATGAGGATGGGGAGGAAGCAGCGTCCAGCGCTCACCAGCGCCGTCTCCTCCGCAGAGCGGCGATGACGAGGAGTACCAGCGCATCTACACCACCAAGATCAAACCGCGGCTCAGGTCCGAGGAGGGGCCGGAGGCCGAGGCCGGCGGGACGCAGAGCAGGACCATCACGGTCACCCGCAAGGTCACCGCCTACACCGTGGATGTCACCAGCCACGACGGCGACCTCGGCGTCATCGGCGGCCCCGATTTCAATGTCTGCATCCCCACGCCGGAGTTCGGCATGACGTCCGGCACCGATGTCCGAGCGGGGCTGGGGGACCTGCCCGGGACACCTGAGGGGCTTCACCTCCAGCCCCAGAGCCAAATTCCTGGTGGAGAAACTGGAAAAACCCTCGTGGGCTGGAAGGGCTTCCCGGGGTCGCCCCGCATCGAGGCCAATGGACAGTTTGGAGAGCTTGACGGGTCATTCCACGCCACGGGGCTGGATGGGCAGGGCCACGTGTCCGGCGGGGCTCCGTGCCCGCAGGGAGAGGTCAGCGGCTCCTCGCCACCCGTGGACGTGGGGAAAATCAAGATCCCGACGTTAAAAATCCCCAAATTCGGGTTCCAGGCTGGTGGTGAAGCCGCGGCCCCGCAGGTGGGCGCCGGGATGGACGTCACCTGCTCCACCTCCCCGTCCGGCCAAGCCCCGGCGCCGCAGGTGGACGCGGCGGCCAAAGGTGCCACCAAGGTCCCCTGCCCTGCACCGGATGTCCCCGGCGTGGAGGTCCCGGCCCCGGACAGCGCCAAGGGGAAAATCAAAATCCCGCACATGACCTTCCCCAAATTCACCGCCCAGGGCGACGGCGCCACCATGGACGTCCCCAAGGGCGTGGCCGTCCCCGAGGCGGCCCTGGAAGGAGAATGGAAAGGCCCCGCCTTCAAGAAGGTGGAAACGCCCCAAATTTCGCTGTCGGACGTGAACCTGAACCTGAAGGGCCCCAGAGGGGAAGGGGACCTGAAAGGACTCTGCCCCAAGGTGGACGTGAAGGGTCCCGAGGTGGACGTGGCCAGGCCAGGGCGTGGCCTGAAGGGCGTGGAGGTGGACGTTGACCTGAAGGGGCTGAAGGGAGGAGTGGACGTGTCCGTGCCGAGCGTGGAGGGCGAATTGAGGGGGCCTCAACTGGACCTTAAAGGGCCCCAGATCGGGGTGGAGGTGCCCGGAGTGGGCATCAAAGGCCCCGCGGTGAAGATGCCCGAGATGAGCGTCAAGACCCCCCAAATCTCTGTGCCCGACGTCGGCCTGAGCCTCAAAGGGCCCGGAGTGAAGGGAAATCTGGATGTTTCTGCCCCAAAACTGGAAGGGGAGCTGAAGACCCCCGGCGTGGACATCAAAGGCCCCGAAGTCGAGGTTGGGAGCCCAGAAATGGAGATCCAGGGGCCCGAGGGCAAGCTGAAGTTCCCCAAGCTGAAAATGCCCAAATTTGGGGTGAAAGGAGAGACCCCCAGCGTCGACGTGACCCTTCCCAAAGGGGGCGTGGAGGTCTCCGGCCCCAAGGTGGACGTCAGCGTTCCAAGCGTGGACATCAAGGGCCCCAGAGTGGACGTTGAAGCACCTGAAGTGGATGTTCACGGCCCTGAGGGAAAATTCAAGATGCCCAAATTCAAAATGCCCAAATTTGGGATGCCTGGGGTCAAAGCAGAAGGTCCCGAGGTGGACGTGAACCTCCCCAAGGGCGGCGTGGAGGTGTCCAGCCCCAAGGTGGATGTTGAGGCGCCAAGTTTGGGCATCCAGGGGCCCGAAATGCACCTCAAAGCCCCCAAAATCTCCGTGCCGGACGTCGACCTGACCCTGAACGGTGCCAAGGCCAGCGGCGACCTGGACGTGTCCGTGCCGGGTTTGAAGGGCCCCGAACTGGACATCAAAGGCCCCAAGGTGGAGGTTGAAGCCCCAGATTTGGACGTCCAAGGCCCCGAGGGCAAACTGAAGTTCCCCAAGCTGAAAATGCCCAAATTTGGGGTGAAGGGAGAGAGCCCCGAGCTGGAGGTGGCCCTTCCCAAGGGCAGCGTTGACATTTCGGGTCCCGGCGTCGCCGTCGAGGTCCCGAGCGTGGACATCAAGGGCCCCAAGGTGAAGGTGCCCGAGGTGGGCATCAAAACCCCCCAGATCTCCATGCCCAACATCGACCTGAACCTCAAAGGGTCCAAAGTCAAGGCAGATTTGGACATTTCCACCCCAAAACTGGAAGGGGAGCTGAAAGCCCCCGGAGTGGAGATCAAAGGCCCCAGAGTCGAGGTTGAAGCCCCAGATTTGGATGTCCAAGGCCCCGAGGGCAAACTGAAATTCCCCAAGATGAAAATGCCCAAATTTGGGGTGAAGGGAGAGAGCCCCGAGCTGGAGGTGACGCTCCCGAAGGGGGAGGTCGACATTTCTGCCCCCAAGGTGGACATCGACGTCCCCAGCGTGGACCTGGAAGGGCCGGAGCTCAAAGGGAAAGGTCTGAAGTTCAAAATGCCCGACCTCAACGTTCAGAGCCCAAAACTCTCCATGCCGGACGTGGATCTGGGCTTGAAGGCCCCGAAACTGAAAGGGGACGCCAGAATTTCCGGGCTGAAGGGCCCGAAAATCGACGTGAAAGGCCCCAAAGTGGACGTAGAAGGTGCCAAAATCGACGTGAAAGGTCCCAAGTTGGATGTGGAAGGTCCCAAGTTGGATGTGGAAGGTCCCAAGTTGGATGTTGAGGTGCCCGAGGTGGACATGGAATGTCCAGAAGGGAAGATGAAAGGCCACAAATTCAGGATGCCGAAACTGAACATCAAATCCCCCAAAATCTCGATGCCGGACGTGGATTTGAACCTGAAGGGACACAAAGTGAAGGGAGAGGTGGACGTGTCCCTCCCCAAGGTGGAAGGTGAGTTGAAAGCTCCAGAAGTGGATGTTAAAGGGCCGAAAGTGGACGTGGAGGTGCCCAGCGTGGATTTGGAAGGTCCCGAGGGGAAGATCAAAGGCCCCAAGTTCAAGATGCCCGAGATGCACATCAAGACCCAGAAGATCTCCATGCCCGACGTGGACATCAACCTCAAAGGCCCCAAGGTCAAGGGTGATGTGGACGTGTCCCTTCCAAAGCTGGAGGGTGACCTGAAGGGGCCTGAGCTGGACATCAAAGGCCCCAAGGTGGACGTTGATGTGCCAGACGTGGACATTCATGGCCATGAGGGAAAGTTCAAGATGCCCAAGTTCAAAATGCCCAAATTTGGGATGCCCGGGGTGAAGGCAGAAGGTCCCGAGGTGGACGTGAACCTCCCGACAGGAAACCTGGATGTGAGTGGCCCCAAGGTGGACATTGAAGGCCCAGAGGTGGATGTGGAGCTCCCAGAGGGGAAGATCAAAGGTCCCAAGTTCAAGATGCCCGAGATGCACTTTAACATGCCCAAGATCTCCATGCCCGACATCGACCTGAACCTGAAGGGCCCCAAAGTGAAGGGAGATGTCGATGTCTCTGTCCCTAAGCTCGAGGGTGACCTGAAGGGTTCAGAAATTGACCTCAAGGGCCCCAAGATGGACATTGAGGCACCTGATGTTGACATTCATGGCCCCGAGGGGAAATTCAAGATGCCCAAGTTCAAGATGCCCAAATTTGGGATGCCCGGGGTGAAGGCAGAAGGTCCCGAGGTGGACGTGAACCTCCCAAAAGGAGACCTGGATGTGTCCGGCCCCAAGGTGGACATTGAAGGTCCAGAGGTGGATGTGGAGTTGCCAGAGGGGAAGATCAAAGGTCCCAAGTTCAAGATGCCCGAGATGCACATCAAGGCCCCCAAGATCTCCATGCCCGACGTCGACTTCAACCTCAAAGGCCCCAAAGTGAAGGGGGACGTCGATGTCTCTGCTCCAAAACTGGAAGGGGACCTGAAAGGCCCCGAAATTGACATCAAGGGCCCCAAGGTGGACGTTGATGTGCCAGACGTGGACATTCATGGCCCCGAGGGGAAATTCAAGATGCCCAAGTTCAAGATGCCCAAATTTGGGCTGAAGGGAGAAGGCCCCGAGGTGGACGTGAACCTCCCGACAGGAAACCTGGATGTGAGTGGCCCCAAGGTGGACATTGAATGTCCAGAGGTGGACGTGGATCTCCCAGAGGGGAAGGTGAAGGGCCCCAAGTTCAAGATGCCCGAGATGCACTTTAACATGCCCAAGATCTCCATGCCCGACATCGACCTGAACCTGAAGGGCCCCAAAGTGAAGGGGGATGTGGATGTTTCCCTTCCAAAAGTGGAAGGTGACCTGAAGGGCCCAGAACTGGACATCAAAGGCCCCAAAGTCGATGTTGATCTCCCCGATGTTGAGCTGGAAGGGCCCGAGGGGAAGATCAAAGGTCCCAAGTTCAAGATGCCCGAGATGCACATCAAGGCCCCCAAGATCTCCATGCCCGACTTCGATCTGAACCTGAAGGGCCCCAAGGTCAAGGGGGATGTCGATGTCTCTGTCCCCAAGCTGGAAGGGGACCTGAAGGGGCCTGAGCTGGACATCAAAGGCCCCAAAGTGGACATTGAGGCACCCGATGTGGACATTCACGGCCCTGAGGGGAAATTCAAGCTGCCCAAATTCAAGATGCCCAAATTTGGGCTGAAGGGAGAAGGCCCCGAGGTGGACGTGAACCTGCCAAAAGGAGACCTGGATGTGTCCGGCCCCAAGGTGGACGTGGAGATGCCGAGTGTGGACATTGAGGGGCCGGAGGGGAAGATCAAAGGGCCCAAATTCAAGATGCCCGAGATGCACATCAAGGCCCCCAAGATCTCCATGCCCGACATCGACCTGAACCTGAAGGGCCCCAAGGTCAAGGGTGGTGTGGATGTCTCCGTCCCCAAATTGGAGGGTGACCTGCAAGGTCCAGATGTGAACATTAAAGGTCCGAAGTTGGATGTGGACGTTCCTGACGTGGACGTTGAAGGTCCTGAGGGGAAGTGGAAGGGACCCAAGATCAAGATGCCAGAGATGAACATCAAGGCACCGAAATTTTCTCTGCCTGATGTCGACCTGAACCTGAAAGGTCCCAAAGTGAAGGGAGAAGTGGACGTGTCTGCCCCAAAAATAGAAGGTGATGTGAAAGTGCCGGATCTGGAGTTGAAAGGACCCAAAGTGGATGTGGATGTCCCCGACATCGAACTGGAGGGCCCCGAGGGGAAGATCAAAGGTCCCAAGTTCAAGATGCCCGAGATGCACATCAAGGCCCCCAAGATCTCCATGCCCGACTTTGATCTCCACCTGAAGGGCCCCAAAGTGAAGGGAGACGTGGACGTGTCCGTCCCGAAAATTGAGGGAGACTTGAAGGCCCCAGATGTGAACATCAAAGGTCCCAAAGTCGATGTGGACCTCCCCGACGTCGACCTGGAGTGTCCCGAAGCGAAGCTGAAGGGCCCCAAGTTCAAGATGCCCGAGATGCACTTCAAAACCCCCAAAATCTCCATGCCCGACATTGACCTCAACCTGAAAGGCCCAAAACTGAAGGGGGACGTGGACATTTCCGCCCCCAAACTGGAAGGTGACCTGAAGGGCCCAGACGTGGACATCAAAGGCCCCAAGGTGGACATCGAAGCTCCTGACGTGGACGTGGATCTCCCAGAGGGGAAGGTGAAGGGCCCCAAGTTCAAGATGCCCGAGATGCACTTCAAAGCCCCCAAGATCTCCATGCCCGACTTCGATCTCAGCCTGAAGGGGCCCAAGGTCAAAGGGGACGTCGATGTGTCTGTGCCAAAGCTTGAAAGGGACCTGAAAGGGCCGGAGGTGTCACTGAAAGGTCCAAAAGTGGACGTGGAGGTTCCCGACGTGGAGCTGGAATGTCCTGAGGGGAAGATCAAAGGTCCCAAGTTCAAGATGCCCGAGATGCACTTCAAGGCCCCAAAGATCTCCATGCCCGACTTTGATCTCCACCTGAAGGGCCCCAAAGTAAAGGGGGATGTCGATGTCTCTGCTCCAAAGCTGGAAGGGGACCTGAAGGGCCCTGAACTGGACATCAAAGGCCCCAAAGTCGATGTGGACCTCCCCGACGTCGACCTGGAGTGTCCTGAGGGGAAACTGAAGGGCCCCAAGTTCAAGATGCCCGAGATGCACTTCAAAACCCCCAAGATCTCCATGCCCGACATCGACCTGAACCTGAAAGGCCCCAAACTGAAGGGGGAGGTCGATGTCTCTGCTCCAAAGCTTGAGGGAGACCTGAAGGGTCCCGAAATTGACCTCAAGGGCCCCAAAGTCGATGTTGATCTCCCCGATGTTGAGCTGGAAGGTCCCGAGGGGAAGATCAAAGGCCCCAAGTTCAAGATGCCCGAGATGCACATCAAGGCCCCCAAGATCTCCATGCCCGATGTCGACTTCAGCCTGAAGGGCCCCAAGGTCAAGGGGGACGTCGATGTCTCTGTCCCCAAGATGGAAGGGGACCTGAAGGGGCCTGAGCTGGACATCAAAGGCCCCAAAGTGGACATTGAGGCACCCGATGTGGACATTCACGGCCCTGAGGGGAAATTCAAGCTGCCCAAATTCAAGATGCCCAAATTTGGGCTGAAGGGAGAAGGCCCCGAGGTGGACGTGAACCTGCCAACAGGAGACCTGGATGTGTCCGGTCCCAAGGTGGACGTGGAGATGCCGAGTGTGGACATTGAGGGGCCGGAGGGGAAGATCAAAGGGCCCAAATTCAAGATGCCCGAGATGCACATCAAGGCCCCCAAGATCTCCATGCCCGACATCGACCTGAATCTGAAGGGCCCCAAACTGAAGGGTGATGTTGATGTTTCCCTTCCCAAAGTGGAAGGTGACCTGAAGGGTCCAGAACTGGACATCAAAGGCCCCAAAGTTGATCTCAATCCCCCTGATGTTGAGCTGGAGTGTCCCGAGGGGAAGATCAAAGGTCCCAAGTTCAAGATGCCCGAGATGCACATCAAGGCCCCCAAGATCTCCATGCCTGATGTCGATTTCAGCCTGAAGGGCCCCAAGCTCAAGGGCGACGTGGACGTGTCCCTTCCAAAGCTGGAGGGTGACCTGAAGGGGCCTGAACTGGACATCAAGGGCCCCAAGGTGGACGTTGATGTGCCAGACGTGGACATTCACGGCCCAGAAGGGAAAATAAAGTTCCCCAAATTCAAAATGCCCAAATTTGGGATGCCCGGGGTGAAGGCAGAAGGTCCCGAGGTGGATGTGAACCTCCCGACAGGAAACCTGGATGTGTCCGGTCCTAAGGTGGACATTGAAGGTCCAGAGGTGGACGTGGAGTTGCCAGAGGGGAAGATCAAAGGTCCCAAGTTCAAGATGCCCGAGATGCACTTTAACATGCCCAAGATCTCCATGCCCGACGTTGACTTCAACCTCAAAGGCCCCAAGCTGAAGGGGGATGTGGATGTTTCTGTCCCCAAACTCGAAGGTGACCTGAAAGCCCCTGACATCAACATCAAAGGCCCCAAAGTCGATGTTGATCTCCCCGATGTTGAGCTGGAAGGTCCCGAGGGGAAGATCAAAGGTCCCAAGTTCAAGATGCCCGAGATGCACATCAAGGCCCCCAAGATCTCCATGCCCGACGTCGACTTCAACCTCAAAGGCCCCAAATTGAAGGGGGATGTCGATGTCTCTGTCCCCAAGCTGGAAGGTGACCTGAAGGGGCCTGAACTGGACATCAAGGGCCCCAAGGTGGACGTTGATGTGCCAGACGTGGACATTCACGGCCCCGAGGGAAAATTCAAGATGCCCAAGTTCAAGATGCCCAAATTTGGGATGCCCGGGGTGAAGGCAGAAGGTCCCGAGGTGGACGTGAACCTCCCAAAAGGAGACCTGGATGTGTCCGGTCCCAAGGTGGACATTGAAGGTCCAGAGGTGGACGTGGAGTTGCCAGAGGGGAAGATCAAAGGTCCCAAGTTCAAGATGCCCGAGATGCACATCAAGGCCCCCAAGATCTCCATGCCTGATGTTGACTTCAACCTCAAAGGCCCCAAGCTGAAGGGGGACGTTGATGTTTCCCTTCCAAAGGTTGAGGGAGACCTGAAGGGTCCAGAAATTGACCTCAAAGGCCCCAAAGTCGATGTTGATCTCCCCGATGTTGAGCTGGAAGGGCCCGAGGGGAAGATCAAAGGTCCCAAGTTCAAGATGCCCGAGATGCACATCAAGGCCCCCAAGATCTCCATGCCCGACGTCGATTTCAGCCTGAAGGGCCCCAAGGTCAAGGGGGATGTCGATGTCTCCGTCCCCAAACTTGAGGGTGACCTGAAGGGGCCTGAACTGGACATCAAGGGCCCCAAAGTGGACATTGAAACACCTGACATGGACATTCACGGCCCTGAAGGTAAAATTAAAATGCCCAAGTTCAAGATGCCCAAATTCGGCTTTTCTGGGCCAAAAGTTGAAGGCCCCGAGGTGGACGTGAACCTCCCTGAGGCCGAGGTCAACATTTCGGGTCCGAAGGTGGACGTTTCTGTCCCAGAGCTGGAGATTGAAGGCCCCGAAGGGAAACTGAAGGGCCCCAAGTTCAAGAAGCCGGAGCTGCAGTTCAACGTCCCCAAGATCTCCATGCCCGACATCGACCTCAACCTGAAAGGCCCCAAACTGAAAGGTGACCTCGACGCTTCTCTTCCCAAGGTCGAGGGCGAGCTGAAAGGCCCCAAGCTGGACATCAAGGGGCCAGAGCTTGAGCTGGAGGGGCCAAAGGTTGACCTGGATGGAAAAGCTAAAAAATCCAGGTTTAAACTTCCCAAGTTTGGCTTTTCTGGCCCAAAAGTTCAAAGCCCCGAGGTGGACGTGAAGCTTAAAAAGCCTGAGGTGGAGCTGTCCGGCCCGAAGGTTGAGGTCCAAGCTCCGGATTTGGATCTCCAGGGAAAATCTAAAGGCTCCAAATTCAAAATGCCTTTTCTGAACATTTCTTCACCCAAAGTCTCGATGCCGGATGTGGAGCTGAACCTGAAGGGGCACAAAATGAAAGGGGAGCTTGACCTGTCCGCCCCCAAAGTGGAAGGGGAGCTGAAAGGACCTGAGGTGGACATCAAAGGCCCCAAGGTCAACATCGAGGCCCCCGACGTGGACGTTCACGGCCCAGAGGGGAAAATCAAAATGCCCAAGTTTAAAATGCCCAAATTTGGTGTTCCTGGGTTTAAAGGGGAGGGGCCAGAGGTGGACGTGAACCTGCCAACAGGAGAACTGGACGTGTCCGGGCCTAAAGTGGACATTGAGGGTCCTGAACTGGACATTGAGGGGCCGGAGGGGAAGATCAAAGGGCCCAAGTTCAAGATGCCTGAGATGAACATCAAGGCTCCCAAGATCTCCATGCCCGACATCGACCTGAACCTGAAGGGCCCCAAGGTCAAGGGCGACGTGGACGTGTCCCTGCCCCAGGTGGACCTGAAAGGACCCAAGGTGGACGTGGAAGTTCCCGACATCGACGTCGAAGGTCCGAAAGGGAAAATCAAAGGCCCCAAATTTAAAATGCCCGAGATGAACATCAAAGCTCCCAACCTCTCTATGCCGGACCTGGACCTCAACCTGAAAGGTCCCAAGGTCAAAGGTGGGGTGGACGTCGATCTGTCCGCACCAAAAATCGAAGGGGACCTGAGCTTGCCGGAAATGGACATCAAAGGCCCCAAAGTGGACATTGAAGGTCCAGAGGTGGACATTGAAGGGCCAGAGGGGAAGATCAAAGGTCCCAAGTTCAAGATGCCCGAGATGCACATCAAGGCCCCCAAGATCTCCATGCCCGACGTCGACTTCAACCTCAAAGGCCCCAAAGTGAAGGGGGACGTCGATGTCTCCATCCCCAAGCTGGAAGGTGACCTGAAGGGGCCTGAACTGGACATCAAGGGCCCCAAGGTTGACGTTGATGTGCCAGACGTGGACATTCATGGCCCCGAGGGGAAATTCAAGATGCCCAAATTCAAGATGCCCAAATTTGGGATGCCCGGGGTGAAGGCAGAAGGTCCCGAGGTGGACGTGAACCTCCCGACAGGAAACCTGGATGTGTCCGGCCCTAAGGTGGACATTGAAGGCCCAGAGGTGGACGTGGATCTCCCAGAGGGGAAGGTGAAGGGCCCCAAGTTCAAGATGCCCGAGATGCACCTTAACATGCCCAAGATCTCCATGCCCGACATCGACCTGAACCTGAAGGGTCCCAAAGTGAAGGGGGATGTTGATGTTTCCCTTCCCAAGGTGGAAGGGGACCTGAAGGGGCCTGAACTGGACATCAAAGCCCCCAAAGTCGATGTTGATCTCCCCGATGTTGAGTTGGAAGGTCCCGAGGGGAAGATCAAAGGCCCCAAGTTCAAGATGCCCGAGATGCACATCAAGGCCCCCAAGATCTCCATGCCCGACTTCGATCTGAACCTGAAGGGGCCCAAAGTGAAGGGAGACGTGGACGTGTCTCTGCCGAGCATGGAAGGGGAACTGAAGGGGCCAAAGGTGGATGTGAAAGGCCCCGAATTCGATGTTTCTGCGCCAGATGTTCAAGTTGAGGGCCCCGAAGGGAAGATCAAAGGCCCCAAGTTCAAGATGCCTGAGATGCACTTCAAGGCCCCCAAGATCTCCATGCCTGACTTCGATCTCAACCTGAAGGGCCCCAAATTAAAAGGAGATGTTGATGTCTCTGTCCCCAGCCTGGAGGGTGACCTGAAGGGCCCAGAACTGGACATCAAAGGCCCCAAAGTTGATGTCGACCTCCCTGATGTTGACCTGGAAGGTCCCGAAGGGAAGATCAAAGGTCCCAAGTTCAAGATGCCCGAGATGCACATCAAGGCCCCCAAGATCTCCATGCCCGACATCGACTTCAACCTAAAAGGCCCCAAAGTGAAGGGGGATGTCGATGTCTCTGCTCCAAAACTGGAAGGGGACCTGAAAGGCCCCGAAATTGACATCAAGGGCCCCAAGGTGGACGTTGATGTGCCAGACGTGGACATTCATGGCCCCGAGGGGAAATTCAAGATGCCCAAGTTCAAGATGCCCAAATTTGGGATGCCCGGAGTGAAGGCAGAAGGCCCCGAGGTGGACGTGAACCTCCCGACAGGAAACCTGGATGTGTCCGGCCCTAAGGTGGACATTGAAGGTCCAGAGGTGGACGTGGATCTCCCAGAGGGGAAGGTGAAGGGCCCCAAGTTCAAGATGCCCGAGATGCACTTTAACATGCCCAAGATCTCCATGCCCGACATCGACCTGAACCTGAAGGGCCCCAAGCTGAAGGGTGATGTGGATGTTTCCCTTCCAAAAGTGGAAGGTGACCTGAAGGGCCCAGAACTGGACATCAAAGCCCCCAAAGTCGATGTTGATCTCCCCGATGTTGAGCTGGAAGGTCCTGAGGGGAAGATCAAAGGTCCCAAGTTCAAGATGCCCGAGATGCACATCAAGGCCCCCAAGATCTCCATGCCCGACTTCGATCTGAACCTGAAGGGGCCCAAGGTCAAGGGGGATGTCGATGTCTCTGTGCCCAAGCTGGAGGGGAACCTGCAGTGCCCAGATGTCGACCTCAAGGGACCCAAAGTGGACATTGAGGCACCTGACGTGGACATTCACGGCCCAGAAGGGAAAATAAAGTTCCCCAAATTCAAGATGCCCAAATTTGGGATGCCCGGGGTGAAGGCAGAAGGTCCCGAGGTGGACGTGAACCTCCCGACAGGAAACCTGGATGTGTCCGGTCCCAAGGTGGACATTGAAGGTCCAGAGGTGGACGTGGATCTCCCAGAGGGGAAGATCAAAGGTCCCAAGTTCAAGATGCCCGAGATGCACATCAAGGCCCCCAAAATCTCCATGCCCGACATCGACCTGAACCTGAAAGGCCCCAAGGTCAAAGGTGACGTGGACGTGTCCCTGCCCAGTGTGGAAGGAGAGCTGAAAGGTCCCGAGGTCAACATCTCCGCCCCCGACGTCACCGTTGATAGCCCAGAGGGCAAATTCAAACTGCCCAAGTTCAAGATGCCGAAATTCTCCATGCCCGGGTTCAAAGGGGAGGGGGTGGACGCGGACCTGACCCTCCCCAAGGGCGACGTCTCCATTTCGGGCCCCAGCGTGGACGTGGAGGCTCCTGAGCTGAGCGTGGATGCGAAAGCCAAAGGTCCCAAATTTTCCATGCCCGAGATGCACATCAAGGCCCCCAAGATCTCCATGCCCGACGTCGACTTCAACCTCAAAGGCCCCAAACTGAAGGGGGACGTTGATGTCTCCCTTCCAAAGGTTGAGGGAGACCTGAAGGGTCCCGAAATTGACCTCAAAGGCCCCAAAGTCGATGTTGATCTCCCTGATGTTGAGCTGGAAGGGCCCGAGGGGAAGATCAAAGGTCCCAAGTTCAAGATGCCCGAGATGCACATCAAGGCCCCCAAGATCTCCATGCCCGACGTCGACTTCAGCCTGAAGGGCCCCAAGGTCAAGGGGGATGTCGATGTCTCTGTCCCCAAGCTGGAAGGGGACCTGAAGGGGCCTGAACTGGACATCAAAGGCCCCAAAGTGGACATTGAGGCACCCGATGTGGACATTCACGGCCCTGAGGGGAAATTCAAGCTGCCCAAATTCAAGATGCCCAAATTTGGGCTGAAGGGAGAAGGCCCCGAGGTGGACGTGAACCTGCCAAAAGGAGACCTGGATGTGTCCGGCCCCAAGGTGGACGTGGAGATGCCGAGTGTGGACATTGAGGGGCCGGAGGGGAAGATCAAAGGGCCCAAATTCAAGATGCCCGAGATGCACATCAAGGCCCCCAAGATCTCCATGCCCGACGTTGACTTTAACCTCAAGGGCCCCAAGGTCAAGGGGGACATCGATGTCTCCGTCCCCAAGCTGGAAGGGAACCTGCAGTGCCCAGATGTTGACCTCAAGGGACCCAAGGTGGACATTCAGGCGCCGGACGTGACCTTGGAAGGGCCCAAGGTCAAGATGCCCGAAATTCACGTCAAGACGCCCCAGATCTCCATGCCCGACATCGACCTGAACCTGAAGGGCCTGAAGGTCAAAGGTGACGCTGACCTGCACGGCCCCAAGGTCGAGGGGGGTCTGAAGGGCCCCGAGATAGACATCAAAGGCCCCAAAGTCGACATCGAGGGCCCGGCAGTCGACGTCGATGGTCTGGAGGGAAAAGTGAAGCTGCCCAAAATGAAAATGCCCAAATTTGGCTTTAAGGGCGAAGCTCCTGACGTGGACATCAACTTGCCAAAGGCCGAGGTGGATCTGTCGGGCCCCAAGGTTGATCTCAGCCTTCCAGAGGTCAACGCTGAGGGTCTGGAGGGCAAAGTGAAAGGTCCTAAACTGAAAATGCCTGAAATGCACGTGAATGTCCCCAAAATCTCCATGCCTGAGATAGATTTGAACCTGAAAGGCCACAAAACCAAGGGCGGCTTTGACATTTCCACCCCAAAGGTGGAAGGTCACCTGAAAGGCCCCGAGGTCGACCTCAAAGGCCCCGAATTCGGGGTCAAAGGTCCCGAAGTTGATGTTGAATGCCCCGACCTGAGCGTCGAGGCCCCAGAAGCCAACATCAAAGCTCCCAAGTTTAAAAAGTCCAAATTTGGGTTCGGAATGAAAAGCCCCAAGGCGGAGCTGGATTTACCTGAGGCGGACTTGAACGTGGAGTCCCCTGAGGCCGGGAAGGGGAAGAAGAGCAAGTTCAAGATGCCCAAAATCCACATGAGTGGCCCCAAAGTGAAGGGGAAGAAGGGGGCGTTCGACGTGAACGCGGCGGGGGCCGAGCTGGATGCGGAGCTCAACGTCGCCGGCCCTGACGTCGCCGTCAGCGGCAGCGCCGCCATGAAGTCCCCCAAAGGCAAGAAACCCATGTTTGGGAAGATCTCCTTCCCAGACGTTGAATTTGACCTCAAATCACACAAATTCCGCGGGGAGGCCTCGGTGGGGATCCCGAAAATCGAGGGCGAGCTGGAGGTCAAGGGCGACCTCAAGGGCCCGAGCCTCAACGCGGATGTTGAAGGTCCTGACGTGAGCCTGAAGAGCCCAAAGTTCAAACTCCCCGGGGTCCAGGTGGGCGCGGGGGACGTGAAAATCGGGGGGGACCTGAAGGGGCCCGGGATCGATGTCGCCGTCCCCTCAGCCACGGCGCTGGACGTCGACGTCGGCGTGAAAGGACCAAAGCTAAAAGGTGAAGTTGGCGTTGCCGGAGCACAACTGGAAGGTCCCGAAGTGAAGCTGGGATGGCCCAAAGGGGGCAAAACGGGTTTGGGGCTGGAAATGCCGGACGTGAGCTCGGACGTGGAGGTGAAGCTCAAAGGGCCCCAAATCTCCAGTCCCGAGCTGGAGGGGAACCTGAAAGGACCAAAATTAAAGGGAGATTTGGACATTTCGGGCTCCGCGGAAGGGCCCGGCCTTGGCCTGGACCTCGGTGGCCTCGGTGGGAAGGTGAAGCTGCCCACGGTGACGTCCCCGGCGCTGGAGGTCAAGGGCGGCGTCCCCTGCTCCGTCCAGTCCCCGGGGGCCACCCTGGACCTCCAGGGGCCCTCGCTGGACGTCTCCGGACCAGATTTGGATGTCAACGTGAAAGGACCAAAGTTGAAAGGAGACGTCGGCGTCAAATCCCCCCAGGCGCCGGCAGACGACTCTGGCTTCGAAATTTTGGGGGGCACCATCAAGCTGCCGTCCCTGAAGCTGCCCCAGTTCAGCATCTCCAGCCCCAGCGTGGACGGGGGGGACGCGGGGGTCGCTCTGGAGGGCCCCCAGGTCAAGGCGGGGCTGAAGGGCTCCGGTTTGGGGCTGGAAGGCGCCGAGGCGGAACTGAAAGGGCTGAAATTCTCCGCACCGGACGTTGACCTGAGGCTGAAAGGACCAAATGTGGACGTGGCCGGTGACATCAAAGGGTCAAAGGTCAGCGCGGAAGCTCCTCATGGAGGGGTGGGCGTCCACCTGGAGGCTCCGGCCCTGGAAGCGTCCGGCTCGGGATTGAACATCAACGTGAAGGGGCCGAAGGTCAAAGGCGGGGCCGAGGTGTCGCCGCCGTCGGTCAGCACCGGTTCCGGAACCTTCCACGCCTCCAAGCTGTGCGCCGAGGGCGGCCAGGTCAAAGTCTCCTTCCCCAAGCTGCGGATGCCAAAATTCGTCTTCTCCGAGCCCGAGGCCAAGGGCCGCGAGGTCGGGGTGGACGTCGACTTCCCCGGCGCTGACGTGGCTGAGCCGGAGCCGGACGAGGCCGAGGCGAGGCTGAAGAAATCCAAGCTCAAGATGCCCAAATTCAACTTCTCCAAGCAGAAGGGGCGCGGCGGCGGCGGCACCGCGGGCTGCCCCGAGGCGTCGGGCTCGGTGTCCGGCTCCAAGGGCGACCTCAAGAGCTCCAAGGCCAGCCTGGGTCCGGCCGAGGGCGAGGCGGAGGCGGAGGCGCCGGCGGCCAAGGCGAAATTCTCGCTGTTCCGCAGCAAGAAGCCGCGGCCGCGCTCGTCGTCCTTCAGCGATGACCACGCGGCCGAGCCGGACGCCGGCAGGCAGCCCAAGAGCAAATTCGGGACCTTCGGGGGCATCGGCTCCAAGGCCAAGGGCTGCTACGAGGTGACGGCCGGCGACGAGGACGGGGAGCCGGGGTCCCCCAAATCCCGCCTGGGCTCGGCCTCGTCCTCCGAGGGCGTCGCCCGCGCCGGGCTCCGCCTGCCCAGCCTGGAGCTGGCGGTGGCCAAACGCAAGGAGTGACCGGAGCGGTCAGGAGTGACCCCGGGGCGGTCAGGGGGTGACCCCGGGCTCAGGGGGTGACCCCGGGGGTTTTGTACATAGGCCGGCACGGAGGGACCCCCGCGTGTACAGAGCGGGGGAGGGGCTGGGGGTCCCTCCCCCTCGGATTTTGGGGTCCCCCCTTGTGCCGACAGCTTCTCTTTTTCTTTCCCCTTTTTTCCTTTTTTTTTTTTTTTTTTTTTTTTTTTTTTTTTTGTATTTTTATTGGGGTTTTTTTCCTGCCTCCTCCCCACCCCCATCCTCCCAAATATTTTCAGTGTTTGGTTCGTGGAAATGAATTTTTTTTTAATCTTTTTTTTTTTTACTTTTTTCTTTTTGTCTTTTTTTTTTTTGTGTGTGTGTTTTTTTTTTCTGTCTTTTTTGTTGTTTTTTGCCCCCTTCATTTCCACCTTTTTTATTTTTTTGGCCTTTTTTTTTTTTTTTTTTTTTTGCGGGGCTGAAGGATCTGTTGGGTCAATGGATTTATTCAAAAATTTTGGCTTTTTGGTTTGTGCAAGAAATTTAACCAAAGCTGTGGATTTTTTTGTTTAAAAAAACAACCAAAACTGTGGATTTATTTAATAAAATCTAACCAGAAAGGTGGATATATTAGAAAAAAAACGAAGCAAAAGAAGTGGAATTACCAAAGAAAGAAAGCAAATGAAATGGAATTACTAAAAAAAGACCCGAAGTAAAAATGTGGATCCATTAATAAAAGATTTATTAAAGAAAGTAAGATAAAAATGAATTAAATAAAATAATTAACAGAGATAAAATTATATCTGTTAAGGAAATAAACCAAAGAAAAGGAGATCTATTTAAAAATAAAATTAAATGGATTTATCCAAAGAAATAAACAACAAAAAAAAGGATTTATTGAGCAGAATAAACAAAAAAATACGTTCTTATTGAGCAGAATAAACAAGAAAAAATTGATTTATTAATAAAATAAACAAAACTCATGAATGTATTACTAAAATAAACCCAAAGCCTGGATTTACTAATAAAAATACACCAAAATCACAGGTTTGTTAATAAAATCAAAGCAGAAAAAGTGGATTTATTAATAAAAACAAACCAAAAAAACACAACTCTGACCTCTGGAACGGAGAGTGGGAAATGGAATCCGAGGCACAAGACCCGGAGCTCGAATGACTCCGGGGGAACGGAGCCAGCCCGGAGCCACTCCCGAGCTTTTCCCTCAGCTTTATTTCCATTTTTAATTTTTTTAGCTGTTTTATGGTTGTTTTTGTGTTTATTTGTTACATCCTTTGTACCATAATTTGATAAAAGCGCCCGTTTCTCTCTTGTTCAGCCCCAAAGTCCAAAGGTGCGTCAGGCGTCCCGGGATTAAAAAAAAAAAAATAAAGTTTTGTTTATGAGGATATTTTTTTTTTGGGGGGGGGAAAGTTTAAATAAATGAAAAATTTATAAAATAATAAAAAAACCAACCCCAGGAAAGCGAAACCTGTTCCCTTTGCAGCACTTTAATGGCGAATTAACGGGAGGCGAACCGGGGTGGAAATGGCAAAAAATAAAAATCGTTTATTAACCGCGACTCCGCCGGGCTCCAGCTCTTCTTCCTCCTCAAGATTTGGGGTTTCACCGTCCAATCAGATCCTCCCCCTGGATTTGGGGGTCACAACCCAAACCCCCCCACGCCAAAATTTGGGATCCTGCCCCTCCCCCCACTTGGAATTTCAGTTCCCCTCCCCCACCACGGCCCCGCCCCTCCCGCATTTGGGATTTCCCCTCCTCCCATTGCCCCCCCCAATCCCTTTTGCCCCCCCCCGGAGTTTTTGCCCCTCCCCCTCCGCAAACCACGCCCCCTCCCCAAATTCGGCCCTCCCGCCCGCCAGGCGGCGCTGCTGCCCACGGCTGCCATTTTAGACACAGCGGACAGGAAGTCGGCCATGTTTCCCCCGATGCATCACGGGAGCTGTAGTCCCATAAATGATCACCACTTCCGGCCGCGCCGTTTTGTTGCATGATGGGAACTGAAGTTCAATTTTTAAACAACAAAACCGGAAGTTGCTCGGCGGCCATGTTGTTTCCGAAACATCCTGGGAGCTGTGTTTTTTTTTTTCAAATAAGAACGGAAGTTCGGCAATGGTGGCAGCCGGTGCATGCTGGGAGATGTAGTTTGCTGGGAGGCACTGGTCTGTACTGGTTCTTACCGGTCTGTACTGGTTCTTACTGGTTTTTGCTGGTTCTTACTACGGTCAGCCCCACGGAGAGGCCCCAGGTGTCCATTGGAGGATCCCAGGTGTGTCCCAGGTGTTTCAGGCATCCATTGTGGGGTCCCAACTTTCCCCAGGTGTCCATTGGAGGTTCCTCAGGTGTGTCCCCAAGTGTCCCCCAGCTGTCCCAGTGCCCCCAGGTGTCCATTGAAGGTTCCTCAGGTGTGTACCCAGGTGTCCCCCAGCTGTCCCAGCTGTCCCCAGGTGTCCATTGGAGGTTCCTCAGGTGCGTCCCCAGGTGTCCCCCAGCTGTCCCAGTGCCCCCAGGTGTCCCGGGGCTCAGCAGCGGCGGGTGGATCCGGGGTAGCGCTGCCGCAGGCGCCGGCGGAAGGCGCGGAAGCGGCGCCGGTTCTGGTCCAGTTCGGCCTCGCGGCTGCGGTGGAACCGGCCCGGCTCCTTCAGCCCCCGGTGCGTGACGAAGGCCCCGTCCAGCACCGCGAAGCGGAACCCGGCCACGTGCAGCTCACAGGCCTGCGGGCACGGCGGGGTCACAGCGAGACCCCAGAGACCCCCAGAGACCCCAGAGACCTCCAGGGCACCCCCAGAGATCCCCAGAGACCCCCCCCAGAGCAACCTCAGAGACGCCCTCCACAAAACTCCCAGACCCCAGAGCACCCCACAACCTCCAAGACCACCCCAAGGCCACCATGACCACCCCACAACCTCCAAGACTACCCCATGGCCACCAAGACCACCCCACAGCCATCATGACCACCCCACAACCCTCAAGACCACCCCACGACCCCCGTGGCCACCCCAAGGCCACCATGACCACCCCGTGGCCACCCCAAGGCCACCAGGGCCATCCAAGGATCCCCAAAGCCACCAAGACCACCCCACGGCCCCTGTGGCCACCCCAAGGCCATCATGACCACCCCGTGGCCACCCCAAGGCCACCAGGGCCACCCCCAGCCCCCCATCAGACCTGGCTGATGCGGTTGAAGCCGTACTGGAGGAAGCCCTCGTCGAAGGGGGGCACGCCGTGGGCGGGGGCCACGTAGAACGGCTCCCAGGGGTCCCTCCAGGCCGCCTCGTAGGCCACGCGCAGCCGGGGCCCCGCGGGCAGCGCCCGCCAGCGGCCGAAGTCGGTGGGGGCCTGGCAGCGCGGGCACAGCGCGGCGTAGAACGGGCGCGCCTCGCCCGCCGCCCACAGCCGCAGCAGCTCCGCCTTGGAGCCCGGCGGCCGCCGTCGCGCCGCCACCTCGAAGGCCGGCAGCACGAAGAGAGACCAGGCCCAGGGCGGCTCCGCGGGGACGGGGGCCAGCGGGGAGTGGGGGGCAGTCGGGGTGTTGGGGGCATTCAGGGCGTGGGGGTCACTCAGGCCATGGGGGTCACTCAGGGCATTCAGGGTGTTGGGGTCACTCAGGGCATTGGGGTCACTCAGGGATTTGGGGTCACTCAGAGCGTTGGGGTCACTCAGGGTTTTGGGGTCACTCAGGCCATGGGGGTCACTCAGGGATTTGGGGTCACTCGGGGCATTGTGGTCACTCAGGACATTGGGGTCACTCAGGCCATGGGGGTCACTCAGGGCATTCAGGGTGTTGGGGTCGCTCAGGACATTGGGGTCACTCAGGCCATGGGGGTCACTCAGGGCATTCAGGGTGTTGGGGTCACTCAGGGCATTGGGGTCACTCAGGGTTTTGGGGTCACTCAGGGTTTTGGGGTCACTCAGGCCGTGGGGGTCACTCAGGGTTTTGGGGTCACCCAGGGCATGGGGGTCACTCAGGCCACCAGGAGCCCCCAGAGCTTTGGGGATCCCCTGTCCCCCCCAGTTTTGGGGGTCCTTTCCCCCCTGTCCCCCCCAGTTTCGGGGGTCCAGCCCCCCGTCCCTCAGCATCTCCAGGAAGGCCTCGCGCAGCCCCGGGTTGGGCACCACGTCCGCGTCCACCAACAGCACGAAACGCCCCCAAACCCGGGGCGGGGGTCCCGCCGCGGGGCCCCCCCCGGCCGCCCCCTCCCAGGCCACGTTCCGCAGTAGATTCCCGGGGTACGGCACCCCCAAAGTGTAACTGGGGGGGTCGGCGGCCGCCAGCCGGGCCAGAGCCCCCCGGCACCCCCCGGGCCCCGCCGAGGGTGGCACCCCGAATTGGGGCGGGGGTCCCGCGGCCCCCAGCACCAGCTGCAGGCGGAGGCGGCCCCGCAGAGCCCGGCAGGGCCCCCCCAGCGCCGCCAGCAGCTCCCGCAGCCCCCGCCGGGGCTCCCCAAAAACCGCCAGGGCCAGGGGGCCCCCCCAGGCGCCCCCCAGCGCCGCCGCCGCCCGCCCGGGGGTCCCGTGGGTGGCCAGGACCAGCTCGGGCCGGGGGCTTCGCGCCCAGCCCGGGGCGGCTCCCAGCACGTCCCAGTACACGCGGAAGGTTCCAGAAGCGTCCAGAACCCCCCGGGGGGGGCGGTGATGGGGGTGGGGGGCGCGGGGCGGGGGGCGCGCAGGGGGAAGCCCCCGCAGGTAGAGGGTCTGCAGCAGCGCCAGCCCCCCCAGCAGCCACAGGCAGCCCCCCAGCAGCCGCCCCATGGCCGGGGGGCACCGGGGGGCACTGGGAGGCACTGGGGGGCACTGGGAGAGGAGATTGGGGGCACTGGGGGGGGGGGAATTAGGGGGATTGGGGGCACTGGGAGGGACTGGGAGAGGAGATTGGGGGCACTGGGGGGCACTGGGGGGGGAGATTCGGGCACTGGGAGCTACTGAGGGGCACTGGGAGGGCTCAGAGGGGTGGACTGGGAGGGACTGGGGGATACTGGGGGTTACTGGGAGGGCTCAGAGGGGTGGACTGGGAGGGTACTGGGGTTACTGGGAGGATTCTGGGGTTACTGGGAGGATTCTGGGGGTCCCCGGGGCCGGCGCGGAGCCGGGACCAGTCCGGCATGCTGGAACCAGTACAGCGCTACTGGGACCAGTACGGGGGTGCTGGGACCAGTTTGGGGGTCACTGGTCCCAGTTTGGGGTCTCCGGTCCCAGTTTGGGGTCACTGGTCCCAGTTTGGGGTCGCTGGGACCAGTCCGGGACTCACCGCCCTGCGCCGGCGCCGGGAGGGGCCGCGCATGCGCGGGGCAGAGAAGGCGTGGCCTCGAGCGGAATGGGGCGGGGTTATGTAGATTAGATGGACACGTCATCTACCGCTCCGGGGGCGTGGTTTGCGATTTGTGGGCGTGGCTTCTGTGCTGGGGGCGGGGCCAGGCGAGACCCCCAAAGCCCCCGGAATCCCAAAATTCCCCCAAATCCACCCAGATTTCCCCAAATTCCCCAAAATTCCCCCAGATTTCCCCAAATCTCAAATCCCCAAAATCCCCGACTCCCCTCCCAAATTCCCCCCAGATCCTCTCAAATCCCCCCAAATCCCCCCAGTTCCACCATCCCCCCCAAATTCCCGGCTCATTCCAACTCCTGGACCCACCACCCCCCGAGTTTCAGTGTCCCCCCCCCCCAGACCCCCGAGTTGTCCCCAATTCCTGCGTCCCCCCCTCCCCCCCCAACCTCTGACCCCCTCCCCAAATTTCCCTGGTGCCCGGGAAGGAGCGGCCGCAGGCGCGGGGACCTCGGGGGACACGTTTTTATTGCCGAGGGGGGACAACGGGGACATCGTCGGGGGCCGTTGGGGACATCGGGGACATCGGGGACATCGGGGACATTGGGGACATTGGGGACGCCGGGTCGCGACAGGCTCAGTCCGTGGGGTTGGGGACACCGGGGACACCGGGGTGTGTCAGTCTTTGATGCGGGTGACGAGCGGGTCCCGTGTCCCTTGGGGACATCGGGGACATGGAGCCACGTGTCCGTCTGTCCGGCCGAGGCGGTGACCAGGTGCCCGTGTCCCCTCGGGGACGTTGGGGACACGGAGCTGGGGACGGTGGCGTGGGTTCGGGGACATCGCGCTGCGACGTGTGTTGGGGAGGGGGTGTTGGGGACGTTGGGGGCGTTGGGGTCACTGGGGACAGTGGGGACACTGGGGACGTTGGGGACACTGGGGACGTTGGGGACATCAGGGGCTCCGAGTCATGGTGTGTCTCAGCCCCTCAGGTTGGGGACATTGGGGACGTTGGGGACATCAGGCCAGGATGTCCCTTGGAGGGGCTTGGGGACACTGGGGACACCGAGCCGTGACCCATCCCCACCCTGTGGGTGGGTTGGGGACATTGGGGACACTGAGCCACATTGTGCCTCAGCCCCGGGGGCTCGGGGGTGTCGGGGACATCCTTGGGGACATCACTGGGGACATTGGGGACTTTAAGGACATCATTGGGGACATCCCTGGGGACTTTGGGGACATCATTGGGACTTTGGGGACATCACTGGGGACATCCTTGGGGACATCATGGGGACTTTGGGTACATCAAGCCACATCGTGCCTCCGTCCCCCGCGTTGGGGACATTGAGGGTGGCACCCACGGGTGGGGGAAGGGGACACAGGTTTTTTTTTTGGGGGGGGGGGGGAACTCTGCCAAAAACGCAGAGCCCGAGGTGGGGGCGGGGCTGGGGGGAGGTGACGGACCAGGGGGGTGACAAAGGGGACAGGGACACTCCGGGCTGGGGGAGGGGACAGTGGGGTCCCAGCCCCCATCCCAGCGACCCAAAATATTTTTGGCGACGGGTCCTGGCGCGGGGGGAGGGGACAAGGTGTGTGTGGGGGGACGAGGGGACACGAGGGACGGTCCCCAGGCGTCCGGGCTGGGGGAGGGGGGGGCCACCAGCCCCCCCCCAATTACCTTAGAGACTCGTTACGAGTTAAATTAGCACGAGCGGCCCCGGGGGGCGGCGGCGGGGGCGGCCGGGCCGGGGGGCGCTGGCCGGGCCGGGGTGACAATGACAATATGCCATACTGGGGGCAAGTCGCGTCACAGACTTAGTTCAGAACGACGGGGCGCGCTGGCTTCCGGCTGCGGGGGGGGACAGAGAAAGGGGACACGTCATGGACACCCCGAAATACCCCCGAAAACCGCGCCTGAAACATCCCAAACGTCGCTCCAAAAAAAACCCCCCAAAAACCACCCGAAAAGTGCCCCAAAATCCCGCAAAAGCCACTTCAAAAATTGCCCCAAAACCCCCCAAAAAACTGCCCCAGAAGCCCCAAAAACCGCCCCAAAACCCCGCAAAAACCACTTCAAAAACCCCCAAAAAAACTGCCCCAGAAGCCCCGAAAACTGACCCAAACCCCCGCAAAAACCACTTCAAAACCGCCCCAAAAACGTGCCAAAAACCACCCCAAAAATCACCCAAAAACCACCGAAAAAACCCCCAAAAACCGCCCCAAAAATCCCCCAAAAACGAATGAAAAAACCCAAAAAAAACCACCTCAAAAACCCTCCAAAAACCGCCCAAAACCCTGCAAAAACTACTTCCAAAACCTCCCAAAAAACGTGCCAAAAACCACCCCGAAAAGCCCCCAAAACCAACCAAAAATCCCCCAAAAACCACCAAAAAAACCCCCAAAAACCACCTGCAAAACCCTCCAAAAACTGCCCCAAAACCACTTCGAAAACCGCCCTAAAAACCCCCCAAGACCACCCTGAAAACCACCTCAAAAACCCTTCGAAAACCAACTCAAATACCCCCAAAACCCACCAAAAAACCCCCAAACCCCCCGAAAAATCGCACCAAAACCCACCCAAAAACCGCCCCAAAACCCCTGGCCCACCCCGCACCCATCCAAGCCCCCGGGACCCCCGGGACCCCTGTGCTGCGCCCACCTTTGCGGAAGGCGTCCTGGAGGCGGCTCTGGGGGAGTTGATACAACTCATGGAAGGGGTCGCGGGGCGACCGGGGCGGGGGCGGCCGGGGCGGGGGGTCGTTGCCCGGGGGTCCGCGGGGGCGGCCGCGGGCGGCGATGGCCGCCAGCCCCCGCAGCAGCAGCCGGCGCAGCGCGGGCGCGGCCGGAGGTGCGGGCGGCGGCGGCGACGTCTCGGGGGTCAGCAGGGCCGCGGGGGGACCCCCCGGCACCCCGCCCGGGCTCTCGGGGCTCGGCGGCAGCTTCTCGGCCTCGGGGGGCTCGGGGGGCCCGAAGGCGAACGGCGGCGCCTGACGGGGGGTGTAGGGGGGGGTCCAGGTCTCGGTGCCGCCCGCGGGGCCCTCAGGGACCCCCAGCCCCAGGCGGCCCAGCCCGAGCGGGGGGCGCGGTGCGGCCATGGCGGCGCCCAGGCCCAGGCCCAGGCCCAGGCCTAGGCCGAGCGCAGGCCCGGCCGGCGACGGGTCAGCGCCGATGTCCGGCCGGGCCAGGCCGGAGCCAGAGCCCAGGCCCAGGCCTAGGCCGAGCGCGGGCCCGGCCGGTGAGGGGTCAGTGCCGATGTCCGGCCGGGCCGGGCCGGAGCCGGAGCCCAGGCCCAGCCCGGCCACGGGGCCGACGTCCGGCCGGAGAGCAGCACCCACGGCCAGGCCGATGTCCAGCTCTGGCCCCAGGGACGCTCCGACCGCCAGGCCGACGGCCAGGCCGGGGTTGTGTCCGAGCCCGGGGTTGTGTCCGAGGCCAGAGTTGTGTCCGAGGCCAGAGTTGTGTCCAAGTCCAACATTGTGTCCAAGCCCAGGGCTATTTTCAAGGTCAATGTTGTGTCCAAGGCCGGGGTTGTGTCCAAGACTGGAGCTGTGTCCGAGGCCAGGGTTGTGTCCGAGGCCGGGGTTCTGTCCGAGGCCGGGGTTCTGTCCGAGGCCGGGGTTCTGTCCGAGGCCAGGGTTGTGTCCGAGGCCGGGGTTCTGTCCAAGGCCGGGGTTCTGTCCGAGGCCAGGGTTGTGTCCGAGGCCGGGGTTCTGTCCGAGGCCGGGGTTCTGTCCGAGGCCAGAGTTCTGTCCGAGGCCAGTGCCGGACGGGAGAGTCGATCCCGCGTTGGCTCCCAGGGCAGCTGCCAGGCCGAGTCCGGCCCCGGCCCCGGTGGTCACTCCGATGTCCGGCGGCAGCGCGAGGCCCAGCCCCACGCCAGCCCTGAGGTCAGTCCCGAGGCTGAGGGCCACGCCCGCCCCGATGCTGGCGGTCACTCCGGCCGCGCCGTCCTCCCCGAGGTCAGTCCCCAGGGCAGGCCCCATGTCGGCTCCGGCCGCCACGCCCAGGCCCATGTCCACTCTGACGGCGCCTCCCACGCCGAGGCCGATGCCGGTGTCCGGGCCGAGGCCATGGCCGACGTTCGGGGCAAGGCCGGGGTCAGCGGTGGCCGCAGTGGTGGCCCCAAGGCCATGTCCAATGACGGCCCCGAGGCCGTGGTCAGCGGTGGCCGCAGCGCCGTGTCCGAGGCCGTGTCCGATGCCGGTCCCAAGGCCGGGGTCAGCGGTGGCCGCAGTGGTGGCCCCAAGGCCGTGTCCGATGGCAGCCCCAAGTCCAGGGTCCACAGTGGCCGCAGCGTTGGCTCCCAGGCCGTGTCCGAGGCCAGGCCCAAGGCCGTGGTCAGCGGTGGCCGCAGCGCCATGTCCGAGGCCGTGTCCGATGCCGGCCCCCAGGCCGGGCTCCACGCCACTGCCCAGGGCAGCTCCGAGGCCGTGGCCAATGGTGGCCCCAAGGCCGGGGTCAGCGGTGGCCGCAGGGCCGTGTCCGAGGCCGTGTCCCATGCTGACTGCCAGGCTGTGGTCAGCGGTGGCCGCAGGGCCGTGTCCCACGCTGACCGCCAAGCTGTGGTCAGTGGTGGCCGCAGGGCCGTGTCCCACGCTGACCGCCAGGCCGATGGCTCCGACGTCGTCGCCCAGGCCGAGGTCCAGGCCGAGGTCGCTGCTGGGAAAGTCGAGGCCGGGCCCGAACGGCTCCGGGGGTCCCGGGGGGGCTTCGGCCGCCAGCTGCTGCCGCAGGCACCAGGCCTCGGCCTCGCTGCGGGGGGACACGGCGGTCAGCGGCTCTGCGGCCAGCGGCTGTCCCCGAGGGCGGCCGAGACCCGCTGACCGCTGAGTGCTGACCACTGACTGCTGACCACTGACCGCTGGGCACTGAGTGCTGGGCACTGACCACTGACCACTGAGTGCTGACCACTGAGTGCTGGGCACTGACCGCTGGGCACTGACTGCTGAGTGCTGACCACTGAGTGCTGACCACTGAGTGCTGGGCACTGACTGCTGAGTGCTGGGCACTGAGTGCTGACCACTGACCACCGACCACTGACCACTGAGTGCTGACCACTGAGTGCTGGGCACTGACCACTGAGTGCTGGGCACTGAGTGCTGGGCACTGACCACTGAGTGCTGACCACTGAGTGCTGACCACTGAGTGCTGACCACTGACCACCGACCACTGACCACTGAGTGCTGGGCACTGAGTGCTGGGCACTGACCACTGACCACTGACCACTGAGTGCTGACCACTGAGTGCTGGGCACTGATCACTGACCACTGAGTGCTGGGCACTAAGTGCTGAGTGCTGGGCACTGACCACTGACCGCTGGGCACTGACCACTGACCGCTGGGCACTGACCACTGAGTGCTGACCACTGAGTGCTGAGTGCTGAGTGCTGGGCACTGACCACTGGGCACTGGGCACTGACCTCTGGGCACTGACCTCTGACCTCTGGGCACTGACCGCTGGGCACTGACCACTGACCGCTGGGCACTGACCTGATGACGAAGTTGTGGGCGAGCAGTGCCGGCCCCTCCGGCCGCAGGCGGGCGTAGACCCACGTCCAGCCCAGACCGTCCTTGCGCTGCAGCCGCGTCACCAGCTCGGCCCGCGCCTCCGGCCCCGCGCCCGCTGTGGGGACAGCGAGGGGTCAGCAGGGACAGCGAGGGGACAGCGGGGACAGGGAGGGGTCAGCAGGGACAGCGAGGGGACAGCGGGGACAGCGAGGGGTCAGCAGGGACAGGGAGGGGGCAGCGGGGACAGGGAGGGGTCAGCGGGGACAGCGAGGGGACAGCGGGGACAGGGAGGGGGCAGCGGGGACAGCGAGGGGACAGCGGGGACAGGGAATGGCAGGGACACGCCAGGAGGGCACAGGGACACACCGGGGACACCCAGGGGACATCAGGGACACCCAGAGGACACTGGGGACACTCCAAGGACACTCCGGGGACACCCAGGGGACACTGAGGACACCCAGGGGACACCCAGGGGACACTGAGGACACCCAGGGGACACTGAGGACAACCTGGGGACACCCCAAGGACACCCTGCAGACCCTGGGGACAACTCGGGGACAACCAGGGGACACCCAGGGGACACTGAGGACACCCCAAGGATACCCCAGGGACACCCAGGGGACACTGACCGAGGCGCAGGTGCTGGCGGGCGACGTGGCCGAGGTCCTCGGGGTGCAGCAGGCGGTACCAGGAGCGGCCCAGCAGCTCGGCCCGGCCGTAGCCCAGGTGCACCAGGACACTGCGGACACCGGGCCGGGGTCACTCCCGTGTCCCCCGGGTCACCGGACGCTCGGACCCGCCGCCCGTCCCGCCCGTCCCACCTGTCCGAGATGTCGAGCAGGGCGAGGTCGCGGGCGTGGCGGCTCTGGAAGGTGGGCAGCAGGAGGCAGTCGGGGCAGGGCCAGGGCGGGGGGTCCAGGGGGGCGCAGAACGCCACGAAGAGCGCGGGGGCGGCGCCGGGGGGCCCGGGGGGCTCCTGGAAGCGCCCCCGCAGCAGCACCAGTTTGCGGCCGGCGCTGGGGCGGCGAGAGGCGCGCGAAGTGGTGAAGCGGCAGCGGAAGAGGCGCTCTGGGGGAGGGAGAGGGGGGTGGTCAGTGTGTGCTGCTGTCCATCCTGTCCATCCTTCTGTCCCTCTGTCCTGTCCGTCCCTCTGTGCTGCTGTCCACTCCTCTGTCCACCCCTCTGTCCTGCTGTCCATCCCTGTCCATCCCTGTCCTGCTGTCCATCCCTCTGTCCTGCTGTCCATCCCTCTGTCCTGCTGTCCATCCTTCTGTCCGTCCCTCTGTGCTGCTGTCCACTCCTCTGTCCACCCCTCTGTCCTGCTGTCCATCCTTCTGTCCACCCCTCTGTCCTGCTGTCCCCCCCAGACCCCTCTGGGACCCCCAGACCCCCCAAACCCCCACCCAGACCCCCCAAACCCCCTCCAGACCCCCCCAGACCCCCCCAGACACCCCTAAACCCCCCCAGACCCCCCCAAACCCCCATAGACCCCCCCAGACCCCTCTGGAACCCCCATCCCCCCCAGCCCCCCACCCACCTGCCTGGGGGGGCCCGGGCAGGCTCAGCTGGTGCCGCACCAGGGGGTGGTCCGCGGGGTCCAGCAGGTCGTAGATGCTGTCCCCTTGTGCCACCAGGTCCACCTGGGGAGGGCAGGCAGGGAGGGAGGGGTGAGCCCCGGCACCCCCGGGACTCCCCGCGCCCCCCGGGACCCCCGCCCGGCCCGGTGCTCACCATGGAGTGGCCCAAGTGCTGCGCCACGTTGTCGGTGACCCCGACCAGCTTCCCCTCGCGGGTCACGGCCAGCAGGAAACCGGGCAGCGAGGCCACCAGGTCGGCGAGCTCCGGTCCCCCCAGCAGCTCCAGGGGCGCCCCCCGGCTCGGGCCTGGCGTGGGGACACGCGGGGACAGCGCTCAGCGCCCGCCCGCCCCCTCCGGGCGCTTCCCCCGCGGAGCCGCCGCCGGTACCGGAGCCCTCCCGGTGTGCGGCAGCTCCGCTCCCGGTCCCTGTCACCGCTCCCGGTCCCTGCCGCTTGTCCCAGCTCCGATCCCTGTCCCCGTCCTTGTCCCTTGTCCCAGCTCCGGTCCCTGTCACCGATCCCGGTTCCCAATCCCGGTCCTGATCCCCAATCCCGGTCCCTGTCACCGATCCCGGTCCTTGTCACTGATCCCGGTCCCTGTCACCGATCCCGGTCCCTGTCACCGATCCCGGTCCCTGTCACTGATCCCAGTTCCCAATCCCGCTCCCTGTCACCGATCCCGCTCCCTGTCACCGATCCCGCTCCCTGTCACCGATCCCGGTTCCCAATCCCGGTCCCTGTCACCGATCCCGGTTCCCAATCCCGCTCCCTGTCACCGATCCTGATCCCCAATCCCGGTCCCTGTCACCAATCCTGGTCCCTGTCACTGATCCCGGTTCCCAATCCCGGTCCCTGTCACCGGTCCCGGTCCCTGTCACCGATCCCGGTTCCCAATCCCGCTCTCTGTCACCGATCCCGCTCCCTGTCACCGATCCCGCTCCCTGTCACCGGTCCCTGTCCCTGTCCCGCTGCCCCGCCCGGTCCCCGCCGCTCTCCGCGGTGCTGAACGGGAACCTCCGGCCGCTCTCCGCGGTGCTGCACCAGCCCCGATCCCTGTCCCGGTCCCAGCCCGGTCCCAGCCCCGGTCCCAGCCCGGTCCCCGCTCCCGACAGCGGCTCCCGTCCCTGCCTGACGCCGGTGGCTGCTGCCAGCCCCGTGTCATTCCCGGTGTCATTCCCGGGTCTATCCCGGCTCCCATCCCCGGCCCCCGATCCCATCCCGGTGCTATCCCTGGAGCGGGTCCCATCCCGCTGCCGTTCCCTACTCAATCCCCGGTCCCCGCTGCTATCCCGGTCCCGTTCCCGGCTCCAGCCCCGGTCCCGCTCCATCCCCACTCCATCCCCGGTCCCCGCTGCTCTCGCGGTCCCGATCCCGGCTCCATCCCCGTTCCGTCCCCGCTCTGTCCCCGCTCCGTCCCCTCTCTGTCCCCGGTCCCCGCTGCCATCCTGCTCCCGATCCCGGCTCCATCCCCGCTCCATCCCCGCTCTGTCCCCGCTCCATCCCCGCTCCGTCCCCAGTCCATTCCCGGTCCATCCCCGATCCCCGCTCCATCCCCGCTCCGTCCCCGCTCCGTCCCCGCTCCCGGCTCCATCCTCGCTCCTGTTCCCCGTTGCATCCCCACTCCATTCCCGGTTCCCGCTGCCATCCTGGTCCCGTTCCCCGCTCCATCCCCGGTCCCCGCTCGGTTCCCGCTCGGTCGCGGCTCGGTTCCCCCTCGGTTCCCGCTCGGTTCCTGCTCCCTCCCGGCTCTGTCTCCGGTCCCCGCTTGGTCCCGGCTCGGTTCTCGCTCCTTCCCCGCTCCCTCCCGGCTCGGTCCCCGCTCGGTCCCGGCTCGGTCCCCGCTCCCTCCCGGCTCGGTTCCCGCTCGGTTCCCGCTCCTTCCCCGCTCGGTCCCGGCTCCGTTCCCCCTCGGTCCCGCTCCCTCCCGGCTCTGTCCCGGCTCTGTCCCAGCTCGGTCCCGCTCTGTCCCGGCTCTGTCCCGTTCCCTCCCGGCTCTGTCCCGTTCCCTCCCGGCTCCGTTCCCCCGTTCCCCCGGTCCCGCCGGTGCGCACCTGGCCGCAGGCAGGCTCCCTTGCGGGTGTAGATGCAGGCGAGCGCCATGACGTGCAGGTAGGAGAGGCGCGGCCGGTCCCCGTCGGGCAGCGGGAGGAGGTCGCGCAGGGCGCGGATCTGCGCGTTGATCTGGTCCCGCCGCGCCTTGGAGGCGCCTTTGGTGGAGCGGAGCATCCTCCGCCCGCGCCGCCGCCCGGGGCCGCCGCTTTATGCGCCCCGCGGCCCCGCGTCAGCGCCGCGTCACCGGCCCCGGGCCGCCCCCCGCGCCGGGGGGGGACACCGGGCCCGGGGGGGCGCGGGGGGGACGCGGCGCCGCGTCAGCGCTGACGGTGACGCACGAACGGGGGGAGGGGCGGCGGGTTCGCACCGAAATTGGAGATGGAGCGGGAGAGGGGCGGGGCGGGGGGAGGGGAGGAGGAGGGGCACGCCCAGGGTGGGGGAGGGGGGGAGAGGGGGAAGGGGGAAGGGGGGGAGGGGGTTGGAGGGGTCGGTGGGGAGAGGGAGGAGGCAAGAAAAGGTCAGTGGGGAGAGGGAGGATCGCTGGGGAGATGGGGGAGTCAGTGAGGGGATGTGGGGAGATGGGGGGGTCAATGAGGGGCTGTGGGGAGATGGGGGAGATGGGAGAGTCAGTGAGGGGATGTGGGGAGATGGAGGAGTCAATGAGGGTCAGTGGGGAGATGGAGGAGCCAACGGGGGTCAATGGGGAGATGGAGGAGCTGGAGGAGCCAACAGGGGGCTGTGGGGAGATGGGGGAGCCAGTGAGGGGCTGTGGGGAGATGGGAGAGTCAGTGAGGGGCTGTGGGGAGATGGGGGAGTCAATGAAGGGTCAACAGAGAGATGGGGGAGCTAGAGGAGTCATTGAGGGGCTGTGGGGAGATTGGGGAGCCAACGGGGGTCAATGGGGAGATGGGGGAGTCAGTGGGGAGATGGAGGGGTCAATGGGGGTCAATGGGGGTCAATGGGGAGCTGGAGGAGCCAACAGGGGGCTGTGGGGAGATGGGGGAGTCAGTGGGGTCAGTGGGCAGATGGAGGGGTCAGTGAAGGGTCGGTGGGGAGATGGAGGGGTCAGTGAGGGGCTGTGGGGAGATGGGGGAGCTCGAGGGATGGAGGGAGAGAGAGAGAGGGTCAAGGGAGAGATGGAGGAACCGATGAAGGGTCAGTGGGGGAGGGAGGAGTGACCACAGGAGGGTCAGAGTGACCACAGGAGCATTGGAGTGACCACAGGAAGGATCGGAGTGACCACCGGTGTGTTGGACTGACCACAGAGGGGTCAGAGTGACCACAGGAGGCTCAGACTGACCACAGAGGGGGTCAGAGTGACCACAGGAGGCTCAGACTGACCACAGAGGGGTCAGAGTGACCACAGGAGGCTCAGAGTGACCACAGAGGGGTCAGAGTGACCACGGAGGCTCAGAGTGACCACCGGGGGGGTCAGAGTGACCACAGGAGCATTGGAGTGACCACAGGAAGGATCGGAGTGACCACAGGAGGGTCAGAGTGACCACAGGAGCATTGGAGTGACCACAGGAGCATTGGAGTGACCACAGGAAGGATCGGAGTGACCACAGGAGGGTCAGAGTGACCACAGGAGCATTGGAATGACCACGGGAGGCTCAGAGTGACCACAGAGGGGTCAGAGTGACCACAGGAGGCTCAGAGTGACCACAAAGGCTCAGAGTGACCACAGAGGGGTCAGAGTGACCACCGGGGGGGTCAGCGCGGCCGGAGGGACCCCCGGGCAGGCGGGGGGGGGAGGATCCGAGCCGCCCCTCCCCCCCCGGGCCGTTGGGAACCCCCGGTGCCGCCCCTCCCCCCCCGCGGGCGCCCCCGGCTCTGGCCCCGCCCCCCGCCCCTCCCCCCCCGGCTCCGCCGCTGCCAAATTTGGGCGCCGAAGCCGCGGAGCCAAAAATAGCGCGGGGGAGCCCAAAATAGCGCGGGGGGCGGGGCCGCGCCGGGACCCCCCCCCCGGGCCCGAAATTCCCGGATTTCTCCCCAAAATTCCCGAGTCCGGGCCCGAAATTCCTGAATCTGTCCCCAAAATTCCTGAATCCGTCCCCAAAATTCCCGATTCCTCCCCCCCCCAAAATTCCTGAGCGCCCCACCTCCCCAAAATTCCCGAGTTTCTCCCCAAGATTCACAAATGCCCCCCCAAAATTCCCGAATCCACCCCAAAATTCCTGAATCCGTCCCCAAAACTTCCCAAATCTCCCCCCGTCCCCCCCAAAATTCCGGAGTCTGTCCCCAAAATTCCCGACTCCCCCCCCCCCCAAAATTCCCGAGTACCCCCCCAAAAATTCCCGAGTTTCTTCCCAAAATTCCTGAGTCCCCCCCCACCCCAAAATTCCCGAGTTTCTCCCCAAAATTCCCGGGGATTCCCCCCCCTCCCCGAGGCGTTTCCATGGCAACAGCAGCGGTTTTTGGGGGGGGGAGGATGAGGAGGGAGGGGGGGATGAAGGAGGAAGATGAGGGAGGAACTGGGATGAGGATGAGGAGGGGAGGGAGGAAGATGAGGGAGAATAAAGGGGGTGAAGGAGGATGAGGAGGAGGAAGGAGGAGGATGAGGATGGAGAAGGTGAGGATGAAGATGAGGGACGATAAAGGGGATGAAGGAGGAGGAAGATGAGGCAGGAATTGGGGTGAGGATGAGGAAGATGAGGGAGAATAAAGGGGATGAAAGAGGATGAGGAGGATGAAGGAGGTGGACGAGGAGGAAGATGAAGCAGGGATTGGGGTGAGGAGGAGGATGAGGATGGAGAAGGTGAGGATGAAGATGAGGGACGATAAAGGGGATGAAAGAGGAGGAAGATGAGGCAGGAATTGGGGTGAGGATGAGGAAGATGAGGATGCTGATGAAGGCCCAAGGCGCTCCCCAAAACTGAGGGGACCCCCCCAAAAACTCCAGGTGGGCGGGGCCGTGGGAGGAGCTTCTTTATTGGGGGTTCCCCCGAGGTTTTGGGGTTTTTTGGGGGGTTTTTTGGGGGTTTTTTGGGGTCACTTCCTCCGGGCCCCCCCCTCGTCCTCCTCCTGCCCGTCCGGGGCGGCTGCGGCCGCCTGGAGCTCCCGGCGGCGCCGCTGGACATCGGCCACGGCCTGGGCGGTCAGCCTGGGGGTCAAAGGTCAGGGGTCAGCCTGGGCACTGCCACGGCCTGGGCGGTCAGCCTGGGGGTCAAAGGTCAGGGGTCAGCCTGGGCACTGCCACGGCCTGGGCGGTCAGCCTGGGGGTCAAAGGTCAGGGGTCACCCTGGGCATTGGCCACGGCCTGGGCGGTCAGCCTGGGGGGTCAAAGGTCAGGGGTCAGCCGGGGGTCAAAGGTCAGGGGTCAGCCTGGGCACCGGCCACGGCCTGGGCGGTCAGCCTGGGGGTCAGGGGTCAGGTTTTGGAGGTCTCAGGGTCAGTTTTTGGGGTGTCAGGCTCAGTTTTAGGGTCAGTTTTTGGGGGGTCTCAGGCTCAGTCTCAGGCTCAGCTTTTGGGGGTCTCAGGCTCAGTTTTAGGGTCAGCTTTTGGGGGTCTCAGGGCCGGTTCTGGGTCAGTTTCGGGGGTCTCAGGGCCGGTTTCAGGGCCGGTTCTGGGTCAGTTTTGGGGGTCCCAGGCTCAGTCTCAGGGGCCGGTTCTGGGTCAGTTTTGGGGGTCTCAGGCTCAGTTTTAGGGGCCGGTTCTGGGTCAGTTTTGGGGGCCCCAGGCTCAGTCTCAGGGCCGGTTCTGGGTCAGTTTTGGGGGTCTCAGGGCCGGTTCTGGGTCAGGTTTTGGGGGTGTCGGGCTCAGTCTCAGGGGCCGGTTCTGGGTCAGTTTTGGGGGTCCCAGGCCCAGCTGAGGGGCCGTGTCCCACCTGGGCACCACGAGCAGGCCGAGGCTGCGGGCCGAGCCCAGCACGGAGCCCAGCAGGGCGGGCAGCGACGTCCCCCGGGCGGCCACCGCCGGGTCCCTCTGCTTGGCCACGGCCACCTCGAAGAGCTGCGCCAGCGACACCAGCCCGGCCGGCTCGTGGCCTGGGGGAGCGCTCAGTGAGGGGCAGGAACCCCAAAATCCCCCAAATCCCCGCTAAAATCCCCCCAGGAACCCCAAAATCCCCGCTAAAATCCCCCCAGGAACCCCAAAATCCCTGCTAAAATCCCCCCAGGAACCCCAAAATCCCCCCAGGAGCCCCAAAATCCTCCCCAAGAGCCCACCAGGAACCCCAAAATCCCCTAAAATCCCCCCAGGAACCCCAAAATCCCTGCTAAAATCCCCCCAGGAACCCCAAAATTCCCGCTAAAATCCCCCCAGGAACCCCAAAATCCCCCCAGGAACCCCAAAATCCCCGCTAAAATCCCCCCAGGAACCCCAAAATCCCCCCAGGAACCCCAAAATCCCCCCAGGAGCCCCAAAATCCTCCCCAAGAGCCCACCAGCCTCCCCAGGACCCCAAATTCCCCCCAAGACCCCAAATTGCCCTCCAGGCCCCCCAGATTCCCCCCCCCCAGGACCCCAAATTCTCCCTCGGGACCCCAATTCTCCCCCCCCCCAGCATCCTAAAGTCTCCCTCAGGACTCCCAAAATCCCCCCTATGACCCCAAATTCCTCCTCAGAATCCCAAATTCCCAATCAGGACCCCAAATTCCCCCTTCAGGATCCCCAAATTTCCCCCTTCAGGATCCCCAAATTTCCCCCCAGAATCCCCAAATCCCATCTCAGTACCCCCAAATCCCTCTCAGGACCCCAAATTCCCTCCCAGGACCCCCAAATTCCCCCTCAATTCCCCCTCAGGACCCCCAATTCCTCCTCAGGATCCCCAAATTCCCCCCCAGGATTCCTCCAGCCTCCCCAGAGTCCCCCCCAATTCCCCCTCAGGACACCCAAATTCCCCTTCAGGACCCCCAAATTTGCCCCCAGGACCCCCAAACCGCCCCTGACCGGGTCTGGCCGATCCTTTCTCCACTCCGGCCACGGCCTTGAGGAAGTAGGAGGTGGGGGGGGTCCCGATGCTCAGCGAGTAGGTCCGGTCAGGCTGAGGGGGGATCACGGGGGAGTCACCGGGGGGGTCCCGGTGCCCCGGGGGGGTCCCGGTGTCCCCCCCTCAGACCCTCCCCCCACTCACATGCACGAGCAGCCGGACCCGCAGCGGGACCCCGGGCTTGATGTCCCGGGTGCGCTCGTTGAAATCTTTGCAGAAGGCGGCGATGGGGACGCCGCGCTGAGGAAGCACCGGGGAGGAAAGGTCGGGCCGGGCCGCGGGGGCACCGGGACACCCCAAAACCCCCCCGGGCTCCCCGCACCTGCCCCAGCACCGGCCCCAGCGGCGGTCCCGGGGCGGCCCCGCCCGCCGGGATGATGATCCGGACCGGCCTCGGGGCCGCCCCCGGGCCCGGCCTGGCCCCGGCCGCGGCCCGCACCGAGCGCGCCGCCCTCGACATGGCCACGGCTCCCTGAAGGACCCGCGGTCACGTGGGACGAAGGGCGCCGCGCAGCCAATCAGAGGCGCGGGAGGGAGGGGCGGGGCCGAAGGGAGCCAATAGGAGCGGGAAGGGGGTGTGGCCGAAAAGGGGGGCGGGAAAGAACGTGAGGGGGAAAAGGGGCGTGGCCAAAAATAGGCGCGAGAGCTCCTGAGGGGAGGGGGCGTGGCCTGAGAGCGGGTGGGTGTGGCTTGGGGAACCCGGGGGATCCCCGCCCCTCCCCCACCCGGGGATTCCCTCTGGGGGGGGGATCCCCGCCCCTCCCCCACCCATGGGGGGGATCCCCGCCCCTCCCCCACCCGGGGATTCCCTCTGGGGGGAATCCCCGCCCCTCCCCCACCCCAGCCTCACCTGGGGGCTCCCGGCCGAGCGCGGGGGGGAGGGGCAAGAGGTGGGGGGAGGGCTCGGAGGGCAGCGGGGGGGGGAGGGGGAGGGTCAGGACCCCTCCCCTCCCCCTCCCCCTCCCCGGCCCCTCCCCCTCTCCCGCAGCCGCCTCACCAGCTCCTCGTGCGACCCCGCCCTGCGGGTCAGGGGTCAGAGGTCGGGGGGGAGGGGACAGAGACCCCCCCCCACGACCCCTCCTCACCCCCTCCCCCTCCCCAGCGACCCCCAAATGTCCCCGACCCCCCCCCCAGCCCCCCCGGGACCCCCCAAATCCCCCCCGGGACCCCCACCGGCTCCGGGCTCTCTCGTAGGCCGCGCGCAGCTCCCGGTCCCGCTCGTCCAGGAAGGCGGCGTGAGCCCCGGCCACGTACCTGGGGGGCAAAGCACCCCAAAACCACCCCAAAATCACACCAAATTCACCCCAAAATCATACAAACCCCACCCCGAATTCACCCCAAAATCCACTCTGAATTCACCCCAAAATCATACAAATCCCACCCTGAATTCACCCCAAAATCCACTCTGAATTCACCCCAAAATCCACTCTGAATTCACCCCAAATCCACCCCGAATTCACCCCAAAATCTACCCCGAATTCACCCCAAAATCCACCCTGAATTCACCCCAAAATCCACCCTGAATTCACCCCAAAATCCACTATAAATTCATCCCAAAACCACTCTGAATTCACCCCAAAATCACCCAAAATGCACCCCAAAATCCACTCTAAATTCACCCCAAAATCCACTCTGAATTCACCCCAAAACCCACTCCGAATTCATTCCAAAACCCACCCCGAATTCACCCCAAAATTCACTGTTAATTCACCCCAAAATCCACTGTTAATTCACCCCAAAATCCACCCCGAAATCACCCCAAAACCCACCCCAAATTCACCCCAAAATCCACTCTGAATTCACCCCAAAATCACCCAAAATGCACCCCAAAATCCACTCTAAATTCACCCCAAAATCCACTCTGAATTCACCCCAAAGCCCACCCCGAATTCACCCCAAAATCCACTCTAAATTCACCCCAAAATCCACTCTGAATTCACCCCAAAACCCACTCCGAATTCATTCCAAAACCCACCCCGAATTCACCCCAAAATTCACTGTTAATTCACCCCAAAATCCACTGTTAATTCACCCCAAAACCCACCCCGAAATCACCCCAAAACCCACCCCAAATTCACCCCAAAATCCACCCCAAATTCACCCCAAAATCCACTCTGAATTCACCCCAAAATCCACCCCAAATTCACCCCAAAATCCAGGGGCATCGCCCCAACCCCAGACCCATTTTAGGATCCAATTTTGGGATTTTCAGTGCCTTGTTTTCTGTACCCCCAGCCCCATTTTTGGATCCCCCAGCCCCATTTCCAAGCCCCCAGCCCCATTTTCAGTAGCTCCAGCCCCATTTCCGAGCCCCCAGCCCCATTTCTGGTCCCCCCAGCCCCATTTTTGGGGTCCCCATCCCCGTTTTCGGGGCCCCCAGCCCTATTTTCGAGGCCCCCAGCCCCATATTCACAGCCCCCAGCCCCATATTCGCAGCCCCCAGCCCCATATTTGCAGCCCCCTGCCCCATTTCCGAGCGCCCAGCCCTGTTTCTGGGGCGCCCAGCCCCGTTTCTGGTTCCCCCAGCCCCGTTTTCACAGCCCCCAGCCCCGTTTTTGGGGTCCCCAGCTCCATTTTCGGGGCCCCCAGCCCCATTTCGGGGTCCCCCAGCCCCGTTTTCACAGCCCCCAGCCCCGTTTTCGGGGTCCCCAGCCGCATTTCCAAGCCCCCAGCCCCATTTTCGGGGCCCCCAGCCCCGTTTTCGGGGTCCCCAGCCGCATTTCCAAGCCCCCAGCCCCATTTTCGGGGCCCCCAGCCCCATTTCGGGGTCCCACCTGTAGGCCAGCCCATGGGCCAGCCCCCCCAGGGCCATCAGCAGCAGCAGCAGCCCCAGGAGGCGCCGGTGGGGGGCTCGGGGGGGGTCCCGGGGGGGTCGGAACTGCTCCCAGTACCGCCGGTTCTCCTCCCAGTGCCGCCGGTTCTGCTCCCAGTGCCGCCGGTTCTGCTCCCAGCCGGGGCTGGCCCCGCTGGGGACGCGGCACCGCTGGGACCCCCGGGACCCCCAACCACCAGGCACCCCCCAGAACCACCAGGGACCCCCCCAGGACCCACAGGGACCCCCGGGACCCACCCAGGACACCCCCCAGAACCACCAGGGACCCCCCAAGAACCCCTCCAGGAACCCAGGACCCCCCCCCAGGACCACCCCCAACACTCAGGGACCCCCTGGGACCTCCCTCCAACTGTCAGGACCACTTAGGCCCCCTCAGGACCCTCAGGGAACCCCCCAGGACCCTCAGGGACCCCCCCATAACCCCCAGGGACCCCCCCAGGACCCCCCAGAACCACCAGGGACCCCCCCAGGACCCTCAGGGACCACCGGGATCCCCCCCAGAACCACCAGGGACACCCCAGGAACCCCTCCAGGAACCCAGGACCCCCCCCCAGGACCACCCCCAACACTCAGGGACCCCCTGGGACCTCCCCCCAACTGCCAGGGACCACTTAGGCCCCCCCAGGACCCTCAGGGACCCCCCAGGACCCTCAGGGACCCCCCCATAACCCCCAGGGACCCCCCCAGGACCCCCCAGAACCACCAGGGACCCCCCCCGGGACCTCCCCCCAACTGCCAGGGACCACTTAGGCCCCCCCAGGACCCTCAGGGACCCCCCCCAGGACCCCCCAGAATCCTCAGGGAACCCCCAGGACCCTCAGGGACCCCCCCAGGACCCTCAGGGACCACCGGGATCCCCCCCAGAACCACCAGGGACACCCCAGGAACCCCTCCAGGAACCCAGGACCCCCCCCCAGGACCACCCCCAACACTCAGGGACCCCCTGGGACCTCCCCCCAACTGTCAGGGACCACTTAGGGCCCCCCAGGACCCTCAGGGACCCCCACAGGACCCTCAGGGACCCCCCCAGGACCCTCAGGGATCCCCCCAGACCCTCAGAGGCCCCCCCCAGGACCCCCCAGGAATCCAGGGATCCACCCCATATCCTGAGGGACCCCCCCAGGACCACCCCCAACCCCCAAAACCTCCACCCAGGACCCCCCCAGGCCCCTCCCCGCCCCCAGCCCCATTACCTGGGGGGGGTCCCGGGGCCGGGGGGGGTCCCGGGGCGGGGGGGGGTCCCGGGGGGTCCCCGGGGGTCCCTCAGGGCCGCGTAGGCCTCGGCCAGGCGCAGGAAGCGGCCGTGGCGGGAGGGGTCCGAGGGGTCCCCGTCGGGGTGAACCTGGGGGGAAATGGGTGGGGAGGGGGCCCCAAAACCGAGACCCCCCCCAGGGACACTGGGCAGGGCCCGAGGGGCTCCCAGTTTGTCCCAGTTTGTCCCAGTTTGTCCCAGTTCCCCCAGTACCTCCTTGCAGCGCTGCAGAAACGCCGCCCGGATCTCGCGGGGGGAGGCCCCGGGCTGGACCCCCAGCACCGAGTGGGGGTCAGGGGGACCCGGCCTGAGGGGATTTGGGGCATTTTGGGCATTTTTGGGCATTTTGGGCATTTTTTTGGGATTTTTTGGGATTTTTTTTGGGATTTCTGGGGCATTATTGGGGAGATTTTGGGACATTCTAGGGCATTTTTGGGATATTTGGGGGGGTTTTTGGGGCATTTTTGGGGCCAGATTGGAGGATTTTGCAGCATTTTGGGGCAGTTTTTCAATATTTGGGGCAGTTTGGGCATTTTAGGGGGATTTTGGGGCATTTTGGGGTTTTTTTTGGATTTTAGGGATTTTAGGGATTTTGGGGCATTTTGGGGATATTTGGGGATATTCTGGGGCCATATTGGGTCGTTTTGGGCCAATTTTGGGCCATTTTGGGCCGTTTTGGGCGTTTTTGGGCCATTTTGGGCCGTTTTGGTCTCACCTGCTGCTGAGGCCCCTCCAGGGCCGGGCCCAGCCTGGGGGGGGAAGGGCGGCCCAGAGCCCCTGCAATTAACGCTTTAATTAGCAACTAATTAATCCTTAATTAACACTTAATTAACCATCAATTAATCACAAAATAATCCTTAATTAACCCTTATTTAACCACAAATTAACCCGACAATTGTTGTTGTGTGAGTGACAGGCATAACTACGGTTAATCAGGACACTAATTACCTAAACAATTAACTCACTAATTAACTCAACAACTCCCACGGTCAGACTCTTAATTATTGCTAATTAACCTGTTAATTGCCTTTGTTTAGGCTATTAACAGCCCCTAAGCTCCTAATGGTTATTAATAACGCCATTAACGTCTGCTAATCACACAGGGAATTATCAGTGATTAATTACCAACAAACCACCTGTTAATTAACGCTAATTAATTAATAATCAATGTTAATTAGGCCCTTAATTACCGCTGATCATGAGTTAGCAAAACATTGACAACTTATTTAGCGCCGGCTGATGTCCGGCAGCGCGCGCCGCTCTAATTACCGCTAATAAGCGTTAATTACCCCCTAACACGGCTAATTTCCCCCTCGGCACTAATTAACGCCAATTAACGCCGTCCCGAGCCCCGCAGCCAGCCAGCGGCCGCACCGGGGGGGGGCTCTCCATGCAGATGAGGCGCAGGGCGGCGCTAATTAGCGGCGATCCGGGGGTTAATTAATTAATGAGCGCCCCCGGCCCCGCCGTTACCATGGCGACCGCGCGCCGCGCCGCCATCGCCGCCGCTTCCGCTTCCGGGGCGCTCCACGTGACCGCCAGGCGGCCAATCAGGGGAGCGGAAGCGGCGCGGCGGCGGTCACGTGATCGCGAGGGGCACCGCGATGGCGGCGGAGGTGCCGGGGGGGGGGGAGGGGCGGATTTTGGGGGTCCCGGGACGGGATTTTGGGGGGGAGGGGCGGATTTGGGGGGTCCCCGTACGGAATTTTGGGGTGGGGGGCGCTGCGGAGGGCCCGGGGGGGTCCCTGAGGGGCTGGGGGCGGCCCCGGGGGGCGGGGGGAGCCCCGGGGGGGTCCCGGGGCCGTTTTTGGGGCGGCGGGGCCGGTGGGGGTGGGGGAGGGGCGGGGCCCATCGGGCCCGGGGGTTTTGGGGGGGTCCCGGGGGAGGGGCCGGTTTGGGGGTTCCGTGACGTCATCGGCGCGGCGGCGGTGACGTCACGGGCACGCCCGGTGACAGCGCCCCCCAGCGGGTGGGACGGGAGGGACAAAAAGTGACAATAAATGGCAATAAGTGACAAAAAGTGACAGTAAATAACATTAAAGTGACAACAAATGACGTTTAAGTGGCAATAAACGACACTAAGTTGCCAATAAGTGACAATAAGTGACTGTGAGTGACATTGAATGGGAATAAATGACAATAAACTGCAAATAAGTGACAGTAAGTGACATCGAATGGTGATAAATGACATTTATATGACAATAAATGGCATTAAGGTGACAATAAGTTGCAGTTAAGTGACAATAAATGATTTTAAGGTGACAATAAATGACAACAAATGGCAATAGGTGGCAGTAAATGACATTAAGGTGACAATAAATAACAAGAAATGATGTTAAGGTGGCAATAAATGATTTTAAGGTGACGTTAAATTACAATATATGACAATAAGTGACACAAAGTGACAATAAATGGCACCAAGTGACGCTGCCGGTGTCGCCCCCCAGTGGCTGCTGCTGGCGCTGCCGGGGACGCCCAGTGACAATAAATGACAATAAACGATAATAAATGACATTGACGTGACAATAAATGACAATAAATGACAATAAATGACAATAAATAATTGACAATAAATGACAATAAATGATAATAAATGACATTGCAGTGACAATAACTGACAATAAACGATAATTAATTACATTGAAGCGACAATAACTGACAATAAATGATAATAAATTACATTGAAGTGACGATAAATGACATTGAAGTGACGATAAATGACAATAAATGACAATAACTGACAATAAATGACAATAAATGACAATAATTGACGTTCTCTGTCGCTCCCCCAGTGGCTGCTGCTGGCGCTGCCGGGGACGCTCAGGGTGACAATAATTGACAATAACTGACAATAAACGATAATAAATGACAATAAATGATAATAAATGACAATAAACGATAATAAATGACATTGAAGTGACGATAAATGACAATAAATGACAATAAATTATATTGAAGTGACAATAAATGACAATAAATGACAATAAACTGCAATAAATGACAATAAATAACGTTCTCTGTCGCCCCCCAGTGGCTGCTGCTGGCACTGCCGGGGACGCTCAGGGTGACAATAACCGACAATAATTGATTTTAAAGTGACAATAAATGACACTAATTGCTGTTAATCGCCGTTAATTGCCGCTAATGAGCGTTAATTGTGTCCCCGCAGTGGCTGCTGCTGGCGCTGGCGCTGGCGCTGCCCCCGGAGCGCCCCCAGGCGGGGGAGCCCCGAAAGGTCCAGATCGGGGTGAGGCGGCGGCCGGAGCGCTGCGGGGAGAGATCGCGGCGGGGAGACGTGCTGACCCTGCACTACTCGGTACTGGTTATACTGGTTATACTGGTTATACTGGGAGTGCTGACCCTGCACTACTCGGTACTGGTTATACTGGTTATACTGGTCATACTGGGAGTGCTGACCCTGCACTACTCGGTACTGGTTATACTGGTTATACTGGTCATACTGGGAGTGCTGACCCTGCACTACTCGGTACTGGTTATACTGGTGATACTGGTTATACTGGGAGTGCTGACCCTGCACTACTCGGTACTGGTTATACTGGTTATACTGGGAGTGCTGACCCTGCACTACTCGGTACTGGTTATACTGGTTATACTGGTTATACTGGTTATACTGGTCTGTACCGGTCCGTACCGATCCATACTGGTTTATACTGATTCGTACCAGTCCATACTGGTTTATACCGGTCTGTACCAGTCCATACTGGTTATACTGGTCTGTACCAGTCCATACTGGTTTATACTGGTCTGTACCGATCCGTACCAGTCCATACTGGTTCATACTGGTCTGTACTGGTCAGGGCACGCTGGAGGACGGGACCCCCTTCGACAGCAGCCGCAGTCGGGAACAGCCGTTCGTGTTCTCGCTGGGCACCGGACAGGTCATCAAGGGCTGGGACCAGGGGCTGCTGGGGTGAGTGACCACTGACCGCTGAGTGACCCTGAGTGACCCCTGAGTGACCACTGACCGCTGAGTGACCCTGAGTGACCCCTGAGTGACCCTTGACCCCTGAGTGACCCCTGAGTGACCCCTGAGTGACCCCTGAGTGACCACTGAGTGACCCCTGAGTGACCAACTGACCACTGAGTGACCCTGAGTGACCCCTGAGTGACCAACTGACCCCTGAGTGACCACTGACCGCTGAGTGACTCCTGAGTGACCCCTGAGTGACCCCTGAGTGACCCCTGAGTGACCAACTGACCCCTGAGTGACCACTGAGTGACCCCTGAGTGACCCTGAGTGACCACTGACCCCTGAGTGACCCCTGAGTGACCCCTGAGTGACCAACTGACCTCTGAGTGACCCCTGAGTGGCCCCCGAGTGACCCCTGAGTGACCACTGACCGCTGAGTGACCCTGAGTGACCCTGAGTGACCACTGAGTGACCCTGAGTGACCCTGAGTGACCACTGACCCCTGAGTGACCCTGAGTGACCCCTGAGTGACCAGCTGACCACTGACCAGCGCTGACCGCTGAACTGGGAGCACTGGGAGGGGCACTGGGACCCTCATAAATGGGGGAGGGGGAAATTCCCGGGATTTTGGGTGGAATTCCCGGGATTTTTGGTGGAATTCCCGGGATTCTGGGGAGAATTCCAGGATTTTGGGTGGAATTTCCGGGATTTTGGGTGGAATTTCTGGGATTTTGGGTGGAATTTCTGGGATTTTGGGGAGAATTCTGTGATTTTGGGGAGAATTCTGGGATTTTGGGGAGAATTCCTGGGATTTTGGGATTTTGGGGAGAATTCCTGGGATTTTGGGATTTTGGGTGGAATTCCCGGGATTTTGGGTGGAATTTCCGGGATTTTGGGTGGAATTTCCGGGATTTTGGTTCCCCAGGATGTGCGAGGGGGAGAAGAGGAAGCTCGTGATCCCCCCGGAGCTGGGTGAGACCCCAAAACCGACCCCAAAATGGGGAAAAAAACCCCAAAATTTGGGTGGGGAGGGAATCCCAAAAACCTGGGGGAAGGAGACCCAAAATTGGGGGAAAAAACCCCAAAAAAACCCCAAAAATTGGGGAGGGGGACCCTAAAAATGGGGGAAACATCCTGCAAATGGAGGACCCCAAAAATTTGGGGAAAGGGGGAAAAAAACCCCAAAAGGGACCCCAAAAATTGGGGAGAAAGGGGGGGGGGAACCCCAAAAAAGGACCGCAAAAATTGGGGGGAAAAGCCCCAGAAAAGGGACCCAAACATTGGTGGGGGGAAAACCAAAAAGGGAACCCAAAAATTGGGAGGAAAAGGGAAAAAAAAAACCACAAAGGGACCCCCAAAATTGGGGGGAAAAACCCCAAAAAAGGACTCCAAAAATTGGGGGGAAAAAAACCCAAAAAAAGGGACCCAAAAATGGGGGAAAAAGCCCCAAATTTGGGGGAGAACCCCAAAAGGCCCCCCTGACCCTGCCCATCCCCCCCCAGGTTATGGGGACCGAGGGGCCCCCCCAAAAATCCCAGGTGAGTCCTGCCCCCCCCAGGGGGATTTTGGGGTGAAAGTTGGGAATTTTGGGGTTCGGGAGGGGTTTTGGGGGATTTTTGGGGGGATTTCGGGGTTATTTTGGGGGGATTTTGTGGTGATTTTGGGGGGGATTTTGGGATAATTTCGGGATGATTTTTGGGATGATTTTTGGGGAGTTTTTGGGGTGATTTTGTGGTGATTTTTGGGGTCATTTAAGGGTGATTTTTGGGGGGATTGTTGGGATGTTTTTTTGGGAGTATTTGGGGTGATTTTGTGGTGATTTTTGGGGTCATTTCAGGGTGATTTTGGGTAATTTTTGGGGGCATTTGGGGTGATTTTTGGGGTAATATTGGGGTGATTTTTGTGGTCATTTCAGGGTGATTTTGGGTGATTTTTGGGGGGATTTCGGGGGGATTTTTGGGGTGATTTTAGGGTGATGTTGAGTGATTTTTGGGGGGATTTTGGGGTGCTGACCCCCCCGTTTTTAGGGGGGGCCGTGCTGATTTTCGAGGTGGAGCTGCTGAAGATCGAGCGGCGCCCGGAGCTTTAGGGGGACCCCAAAACCCCCCAAATTTCCCCCAAACCCTGCCCCCTTCCCGGCCCCCCCTCCCAAACCCGAGATTTTGGGGTCCCCCCCTCGATTTTCTTTGGGACTTTTTGTGGGGAAAGCCCCGCATTTTGGGGTCAATAAAGGGTTAAACCGAAGGTTTTTGGGGTTTTTTTTGGGGTGGGAAAGGACCAAAACGGGGCCAACCCCGAAAATGTCAAAGCTGCTTTTATTAAACCCATATAAAAACAACCCCAAACCCCCCCAACCCCGAAATTTAAAAAAAAACCTAAAAAAAACCCCCAAAACCCCCAAATTCCCCCCAAATCCCTCCCAGGACCCCCCAAAACCAGTGGGGGGGAGGGGGGGCGTGATTATCGCTGCAGGGGGGACCCCAAAAATGGAGGAGTTCCCCGAAATTGGGGCGGGGGGATGAGATTGGGGGGTTCCCCCCGAGGTTTGGGGGTTCCCCCGAATTTTGGGGGATTCCCCCGGGATTTTGGGGGGGGTTCCCCTGGATTTTGGGGTCATTTCTTCTGGGGGGTGTTGAGTTTCTGCATCCCCCGAATCTTCTCCAGGAGATCCCCCACGAACGCCTGGGGGGGGGGGAAGGGGGGTCAGGGGACCCCAAAATCCTTCGGGGATCCCCCAAATTCCCCCGCCCAAAATCCCCCCAAAACCTCCCCAAATTCCTTCCCAAAATTCCCCCAAAATCCCCCCAAATTCCTTCCCAAAATTCCCCCAAAAATCCCCAAAATTCCTTCTCAAAACCTCCTCAAAATCCCCCCAAAACTTTCCCAAATTCCTTCCCAAATTCCCCCAAAACCTCCCCAAATTCCTTCCCAAAATCTCCACAAAACATCCCCAAATTCCCTCCCAAAATCCCTGAAGTTTCCCCCAAAAACCTTCCCAAAAATCCCCAAAATTCCTTCTCAAAACCTCCTCAAAATCCCCCCAAAACCTCCCCAAATTCCTTCCCAAAATCCCTCAAAACCTCCCCAAATTCCTTCCCAAAAATCCCCGAAATTCCCCCCAGATTTTTGGGGGGTCTCTCCCAAAAATCCCCCCCCAAATCTCCCCCCTAAAAATTCCCCGAAAATCCCCAAACTGCCCCAAACTCCCCAAAATCCCCAAAAAGCCCCAAACTGCCCCAAACCCGGCTCACCTCGGTGGGTTTGTAACAGTCCACGAGGATCTCCTGGGGGGGGGGGGGGGGCGGTGTCAGAATTTGGGGTCCCCAAAATTTGGGGAGGGAGGGGGGAGGGGTCCCTCAACCCCCACCCAGATTTTGGGGGAGTTTGGGCAGATTTTGGGGCAATTTTTGGGTGATTTGGGGTGATTTTGGGATGGTTTGGGGGCGGACTTTGCAAGGGACTTGTGGTGATTTTTGGCGTTATTTTTGGGTTGATTTGCAGCGATATTTGGGGTGACTTTGGGATTATTTTTCATGGTTTGGGGCGGTTTTGGGTGGTTTCACATGATTTTGGGGTGGTTTTGGGTGATTTCAGTGGTTTGGGGATGGTTTTGGGGTGCTTTGGGCTGAGTTTTGACGATTTTGGGCTGATTTTGGACCATTCTAGGCTGGTTTTGGGCTGGTTTGGACTGGTTTTGGGGTGATTTTGGGCTGATTTTGGGCAATTTTGGGCTGGTTAGGACAATTTCAGGCTGGTTTGGACAATTTTGGGCTTATCTCGGGCGATTTTGGGCTGATTTTGGACAATTTCGGGGTGATTGTGGACAATTTCAGGCTGATTTTGGACAATTTTGGGCTGATTTTGGACAATTTTGGGGTGATTGTGCACAATTTTGGGCTGATTTTGGACAATTTCGGGCTGATTTTGGACAATTCCGGGCTGATTTTGGACAATTTTGGGCCGTACCTGCACGCGGGCGCTGCGGGCGCCGTCGCTCTCCATGTCCAGCAGCTCATCCACGTCGATCTCCAGCTCCGGGATCTCCTCCTCCTGCGGGTTTGGGGGGATTTTGGGGTGATTTTGGGGTGATTTCGGGGTGATTTTGGGATGGATTTGGGATGGTTTTGGAGGTGATACGCGGCTGGATTTGGGGGTGATTTTGGGGCTGGTTTTGAGGTGATTTTGGGACAGTTTTGAGATGATTTTGGGATGGCTTTGAGGTGATTTTGGGGTGATTTCAGGGAAAGTTTTGGGGTGACTTTGGGATCGATTTGGGGATGATATGGGGCTGGTTTTGGGATGGATTCAGAGGTGATTTTGGAGATGGTTTTGGGATGATTTTGGGACAGTTTTTGAGATGATTTTGGGGCTGGTTTTGAGGTGATTTTGGGGACAGTTTTGGGGTGATTTTGGGGTGATTTTGGGATGGATTTGGGGGTGATATGGGGCTGGATTTGGGATGGATTTGGAGGTGATTTTGGGGCTGGTTTTGGGACAGTTTTGCGGTGACTTTGGGATGGATTTGGGGGTGATTTTGGGGCTGATTTTGGGATGATTTTGGGGTGACTTTTCGGGTGATTTTGGGGATGGTTTTGAGGTGATTTTGGGGTGATTTCGGGGACAATTTTGGGGTGATTTTGGGGATGGTTTTGAGGTGATTTTGGGGTGATTTCGGGGACAATTTTGGGGTGATTTTGGGGTCCCGAGGGGGGTTCTGGAGCCGGTCCCGGTCCCACCCCCACCTCCGCGTGTTCCCCGTCCTATCCCGGTGCCGGTCCCTGCCCCGTTCCGGGTCCCGGTGGCGATCCCGGAGCCGCCCCTGTCCCGCTGCCGGTGCCAGTCCCTCCCCTCTCCCCGCGTGTTCCCGGTGCCGGTGCCGGTTCCGGTGCCGCCCCTGTCCGCGCTGTCCCCGGTGCCGGTGCCGCCCCCCGCCCCGCCGGTACCCGGCAGTCGTAGAGCGCCGTGAGCTGCCCCAGGATCCACTCCTCGAGGTGGAGGCGCTTGCGGAGCTCGCGGCGGTCGTAGCGCACCGTGACCTTCCCGCGGCCCCGCCCCGGGCCCTCCTCCGCCGCCGCCGCCGCCGCCGCGGGCGCGAAGCAGACGCGGGGCCCGGCCGGGCCGGGGGCGGCTCCGGGCGCGGCCGGGGGGGGCCCGGGGCCGCCGCGCGGCTCCGCCATACCGGGACCGCCGACCGGAAGCGGCCACGCCCCCACCGGGGCGGCCACGCCCCCTCCCGGTGCGCGCGCCGCCACCGGAGCCGCGGCGGGGGCGCCTTTGTGTCCCGCCAGGCCACGCCCACCGGACACGCCCACCGCTCACTCAAATCTGCATAGCCCCGCCCCTCATGACCACACCCAGGACAGGCCACGCCCCGTTCAGGTTCGGCGGAACCGCCCCGGTCGGACACACCCTGTTAGGCCACGCCCCATATGGTAATTAGCTCGTTACGGGCCCCGCCCCCCGTTAGCCACGCCCCCGCCACGGGCAGCGATGGCGGCGCCGCGACCGGAGCCGGTCCCGGTGTCAGTCCCGGTCCCGGTCCCGGGTTCGGTGTCGGGTTCTGTCCCGGAGCCGCTCCCGGGCTCCGGTTCGGTCCCGGTACCGGGTTCGGGTTCCGGTTCTGTCCCGGTGCCCGAGCTGCTCGTGCGGGGCAGCAAATTCATCCGCTGGGAGGAGGTGAGACCCCAAATCCCCCGAAATCACCCCAAAATTATCCCGGGACCCCCAGAATCATCCCGGGAACCCCCAAAATTCCCCCAAAATCACCCCGGGACCCCCAAAATCATCCCGGGAACCCCCAAATCCAACCCCGGAACTCCCCAAATCCACCCCCAGAACCCCAAAATCCAACCCCGAGACCCTCCAAGTGACCCCAAAAGTTTTAGACTCCAAGTCCAACCGGGACCCCCCAGAATTGTCCCCAAAACCCACCCGGGACCCTCAAATCAGCCCAAACCCCCCCAAAATTCCCCCCCCGTGACCCCATTTCCCGACCTGACCCCGTTTTTTGGGGCCAAAAACCGGGAAATGGGGTCCTGCCCCCCCCAAACCCCCCGGGGACCCCCCCAAATCTCCGCGCCTCGGGGTGGGCGAGGGGCTGCACAGGGGGATTTTGGGGGGGTCCCCGGGGGGATTTGGGGGGGGTCTCGCTGATTTGGGGGGGGGTCTGGGGGGATTTTGGGGGGGTCCCGCTGATTTTGGGGGGGTCTGGGGGGATTTTGGGGGGGTCCCGCTGATTTTGGGGGGGTCTGGGGGGATTTTGGGGGGGTCCCGCTGATTTTGGGGGGGTCTGGGGGGATTTTGGGGGGGTCCCGCTGATTTTGGGGGGGCTGGGGGGATTTTGGGGGGGTCCCGCTGATTTTGGGGGGGTCTGGGGGGATTTTGGGGGGGTCCCGCGGATTTTGGGGGGTCTGGGGGGATTTTGGGGGGGTCCCGCTGATTTTGGGGGGGTCTCGCTGATTTTGGGGGGTCTGGGGGGATTTTGGGGGGGTCCCGCTGATTTTGGGGGGTCCCCTGGGGGATTTTGGGGGTGTCTCACTGATTTTGGGGGGTATGGGGGGATTTTGGGGGGGGACTGGGGGGATTTTGGGGGGGTTCCGCTGATTTTGGGGGGTCTGGGGGATTTTGGGGTGGTCTCGCTGATTTTGGGGGGGTCTGGGGGGATTTTGGGGGGGTCCCGCTGATTTTGGGGGGTCTGGGGGGATTTTGGGGGGGTCTCGATGATTTTGGGGGGTCTGGGGGATTTTGGGGGGTCCCGCTGATTTTGGGGGGGGTCTGGGGGGATTTTGGAGGGGGTCCCGCTGATGTTGGGGGGTCAGGGGGGATTTTGGGGGGTCCCAGGGGGAATTTTGGGGGGGTCCCTGGGGGGATTTTGGGGGGGTCCCGATGATTTTGGGGGGTCGGGGGATTTTGGGGGGGTCCTGCTGATTTTGGGGGGGGGTCTGGGGGGATTTTGGGGGGGTCCCTGGGGGGATTTTGGGGGGGTCCCGCTGATGTTGGGGGGTCTGGGGGGATTTTGGGGGGGTCCCGCTGATTTTGGGGGGTCTGGGGGGATTTTGGGGGGGTCCCGCTGATTTTGGGGTCTCCCCCCGCAGCTGCTGCAGGAACTGGGGGGCTCCTGCGCCCCAAAACCCCCCCAGGACCCCCCCCCGGGCGACTCCACCCCCCTCTGACCCGGGGGGGGGACCCCAAAATCCCCCCCCCCGAGATTTGGGGGGCCCCAAATTTGGGGGGGTCCCTCGGAGCCTTTTTGGGGTCCCCCCCGCGGCACTTTGGGAGGGTTTGTGACCCCCAAAATTTGGGGGGTGGGGGGGAAATCTCCAAGGGCTCCCCCAGATTTTGGGGACCCCCCCTCCCCATTCTTAGCACCACTAAAGGGGGTCCCCCCCCCCCCCCAAATTTGGGGGTTTTGGGGGGGGGTCGCTGCCTCACGACACTAAACCCCCCCGGCCACGCTGCTGCCCCCCAAAATCCCGCCCCGAGTTTTGGGGGGTCCTGCCTGTCCTGCGCTGCTGTCGGGGCCCCTCCGAAATTTGGGGACCCCCCAAAAATGGGCCCCCCCCGTTTGTACAAGAAGAGAATTTTAATTTTCTATGGAGACGCCTCTGTGGGGCCGGGGGGGGTTGGGGGGGATTTTGGGGGGAGTTTTGGGGGGATTTTTGAGGGGATTTTTGGGGAATTCGGTGGGTTTTGGGGCACACCCCAGGATTTCGGGAGGGGGCGCCCAAATTCATCCCGACCTGGGGGTCCCCCTCTTTTCTTTTGGTCTGGGGGCCTTTTTTGGGACCCCCCTCCCTCATTTTGGGGGGGTTCAGGTTTAATTTGGGGGCACCTCCCGTGGGTTTTGGGCGAATTTTCTGTCATTTTTGAGGATTTTCTGTAATTTTTGAGGATTCTCCTTCATTTTGGAGAATTCTTTGTGATTTTGGAGGATTTTCTTCAAATTTTGAGCACTTTTTGTCATTTTGGAGGATTTTTCATGATTTTGGAGGATTTCCTGTCATTTTGGAGGATGTTTTGTCATTTTGGGTTGGCTTTCTGTCATTTTGGAGGATTTTCTGTAATTTTCAAGGATTTTCTGTTATTTTGGAGAGTTTTCCTTCATTTTGGAGGATTTCGTAATTTTGGAGGATTTTCTTTAATTTTTGAGGATTTTCCTTCATTTTGGAGAATTCTTTGTGATTTTGAAGGATTTTCTTTAATTTTTGAGGATTTTCTTTCCTTTCAGGCGAGTTCCTCCTCCTTTTCCTCCTTTTTTTTTCCTTTTTTTTGGGGGGGATCTCATTCCAGCCCCCCCTCCCCAATTTTGGGGGTCGCTCCCATTAACCCGGGGGGGGTCCCTTGATTCAACCCCCCCAAAAAAAACCCAAAACCCTCAATTTTTCTACAAAACCCCCCATTTTTATTGCCCCCCCCCCCATTCCCTGCAGCATTTCGGGGCCCCCCGCCCCAGATGAGGTTTTTGGGGGGGGGGTCGGTCAGGGGGGGGGGCCGGGGGGGGCGGGGCGGGGCCGTCGGGACCCCCACCAGGCCCGGAGGGTCTCGCGCCAGCCGCCCCCCCCCGGGGGAGCCCCCCCGACACTGCGGGGCCGCGGCAGCACCTGAGGGGGGAGGGGGGGATTGTCACCTGGGGGGGCTGCGGGGTCACCGCGGGGTCACCGACCCCCCCTGGGGTCACTGAGCCCCCCCCCCCATGTCCCCCCTGCACCCCCAGGGCCGCCTGTGCCCTGATGTCCCCAAATACCCCCAAATGTCCCCAAATCCCCCCGGGGTCCCCAATGTCCCAAATGTCCCAGGTGTCCCCAATCCCCCCGATGTCCTCAGATGTCCCCAATGTCCCCTCTGACCCAAATCCACCCCGGGGGTCTCCTGCACCCCAATAACCCCCGTCACCCCCATGTCCCCAAATACCCCCCAATGTCCCCAGTGTCCCCAGTGTCCCCAATCCCCCCAATGTCCCCAATGTCCCCAATCCCCCAGGTGTCCCCAATGTCCCCAATGTCCCCCCTGTCCCCAATGTCCCCTCACTGTCCCCGCTGTCCCCAATGTCCCCAATCTCCCCCCAATCCCCCCAATGTCCCCAGTGTCCCCAATCTCCCAGGTGTCCCCCCTGTCCCCAATCCCCCCAATGTCCCCAATGTCCCCCCTGTCCCAAATGTCCCCAATCTCCCCGGTGTCCCCAATCTCCCAGGTGTCCCCAGTGTCCCCAATGTCCCCAATGTCCTCAATGTCCCCCCAATGTCCCCAACCCCCCAATGTCCCCCCAATGTCCCCAATGTCCCCAACCCCCCCAATGTCCCCCCTGTCCCCGTGTCCCACCTGGAGCTGGAACTCGTCGCTCATCCTCCTCAGCCGCCGCCCGTAGCGCTGCGCTGCCCAGAGCACGGGGGGGGCGGAGCGGGAGCGGCCGCGGGCCGGGGGGGGGTCCCCGGGGGGGGCCCCGATTTGGGGGTCCCCGCCGCCCCCCGCCCCCCCCCCGCTCCGACAGCAGCCGGGGCCGCGCCTCTGCGGGGGGAGGGGCGTCAGGGGACCCCCAAAAATGGCTTTTGGGGTCCCCCCGGGGGGGTTTTGGGGTCCCCCCGGGGGGGGGATTTTGGGTGGGGGGGAGTCTCTGACCTGGGGAGGGGGTCCCGGGCTGGCTGGGGGAGGGGGAGCCCCCCCAGGGCGAGGGGGGAGGGGAGCCGCGATCCTCGGGGGTCTCGTCCAGCCGGAGCATCCGCGGGGAGGGGGCTGAGAGCCAGAGACCCCCCCCGAGACCCCAAATTCACCCCAAATCCCCCCAGAGACCCCAAATTCACCCCAAATTTCCCCCAGAGACCTCCCCGAGACCCCAAATTCACCCCTGAGACCCCCCCCGAGACCCCAAATTCACCCCAAATTCCCCCCGAGACCCCAAATTCACCCGAGACCCCAAATTCACCCCAGAGACCCCCCCCGAGACCCCAAATTCGCCCAAAATCCCCCCAGAGACCCCAAATTCGCCCCAAATTTCCCCCCCCCGAGACCCCAAATTCCCCGCGGCGCAGCCCCGAACCCCAAAGCCGCCCCCCCCCCTCAATTGGGGTCCCCGGTAATTAGCGCGACCCCCCCCGCCCAATTAACGACCCCAAGCTCCGCCCCCCATGACCTTTGGTACCCGGAAGTGCCCCTCCCCCACCCGGCACCCCAAAACCGCCCCCCAACCCCCCACCCCGAAGTCCGGCACCCCAAAACCGCCGCGATCCCCCCAGAACAGGAACCCCCCCTAAATGGGGGCACCCCAAAACCGCCCCTCCCCCTCCCGGCACCCCAAAACCGCCCCTCCCCCACCGGGGACACCCCAAAACCGCCCCTCCCCCACCGGGGACACCCCAAAACCTCCTTCCCCGCCCCCAACCCGCATGTCCGCCCCTCCCCCCGCGGCCCCCGGCCCCTCCCACCCCCGGGGGTCGCCCCCGGCCCCTCCCCCCCCTTTGGGGACCCCCAAATCCGCCCCTCCCCCCCCCAACCTCGGCTCCGCCGCGCTCGGCCCGGCCGCGTCACCCGCGTGATTGACAGCGCCGCCGGCCAATCAGCGCCGGGGCTCCCTCTTGCGTCACAGCCCCGGCCACGCCCCCAGCGTTGCCCGCGAGTGGGCGTGGCCTCGCGCGGCCTCGCGTGCCCGCGGCCAAGATGGCGGCGGCGGGAAAAAGGGGGTGGAGCCACTGAGCGGCTGGGGGGGGGGGAACGAGAAAAGGCCGAAATTGAACCCCCAAAAAATCGCTTTTGCCCCAAAACCGCCCCGTGTCCTCCCCAAAATCGCCTCTAAAATCCGCCCTGACCCTAAAATCGCCCCCGACGCCAAAAATTCCCCGCAACGTCCTCCCAATGGGCACAGACCCCCCCCCCCCGGACCCCCAAATGGACCCAACCCCCCGGCAGCCCCAAAACCCCTCAAACCCCCCGAAATCCCTCAAAACTCCCAAAAAATTAATCAAATCCACCCAGAAATCCCTCAAAACTCCCCAAAATACTTCAAAACCTATTGAAATCCCCCAAATCCCCCAAATCCCCCCCAAATCCCCCCCAAATCCCCCAAATCCCCCCCAAATCCCTCAAAACCCTCTGAAATCCCCCAAAATCCCTCATAACTCCCTGAAATCCCTTAAAACTCCCTGAAGTTCCTCAAAACTCTCCCAAATCTCTGAAAACCGCCCCAAATCCCTCAAATCCCCCCAAAATCGCTCCCTGACCACCGAACCCCCCCCGGACCCCTCAATGGTCCGGCCCCCCCCGGCCCCCCCCGCGACCGCTGCCTCATGGAAACGCCCTGGGGCTGCACTGGGACCCTCCCAGTATGGATTGGGACCCTCCCAGTATGGATTGGCACCCCCCAGTATGGGCTGGAACCCTCCCAGTATGGATTGGCACCCCCCAGTATGGGCTGGGACCCTCCCAGTATGGACTGGGACCCTCCCAGTATGGGCTGGGACCCTCCCAGTATGGATTGGCACCCTCCCAGTATGGGCTGGGACCCTCCCAGTATGGATTGGCACCCCCCAGTATGGACTGGGACCCTCCCAGTATGGATTGGCACCTCCCAGTATGGATTGACACCCCCCAGTATGGGCTGGGACCCTCCCAGTATGGATTGGCACCCTCCCAGTATGGGCTGGGACCCTCCCAGTATGGGCTGGGACCCTCCCAGTATGGATTGGCACCTCCCAGTATGGATTGGCACCCTCCCAGTATGGACTGGGACGCGCCCAGTATCGACTGGGCGCGACCGCGGCGCCCTTGGCCCGGCTGGGGGGAGGGGCGGTGAGGGGACAGCGGTGACACCAGTACGGACACCAGTGACACCAGTATAACCAGTACAGACACCAGTACGGACACCAGTGACACCAGTATAACCAGTACAGACACCAGTAAAAGCAGTATAACCAGTGCAGACCCCAGTACAGACCCCAGGGACACCAGTAACGCCAGGAGCGGTGTCCCCAGTCCGCCCCAGTTTGTCCCAGTTTGTCCCAGTTTGTCCCAGTCCCGTGGGATTGGGGGGGGGGTGTCACGTGACCCGGTGATGCTCTCGGGCCGCTATAAAGAGCGGCACCGGATCGGGACCGGACCGGACCGGATCGGGATTGGACCGGACCGGATCGGCACCGGACCGGATCGGGATTGGACCGGACCGGATCGGGATTGGACCGGATCGGGATTGGACCGGACCGGATCGGGACCGGACCGGATCGGGATTGGACCGGACCGGATCGGGACCGGACCGGATCGGGACCGGACCGGACCGGGAGCGGAGATCGGCACAACCCGGACTGGAGCAGGAGCAGGAGCCGGATCGGATCCGGATCCAGACTGGAACTGGATCGGACCCGGACCGGTTCAAAGCCCGGGACTGGATCACGGAGCGGATCCGGGTTAGGGACCAGAACCGGACCGAGACCCGGGGGTGGATTTGACCAGAACCGGAGCCTGAACCGGATCCAGCCCGAACCGAACCGAACCGAACCGGATCAAAGCCTGGAACTGGATCAGTGACGGGATCCGGAGTAGGAACCAGAACCGGGCCGGGCTCGGCTCAAACCCCGGCGCTGGATTAGAGCCGAACCGGAGCCGGGACAGGGACGGGCGTAAGACCCGGAGCGGGATCCGGGCGGGTCCCGGGGATTCGGGGGTCCGGGATGAGCGGGAGGTCCCCCCGGGGGTCGCCGCCGCGGCCCCGCCCCCCCCGGGGGTCCGGGGGGGTCCCGGGGGGGTCCCGGGGGTCGCCGGTGCCCCCGGGGAAGCTGCAGCTCCTCGAGCGCTTCTTCACCCCCCCGGGACCCCCCCGGGGCACCCCCCCGTCCTCCCCCTCCCCCTCCCCCTCCCCCTGCTCTTCCTCCCCCCCCTCCTCCTCCTCCTCCTCCTCCTCCTCCTCCGGGGGACGCTGCGGGGCCGCCCCCCGGCCCGGGGCCCCGAATTGGGGCGGGGGTCGCGGCTGCGGGCCCGGGGGCTGAGCCGCAGCCACGAGGGGCTGAGCCCCCGGGACCCCCCCCGGCGCCCCCCGCCCGCCGCGCCCCGCCCGGGGGTACCGAGGGGCCGGGGGCGGCGCGGGGCGGGCGGGGGTCCCGGGAGGGGTCCCGGGGGGGGTCCCGGGGGGGGTCCCCCCGCCGCTGGCGCTCGCTGGAGGCGCTGGGGGGGCGCCGGGGGGGGCCCCGGTTCTCCCGGTTCCTGGACGAGCTGACCCGGAGCGTGCTGAGCCCCGCCGAGCTCCGCGCGCTCGGCTGCGGCCGCGACCCCCGGGACCCCCCCCGGGACCACCGGGACCAGCACCGGGACCCCCGGGAGCCCCGGGAACCCCCCCGGGACCCCCGGGATCCCCCCCGGGACCACCGGGACCAGCACCGGGACCCCCGGGACCCCCGGGAGCCCCCCCGGGACCAGCACCGGGACCTGCGCGACCCCAACCGGGACCCCCGGGAGCCCCTCTGGGACCCCCCCCGGAACCGGCACCGGGACCCCCCCCGAGACCGGCCGAGCTCGGGGGGCCCCCCCGGGATGGAGGAGGAGGAGGAGGGACAGGTAGGGACACACCTGTGGGGGGGGTCACACCTGTGGGGGGGTCCCACCTGTGCCACCCCCGCGGTGACCGCCCCGTCCCCGCAGGTGTCGGGAGCAGCCGCAGGAGCGAAGGGGTGAGTTCGGCTGCGGGGCGGTTTTGGGTTAAATTTGGGGGATTTTGGGTCAGTTTGGGGGTTTTGGGTTAAGTTTTGGGGTTTCAGGTTCAGTTTGGGGTTAAATTTGGGGGATTTTGGGTTCAGTTTGGTGGTTTTGGGTTAAATTTAAGGTGGTTTGGATTCAGTTCTGGAGTTTTGGGTTAAATTTGGGGGATTTTGGGACAGTTTGGGGGTTTCGGGTTCAGTTTTGGGTTAAATTTGGGGTTTTGGGTTAAATTTGTGGGGTTTTGGGCTCAGTTTTGGGGTTTTGGGTTCAGTTCTGCGGTTTTGGGTTAAATTTGAGGGGTTTTGGGTTCAGTTTTGGGGTTTTGGGTTCAGTTCTGCAGTTTTGGGTCAGGTTTTGGGGTTTTGGGTTCAGTTCTGTGGTTTTGGGTTCAGTTTAGGGGTTTTGGGTTAAATTTGGGGGGTTTTGGGTTCAGTTTTGGGGATTTGGGTTCAGTTCTGCGCTTTTGGGTTAAATTTGGGGGGTTTTGGGTTCAGTTTTGGGATCCTCTTCCCCCCCAGGGCCCCCCCGGTGTGGGCGGAGCTGAAGGAGCTGCGGGAGCGGATGGACAGGTGAGATGGGACAGGTGAGACATGGACAGGTGAGACATGGACAGGTGAGATGGGACAGGTGAGACATGGACAGGTGAGAACGGACAGGTGGGGGGGTATCAGGTGTTTGGCTCCCAATTTGGGCTCCCAGTGCTCTCAGTTTGGGGCCCCAGTCCCTCCCAGTGCTCCCAGTTTGTTTCCCGCAGGCTCCGCGCCGATTTCGATCTCTCGCAGCTCCGGACGCTGCGGTTGGAGCGGCGCCTTCGGGGGCTGGTGAGGGGGGACGGGAATTTTGGGGGATTTTGGGGGGTCCGGGCTGAGCTTGGGCGGGTTTGGGGCTCCGGGGTTGGATTTTGGGGCGGTTTTGGGTCCCAGGTTGACTTTAGGGTGAATTTTCCTGGTTTCAGGGTCTCAGGGTGGTTTTGGGGCAGTTTTTGGGGTGAATTTCCGTGTTTTTGGGGTGAATTTCTGTGGTTTTGGGGTGAATTTCTGTGGTTTTGGGGTCCCGGGCTGAATTTGGGGACACGGTGGGGGAGGGGCACTGGGGGGGTGTCACGGTGGGGGAGGGGGGGTGACAGCCCCCGTGACCCCGCGGTGACCCCGCGGTGACCCCGGTGTCCCCTCCCCCCCCAGGTGGCCGCGTTGGGCGGGGCCGAGGATGAGGAGGGGGAGGGGGGGGAGGGGCCGCTGCTGCCCCCCCCCGCCTTCAGGGACCCCCCCCGCCCATCCCCCACCCCCCAATAAAGCGTTGAGACCCCTCCCCCACCCCGCCAGGCTGAGTCCTTTTCGGAGCGCCCAAAAATGCCCCAAAACTGCCCCAAAAATGACCCAAAACTGCCCCAGGAGCCCCAAATTCCCCCAAAGCCCCCCAAACCCCCCCCTCCCCCCATCCCCCAGCCCCATTTCGGGGTCCCCCACACGAGGCACCCCCACGTGTCCAACGGCTTTATTGGCACTGGCCGCGACCCCGCGACCCCCAGGTCAGCCGGGGTCAGTCAGGGGTTACCCGGGGTCAGGGGTCAGCCGGGGTCAGTCCGGGGGTCACCCGGGGTCAGTCTGGGGGTCACTTGTGGTCACTTGGGGTCAGTCTGGGGGTCACTTGGGGTCAGTGGTCACTCTGGTGGTCACTCGGGGTCAGTCTGGGGGTCACTCGGGGTCAGTGGTCACCCGGGGTCAGTCTGGGGGTCACCCGGGGTCAGGGGTCACCCGGGGTCAGTCTGGGAGTCACTTGTGGTCACTTGGGGTCAGTCTGGGGGTCACTCGGGGTCAGTGGTCACTCCGGTGGTCACTCTGGGTCAGTCTGGGGGTCACTCCGGTGGTCACTCGGAGTCAGTGGTCACTCAGGGTCAGTCTGGGGGTCACTTGGGGTCAGTCTGTGGGTCACTCGGGGTCAGTGGTCACTCTGGTGGTCACTCGGGGTCAGTCAGGGGTCACTCGGGGTCAGTGGTCACTCCGGTGGTCACTCTGGGTCAGTCTGGCGGTCACTCGGGGTCAGTGGTCACTCGGGGTCAGTCTGGGGGTCACTCGGGGTGGTCACTTGTGGTCAGTGGTCACTCGGGGGGGTCAGTGGTCACTCGTGGTCACTCGGGGTCAGTCCGGGGGGCAGAGGCGCGCCCCCAGCTCGTCCAGCAGCCAGTCCAGGCCGGGCAGGAGGTCGCGGCCCGTGAAGGCCGAACAGCCCTGAAGGCGCCACCGGTGGCTGCGGATCGAGTCCAGCTCCAGCGCCTGGGCAGGGGTCACCCGGGGTCACCCGGGGTCACTCGGGGTCACCCGGGGTCACTCAGGGTCACCCAGGGTCACTCGGGGTCACGGGGTCAGCCCCACGGCCCGGGGGATTCGGGACCGACCCAGATTTTGGGGGGTCCCAAACCTGGGGGGGGTTCCCGGCCAGGGAACCTCGAACTGGGGGGGGTCCCTGGGGGGTCCCGGGGGGTTTTTGGGGTCCCTCCCGGGTGATTTTTTGGGGTCCATCCCGGGGGTTTTTGGGGTCCATCCCGGGTGATTTTTTGGGGGTTTTTGGGGTCCGTCCCGGGTGATTTTTTGGGGGTTTTTGGGGTCCGTCCCGGGTGATTTTTGGGGTCCATCCCGGGTGATTTTTTGGGGGGTTTTTGGGGTCCGTCCCGGGTGATTTTTGGGGTTACCTCCCGGATGTCGGCGGCCGGCAGCGCCCCCGGCAGGTCCTGCTTGTTGGCGAACACGAGCAGGGCGGCCCCGGCCAGGCGCTGGGGGGACAGGGGGGTCACGCCCTGTCACCTGTGCCCCCCATGTCCGTGTCCCCATGTCCCTGTGCGCCCCCCATGTCCCTGTGCCCCCCATGTCTGTGCCCCCCATGTCCCTGTGCCCTCCATGTCCCTGTGCCCCCCATGTCCCCTGTGCCCCCCATGTCCCCATATCCCCGTGCCCTCCATGTCCCTGTGCCCCCCATGTCCCTGTGCCCCCCATGTCCCTGTGCCCCCCATGTCCCCGTGCCCCCCATGTCTGTGCCCCCCATGTCCCTGTGCCCCCCATGTCCCCGTGCCCCCCATGTCTGTGCCCCCCATGTCCCTGTGCCCTCCATGTCCCTGTGCCCCCATGTCCCTGTGCCCCCCATGTCCGTGTCCCCATGTCCCTGTGCCCCCTATCTCCCTGTGCCCCCCCATGTCTGTGCCCCCCATGTCCCTGTGCCCCCCATGTCCCTGTGCCCCCCATATCCCTGTGCCCCCCATGTCCCTGTGTCCCCCATGTCCCTGTGCCCCCCATGTCTGTGTGTCTCTGTGCTCCCCATGTCCCCGTGCCCCCCATGTCCCCATGTCCCTGTGCCCCCCATGTCTGTGTGTCTCTGTGCCCCCCGTGTCCCTCTGCCCCCCATGTCCGTGTGCCCCCCATGTCCATGTCCCTGTGCCCATGTCCCCGTGTCCCCCCACATCTTTGCCATGTCCTGTCCCCAGGGTGTCCCCGCTATCCCCTGGCTGTCCCCGGGCTGTCCCCGCTGTCACCTCCTCGCGCAGCAGCGCCCTCAGCTCGGTGGCGCAGAGCCGCAGCCGCTGTCGGTCGCTGCTGTCGACCACCCAGAGCAGCGCGTCGGTGCTCTCGAAGTAATTGCGCCAATAGGAGCGGAGAGAGCGCTGCCCGCCCACGTCCCAGAGGTGCAGCCGGAACCTGCCGGGGTCACACAGGGGTCACAGGGGTCAGGGGTCACACAGGGGTCAGCGCTGCCCGCCCACGTCCCAGAGGTGCAGCCGGAACCTGCCGGGGTCACACAGGGGTCACACAGGGGTCAGGGGTCACACAGGGGTCACACAGGGGTCAGGGGTCACACAGGGGTCACAGGGGTCACACAGGGGTCACAGGGGTCACACGGGGGTCAGGGGTCACACAGGGGTCAGGGGTCACACAGGAGTCACACAGGGGTCAGGGGTCACACAGGGGTCACAGGGGTCACACGGGGGTCAGGGGTCACACAGGGGTCAGGGGTCACACAGGAGTCACACAGGGGTCAGGGGTCACACAGGGGTCAGTGCTGCCCACCCACGTCCCAGAGGTGCAGCCGGAACCTGCCGGGGTCACACAGGGGTCACAGGGGTCACACAGGGGTCAGGGGTCACACAGGGGTCACAGGGGTCACACAGGGGTCACATAGGGGTCACACAGGGGTCACACAGGGGTCAGGGGTCACACAGGGGTCAGCGCTGCCCGCCCACGTCCCAGAGGTGCAGCCGGAACCTGCCGGGGTCACACAGGGGTCAGGGGTCACAGGGGGGTCAGGGGTCACACAGGGGTCACACAGGGGTCAGGGGTCACACAGGGGTCAGGGGTCACACAGGGGTCAGCGCTGCCCACCCACGTCCCAGAGGTGCAGCCGGAACCTGCCGGGGGTCACACAGGGGTCACACAGGGGTCAGGGGTCACACAGGGGTCAGGGGTCACACAGGGGTAACAGGGGTCACACAGGGGTCACAGGGGTCACACAGGGGTCACACAGAGGTCAGGGGTCACACAGGGGTCAGCGCTGCCCACCCACGTCCCAGAGGTGCAGCCGGAACCTGCCAGGGGTCACACAGGGGTCACAGGGGTCAGGGGTCACACAGAGGTCACACAGGGGTCACACAGGGGTCAGGGGTCACACAGGGGTCAGCGCTGCCCTCCCACGTCCCACAGGTGCAGCCGGAACCTGGCAGGGGTCTCACAGGGGTCACAGAGGGGTCACAGGGGGTCATCGGGGTCATCAGGGTGAGCAGCATGGCCCCTCCCCCTCCCCGCAGCCCCTACCCCCCCCGCGGCCCCTCCCCCACCCGGTGTCCCCTCCCCCCCCCCGCGGCCCCTCCCCCACCCGGTGTCCCCTCCCCCTCCCCGCGGCCCCTCCCCCACCCGCGGTGCTCCAGGGTTTTGATGTTGAAGCCGAGGGTGGGGGAGGTGCCGCCCACGTCCTCCCCGTTCAGCCGCTTCAGCAGCGTCGTCTTCCCGGCGTTGTCCAATCCGCTGCGGGGGGCGGGGCCTCAGGACACGCCCCCAGTGCCACGCCCTGCCCGTGACCCCCCAGTGACCCCGCCCTGCCCGTGACCCCTCCCTGTGACCCCACCCTGCCCGTGACCCCGTGACCCCGCCCTGCCCTGTCCATGACCCCGCCCTGTCCATGACCCCACCCTGCCCGTGACCCCGCCCTGCCCGTGACCCCACCCCCAATAGCCACACCCACCGACCCCACCCACATAAGCCCGACCCTGTGCCCCACCCTGACCACACCCTCAGAGACTCCGCCCCCACCACGCCCGCCCCTCCCAGGCCCCGCCCCTCCCTCCTAAGCTCCACCCCCGGAAGTCCCGCAGGCCCCGCCCCCCGCGCACAGGCCCCGCCCCCGGTCCCGGCCCCGCCCCCGGTCCCGGCCCCGCCCCCGATCCCGGCCCCGCCCCCGATCCCGGCCCCGCCCCCTCATCCCGGGCCCGCCCCCGATCCCGGCCCCGCCCCCGATCCCGGCCCCGCCCCCGATCCCGGCCCCGCCCACAGCACGAGCAGCCGCAGCTCCCGCTCCTTCTCGCGGAGCTTCTTCAGGATGGTCAGCAGCCCCATGGCGGCGCGGCCCCGCCCCCCGCGCCCGCCCGGCCGCTCATTGGCCGAGCCGGGCCCAGCCCCGCCCCCCTCGCGCGGCGCTTCCGCCGCCACTTCCGCCGCGCGGCGCCCCCTGGCGGCGCGGAGGAGCCGCCGCTTCCGGGCCGACTGTCAATCACAGCCCGGCAGCCAATGGGAGCGGCGGACGGGAGCGGAAATGGGTGGGCGGGGCCGGAAGCGGCGCTGAGCGGTGCCGCCGGTGCCGGAGCCGCGCCCGGTTCCGTTCCCGGTCCCGGTTCCTTTCCCCGTTCCTGTCCCGGTCCCGTTTCCTGTCCCGGTTCCGTCCCGTTCCCAGTTCCTTTCCCCGTTCCTGTCCCGTTCCTGTTCCCTGCCCCGGTCCCGTTCCCAGTTCCTTTCCCCGTTCCTGTCCCGGTTCCGTTCCCGTTTCCGTTCCGTTCCGCTCCGTGTCCCGGTCCGTGTCCCGGTCCCTGTCCCGGTCCCGGTTCCTTTTCCCTGCCCCGTTCCCGGTCCCGGTCCTGTCCCGGGATGTCGGGACGGGCTCCGGGCTGGCCCGGGGCGCTGCCGGTCCGCGCCGCTCGGGCCGCGCTGCAGCGCTGCCTCGGGCCGTTCCTGGAGGAGCCGCTGCGGCTCGAACAGCTCCGGTTGGACCTGCGCGGCGGCACCGGGAGCGTGCGGGGGCTGCGGCTGCGCCCGGCGGTCAGCGGGGACACCGGGGGGAGAACGGGGATACCGGGAGTACCGGGCACCGGGGACACCGGGGGATAACGGGGGTACCGGGTGTACCGGGGGCACAGCGGGACCGGGGACACAGCGGGGACGGATTTTGGGGAGATTTTGCCGGTTTGGAGAGTCCGCGGCGGCTTTTGGGGCGGTTTTGGGGCAGATTTTGGGGCAGATTTTAAGGCGGCTTTTGGGGTGGATTTTGGGGTGTTTTGGGGCAGATTTTGGGGTGTTTTGGGGTGTTTTGGGGCAGAGTTTGGGGTGTTTTGGGGTGCCTTTCAGGGTGGTTCCGGGAGGGATTCTGGGGTGGTTTTGCAGCTGATTTTGGGCGGATTTCCGGCTGATTCGGGGGGAATTTCGGGGCCGTTCCTGGGCTGGTTTTGGGGTAGTTTGGGGCTGGTTTTGGGGTGATTTGGGGCTGGTTTTGGGGTGATTTGGGGCTGGTTTTGGGGCAGTTTGGGGCTGGTTTTGGGGCAGTTTGGGGCTGGTTTTGGGGCAGTTTGGGGCTGTTTTGGGGCAGTTTGGGGCTGGTTTTGGGGCGGTTTGGGGCTGATCCTGGCCGCTCCCGTTCCCCAGGCCGTGGACGAGCTGCTGGTGGCCGCGGGGGTGCCCCTGGAGCTCCGGGAGGGTGACCTGGGCTCGGTGACGGTGACGGTGCCCTGGGCCGCGCTGGGCTCCGAACCCCTGCGGCTGCGGCTGCGGCGGCTGCGCCTCGTGCTGCGGCCCCGTGAGTGCCCGGGACCCCCGGGACCCCCTGACAGGCCCTGACACCCACGGGACCCCCTGACACCCCTGGGACACCCCCGGGACACCCGGGACACACCTGGTGACACCAGGACCCTGAGGACACCCCCGGGACACCCCCTGACCCACCCAGTGTCACCCTGACCCCTGGGACCCCCTGACACCCCCCGACCCACCCGGTATCACCTTGACCCCCTCAGTGACCCCCTCCTGTGACACCCCCTTTCCCCCCCATGACCCCTCCTGACCCACCCCATGTCACTCTGACCCCCCCCTGACACCCCCGGGACATCCCCGACCCACCCGGTGTCACCCTGACCCCCTCAGTGACCCCTGTGACCCCCCCGTGACCCCCCTGTCCTCCCCCAGGCCCGCCGGGGTCACCGGGGTCACCGGGGTCGCCCCCCCCGGGGGGGGGTCGGAGCAGGGCCGGGACCCCCCCCAGGAGGAGCCGCTGGAGGGGCTGGAGGCGCTGGCAGCGGGCATCGAGGCAGGTACGGACGGACAGACGGGGGACAGAGGGACAGGGGACACATGGTCCCTTCTGTCCCCACTGACCCTGATCTCCCCCCTGTCCGTCCGTCTGTCCGTCCGTCCGTGGGTCCCGCAGTGCTGCGGCGGCTGCAGGTGCACCTGGAGGACATGGAGCTGCGCCTGGAGCTGCCCCCACAGCCTGGGGGGGGCCTGGGGGGGGCCCTGGAGCTGCACCTGCCCAGGTGAGGGGCTCAGGTGTGTCCAGGTGTGTCCCAGGTGTGTCCCGGGTGTGTCCTGGGCGTGTCCTGGGTGTACCCAGGTGTGTCCCCGGGTGTGTGCCCAGGTGTGTGCCCAGGTGTGTGCCCAGGTGTGTCCCCAGGTGTGTCCAGGTGTGTCCTGGGTGGGTCCTGGGTGGGTCCTGGGTGTCCCCAGGTGTCCCCAGGTGTGTCCCCAGGTGTGTCCCAGGTGTGTCCCAGGTGTGTCCCAGGTGTGTTGCAGGTGTCCCAGGTGTGTCCCCAGGTGTCTGGGGTGTCTCAGGTGTGTCCCAGGTGTCCCCAGGTGTGTCCCAGGTGTGTCTCAGGTGTGGCTGTCCCCAGGGTGGAGTACGAGGACATGGGGGAGGGTCCCGGCCCCCCCCCCGTGCTGCAGAAGCGGCTGCGGCTGCACGACCTGCGGCTGCTGTGGGCGGAGCCAGCCCCACCTGGGCAGCAGGTATGTGTCACCTGTCACACCTGTGTGTCACCTGTGTGTGTCACCTGTCACACCTGTGTGTCACCTGTGTCACCTGTCACATCTGTGTGTCCCTGTGTCACCTGTCACCTGTCACACCTGTGTGTCACCTGTGTCACCTGTCACACCTGTGTGTCCCTGTGTCACTTGTGTCACCTGTCACACCTGTGTGTCACCTGTGTCACCTGTCACACCTGTGTGTCCCTGTGTCATCTGTCTCACCTGTGTCACACCCATGTCCCACCTGTCCCACCTGTCCCACCTGTCCCACCTGTCTCACCTGTCTCTCACCCGTCTCTCACCCGTGTCTTACCTGTGTCCCACCTGTCCCACCTATATCTCACCTGTCTCACCCATATCTCACCCGTGTCCCACCCGTGTCCCACCTGTCATACCTGTCCCACCTGTCCCACCTGTTTCACCTGTCTCACCTGTGTCCCACCTGTATCTCACTTGTCCCACCTGTCTCTCTCTCTCACCTGTATCTCACCTGTGTCTCACCTGTCTCTCACCTGTCTCACCCGTCTCTCTCTCACCTGTCCCACCGTGTCCCCCTCTCTGCCCGCAGCGCTGCAGTTCCCCCGCCGCCCATCTGGGGGCGCTGCTCCCGGGCCCTGCGGAGCTGCGGCTGCGCCTGAGGCGGAGCGAGAGAGCGGCGGGGCCGGCGGTGGGACTGGGGAAACTGGGGGGAACTGGGGGGACTGGGGGGGACTGGGAGGGACTGGGAGGGGACTGGGAGGGGACTGGGAGGGGACTGGGAGGGACTGGGAGGGACTGGGGGGGACTGGGGGGGGATTGGGGGGACTGGGAGGGGGATGGGGGTTTGGTTTTGGGCATTTCTGGGCAATTTGGGGTCTCATTTTGGCATTTTTGGGGTCTCGTTTTTGGGGATTTTAGGGTGTTTTTGGGGTCTCGTTTTGGGATTTTTGGGGTCTCGTTTTGGGGGTTTTGGTGTCTGGTTTTGGGGTTTTTGGGGTGTTTTTGGGGCCTCACTTTTAGGGTGGTTTTGGGGTCTGGTTTCGGGGTTTTTTGGGTGTTTTTGGGGTCTCATTTTGGAGTTTTTGGGGTGATTTTGGGGTCTCACTTTCGGGGTTTTTGGGGTGTGTTTGGGGTCTCGTTTTGGGGTTTTTGGGGTGTTTTTGGGGTCTCACTTTTGGGGTGTTTTTGGGGTGTGTTCGGGGTCTCATTTCGGGGTTTTTGGGGTGTTTTTGGGGGACTCACTTGCGGTGTTTTGGGGATGTTTTTGGGGTCTGGTTTCGGGGTTTTTGGGGTGTTTTTGGGGTCTGGTTTTGGGGTTTTTGGGGTGATTTTGGGGTCTGGTTTCGGGGTTTTTGGGGTGTGTTTGGGGTCTGGTTTAGGGGTTTTTGGGGTGATTTTGGGGTCTGGTTTAGGGGTTTTTGGGGTGATTTTGGGGTGACTTTGGGGTGATTTTGGGGTCTGACCGCCCCTCCGCAGGTGGAGCTGGAGGCCACCGTGGGGTCCCTGCACCTGCTGCTGCCCCCCCCCCTGCTGGGGGTCCTGCGGGGGGCTCTGGACCCCCCCGGTGAGAGCCCCTCCCCACCCAGCACCCCCAACCCGGCGGGACCCCAAACCTGGGGGGGGAGGGGCTGGGGGGGGTTGGGGGTCTCCTGGACCCCCGAATCCTCTGGGGGGCAGTGGGGTATTTTGGGGGGGGGTTTGGGGGGGCTTTGAGTTATTTTGGGGTGTTTTTGAGGTGCTCCGTGCCGGTTTTGGGATGTTTTCGGGCTGTTTTGGGGCGCTGTGTGTTATTTTGGCAGATTTTGGGGTGCTCTGTGTTATTTTTAAGATATTTTGGGATATTTTGGGGCAGTGTGTGTTATTTTGGGGTGCTCTGTGTTATTTTTGGGATATTTTGGGGTGCTGTATGTTATTTTTAAGATATTTTGGGATATTTTGGGGCAGTGTGTGTTTTTCGGGGTATTTTGGGGTGTTCTGTGTTATTTTTGGGTATTTTGGGGTGCTCTGTGATATTTTTGGGTATTTTGGGACGCTCTGTGATCATTTTGGGATGTTTTGGGCTGTTTTGGGACGCTCTCTGATATTTTTGGGTATTTTGGGATGCTCTGTGATATTTTTGGGTATTTTGGGATGCTCTGTGATATTTTTGGCTATTTTGGGGTGCTCTGTGATCATTTTGGGGTGTTTGGGGCTGATTTCGGGCTCTGCCCCCCCAGGTCCCCCCCCCGGGGGTCGCAGCCGCCCCCTGGGCCCGCAGGACCTGGCGCTGATCGAGCGGGAGCTGAGCCGGGGCCTGCGGGGGGGGCGCGACCCCCCGACCCCCCCCGGGGGCGACCCCGACGGCGGTGAGGGGGGGGGGGGGCTGGGGGGGCTCCGGGGTGGGTTTTGGGGGGGTCTTGGGGGACTTTGGGGTGGGTTTTGGGGGGCTGGGGGGGTCTTGGGGGACTTTAGGGTTGGAATTGGGGGGGTTGGGGGGGCTCTGGGGTGGGTTTTGGGGGTCTTGGGGGACTTTGGGGTGGGTTTTGGGGGGCTGGGGGGGTTTGGGGTTGGAATTGGGGGGGTTGGGGGGGCTCCAGGGTGGGTTTTGGGGGGCTGGGGGGGGCTCCGGGGTGGATTTTAGGGGTCTTGGGGGACTTTGGGGTGGGTTTTGGGGGGCTGGGGGGGTCTTGGGGGACTTTGGGGTTGGAATTGGGGGAGTTGGGGGGGCTCTGGGGTGGGTTTTGGGGGTCTTGGGGGACTTTGGGGTGGGTTTTGGGGGGCTGGGGGGGTTTGGGGTTGGAATTGGGGGGTTGGGGGGGGATCTGGGGTGATTTGGGGAGATTCGGGGGGTCCTCACCTCCTCTCTCCCCCCCCAGAGATGTTCTACTCCATGACGGGGTCCCTGGGGGGGGGAGACAGCCCCTCCCCCAGCCCTGCGGTGAGTGGGGGGCTCGGGGGGGATTTGGGGGGGATTTGGGCTTTTTCGGGGTCCTGAGGGATAAAATCCCATGGGGTTTTTTTTTGGGGGGGTTTTGGGGGGGTCACTGTGGCCTGGGGGGGGATTTTGGGGGTTCAACGGGGGGTCCTGACAGGGGATCGGGGGCTGATTTTGGGGGGGGGGGGGGGAAATCTTATGGTTTTACCCCTCCCCCCCACCCCAAACCAGGACAGCCCCCGGCGCCCCTCCCCCCACAGCTGCGCCCCCCCAGGTGAGTCCGGGGGTCCCTGGTGGGGTTCCCGGGGGGCTCCCTGGGGTCTGGGGGGGGTCCCCGGGGGGGGTTCCTGGGGGTTTGGGGGGGGTCCCTGGGGATTCTGGGGGGTCCCTGGTGTTCCCTGGGGGGGTCCCTGTGGTTTGGGGGGTCCCTGGGTGGGTTCCTGGGGGTTTGGGGGTCCCGGGGATCCCTGGGTGGGTCCCTGTGGTTTGGGGTGTCCCGGGGTGGTGCCTGTGGGTTTGGGGGGGTCCCTGGGGGTTTCTGGGGGTCTGGGGGGGTTCCCGGGGGTCCCTGTGGGTCTGGGGGCGTTCCCGGGGTGGTCCCTGTGTTTCGGGGGTCCTGGGGGTCCCTGGGTGGGTCCCTAGGGTTTGGGGGTCCCTGTGGTTCAGGGGGGTTCCCGGGGGTCCCTGTGGTTCAGGGGGGTTCCCGGGGTGGTCCCTGTGTTTCGGGGGTCCCTGGGTGGGTCCCTGTGGGTTTGGGGGGGTCCCTGGGGGTTTCTGGGAGTTTGGGGGGTCCCTGGGTGGGTCCCTGTGTCTCGGGGGTCCCGGGGGGGTCCCTGTGTTTCGGGGGGGGTTCCCGGGGGGGTCCCTGTGTCTTGGGGGTCCCTGGGTGGGTCCCTGTGTCTCGGGGGTCCCGGGGGGTCCCTGACGCGGGGCCAGGCCGGGGTCCCCCCGCGGCGAGGGGGGGGCTGCGGCTGCAGGTGACCGTGGGCTCCGTCACCGCCGTCCTGCCCGAGCAGGGCGTGGCCCCCGGCCCCGCCCACCAGCGCCTGTGGGCGGAGCTCTGCCGCGGCCACGCCCACCCCACCTGGGACCACGCCCTGCCCTTCCCCCACCTCAGGTAAGGCCCCGACCCCGTCTCCTCCCTCCCCCCCCGTGTCCCCAAACCCCCTCATCCCTCCCCCCCCATTTTTTCCCATTTTTTCCCTTTTCCTTCCCTTTTTTCTCCGTTTCCCCCCCCCATTTCCAACACCACGCGGCCCCCGGGACTCCCCCATTGTCCCCCCCAATCTGCCACTCGTGTCCCCCCTTTATACCCCCATTGTCCCCCACTTTATCCCCCCTTTGTCCCCCCATTGTCCCCCCATTGTCCCCCCCTTTATCCCCCCTTTATCCCCCCTTTGTCCCCCCATTGTCCCCCCATTGTCCCCCCCTTTATCCCCCCCTTTGTGCCCCCCATTTCTGACCCCCCCCATGTTTCTGCCCCCCAGGCTGAGCGCGGGGGGGGCTCAGTTGGGGCTGTTTTCGGGGGGTCTCGGGGGGGCTCCCCGGGGGTCTCTGTCTCTCGCCCGCCTGGAGCTGCTGGAGGAGCTGCCGGGGGCGCGGCCCCCACACCTGCAGGTGGGCGGGGCCGGGGGCGGGGCCAGGGTGGGGCGGGGCCAAAGGTGGGCGGGGCTTGGGGAGGGTGGGGCTGTGTGGGGATGGGTGTGGCTCAGAGGTGGGCGTGGCATGTGGGGGCGTGGCATGTGAGGGGTGTGGCCAGCAGGGAGGCAAGAAATGGGCGTGGCTGTGGAGGGGCGTGGCCACATAAATGGGTGTGGCTGTGAAGGAGTGGGGCTAACACAAAGGGGCGGGGCATATCTGGGTGTGGCTCTAGAGGGGCGTGGTCACATAAATGGGTGTGGCCTGTCCAGGTGAGGCTCTGAAGGGGAGGGGCTCACACAAAGGGGCGGGGCACACCTGGGCGTGGCCGCCCCGCCCACTGCTGGCCCCGCCCCCAGGTCCTGCGTTTCCCCGCCCCCACGGCCGCCGGCCCCGCCCCCGCCCAGCCCGTGCTCCGCCTCCAATGGGGCCCCCCCGGCCCTGCCCCCCCCGAGGCCCCGCCCCTCCCCCAGGTGAGTGGGGGAGGGGGGGCCCCACTGCCCCCCCTGCGGGATTTGGGGAGGGGGCGGGGTTTTGGGGATGGGGGCGGAGTTTGGGGATGGGGCGGGGTTTGGGGAATGGGGGCGGGGTTTTGGGTATAGGGGTGGGGTTTTGGGGAATGGGGGTGGGGTTTGGGGATGGGGGCGGGATTTTGGGGAATGGGGGCGGGTTTTGGGAATGGGGGCGGGGTTTTGGGAATGGGGGCGGGGTTTTTGGGGACCCCGGGGCTGCCCCGCCCCCCCCAGACCCCCAATCCCCCCCGCCCCCCCAGGGCCCCGCCCCCCCGCTGGAGGTGGGGGTGGAGCTGAGCCCGCCCCAGGCCGAGCTGGACCTGGGGCTGCTGGAGCGCCTCGGCCCCGCCCTCGACGCCATCTTCGACCACGCCCACGCCGGGGACACGTCCACCGGGGAGGACACGCCCACTGAAGAGGTGGGTGGGGCTGGATATGGGCGGGGCTTGGGTGGGTGTGGCTGAGGGGAGGGGCTTTGGTGGGTGTTACTGAGGGGAGGGGCTTGGGTGGGTGTGGCTGGAGGAGAGGAGCATGGGTGGGGCTTATGGGAGGGGCTAATTGTGGGTGTGGCTGATGGGAGGGGCTTGGGTGGGTGGGGCTTGGGGAGAGGGAGGAGCTTGGGTGGGTGGGGCTGAGGGGAGGGGCTTATTGTGGGTGTGGCCGAGGGGAGGGGCTTTGGTGGGTGTGGCTGAGGGGAGGGGCTAATTGTGGGCGTGGCCGAGGGGAGGGGCTAATTGTGGGTGTGGCCGAGGGGAGGGGCTAATTGTGGGTGTGGCAGAGGGGAGGGGCTAATTGTGGGCGTGTCTCTGCCGATCCCAGGTGCGGTGGGCGTGGCCGCTGGTGCGGTGGGCGGCGCCGGGGGCGGAGCTCCGGCTGTGGCTGCCCCTGACCGACCTGCGCCCCCCCCCCGCCCGCGCCCCCCCGCCCCGGCGCCGCCCCGAGAGCCTCCGGGCGCACCTGGGGAGACCCCGCGGCTGGGCGGGGCCGGGGGGCGGGGCCCTGGCCTGCGAGCACCTGGAAGGTGAGCGGGGGGGGAGGGGAATTGCGGGGTCATGACCCCCCCATTGACCCCCCCATGACCCCCCCGTGACCCCCCCGTGACCCCTGTGCCCCCAGTGACGTACGAGGCCGAGGACATGGGGACCCTCCCCTGCCTGAGCGCCGAGCCGGGGCCCGGCCCGGGGGGCCCCCGCAGCGTCCCCACGTGAGCGGGGGGGTCTTTGAGGGTCTTGGGGGGTTTTTAGAGGGGCCTGGGGGTCTTTGGGGGTCTTGGGGGGGGCCTGGGGGTCTTTGGGGGTTTCTTGTTGGGGGCCTGGGGGTCTTTGGGGCGTCTTGGGGGGTTCTTGGGGGGGCTGGGGGGTCTTTGGGGGCTCTGAAGGGTCCTGGGGGCGTCTGGGTGGTTCCTGGGGGTCTGTGATATGTTTTGAGGGGTCCTGGGGGGTGTCCGGGATCCATTTTTGGGGAGCGCCCCTCCCCCAGGGGCCCGTGGGGGGGATTTGGGGGTTCCCCCCCCCCCTCCGATGCTGACCCCCCCCCGCCCCTCCCCCCAGGCTGGAGGTGACGGTGACCCCGACCCTCCCGCGGGGCCCCCCCGCGCCCCCCCCGAGCCCCTTCTCAGCCCGGCGCAGCATCTACGAGAGCCGCGAGGTGGGACCCCCCCCAAATTCCCCTGGGGGGGCGCTGGGGGTCCCCAAAATTCCCCCTGGGGGTCTCGGGGTCCCCCCCAGCCCGTGTAGCCGCTGCCCCTCCCCCAGCTGGTGCTGCCCGGGACCCCCGAGGAGTTGGGGGCGTTCGTGGGGGGGGGCCCTGGGCGGGGCCCCCTGGAACCTGCAGGTGACGCTGCCCCGAGCACACCTGAGCCTGAGCCCGGGGGGGCTCCTGCAGCGCCTCTACAGCAGGTGAGGGGACAGGTGGGGACAGGGGAGGGGGGACAGGTGAGGGGGGGCTCCTGAGTCATCGTAGTTGAGGGTGGGACACACCTGGGCATACCTGGGCACACCTGGGCATACCTGGGCACACCTGGGCATACCTGGGCACATTTGGGGACACCTGGGCATGCCTGGGCACACCTGGGGCCACACCTGGGGCTGGGGGGTCTCAAGGGGCCCTTCCGGACCCCCCCCAGCCCCCCTGACCCCCTGACCCCCCCCCAGGATCAACAACGACCTCCTGCTGTGGGAGCCGGCTGGCCCCGCCCCCTCCGGAGACCACGCCCCTTCAGGGGTCCACCCCCACTCTGGAGACCACGCCCCCTCCATAGACCACGCCCCTCCAGAAGGCCCCGCCCCCTTCAGGCCGTGCCGGTCGGCGCTGGGCTCAGGTGAGACCCCGGGACCCCCAAAATCGGGGCTGGGCCCTCGGTGTCCCCGGGTGTGCCCTGGGTATTCCCTGGGTGTCCCCTGGGTGCCCCTGGGTGTCCCCCGGGTGCCCCCTGGGTGTCCCCCTGACCCCCCCGCTGTCCCCAGACTCGGACGAGGACGACGAGGATGAGGATGAGGAGGGGGACAAAGGTTCCGGGGGGTCCCCGCAGGACCCTGGGGACCCCCGCGGGCCCCCCCCGAGCGGCGGCGCCATCCTGGTCACCGTGCCCTGGGGGCGCGTCACGGCCGAGTGTCCCCCCGAGGTGAGGGCACGGGGGTCCCCAATGTCACCTGGGGTCACCCGGGGTCACCCTGGGGGTCCCCAATGTCACCTGGGGTCACCCGGGGTCACCCTGGGGGTCCCCAATGTCACCTGGGGTCACCCGGGGTCACCCTGGGGGTCCCAAACATCACCCAGGGTCACTCTGGGGGTCCCTAACGTCACCTGGGGTCGCCCTGGGGGTCCCAAATGTCATCTGTGTAACCCTGGGGGCCACCAAATGTCACCTGGGGTCACCCGGGGTCACCCTGGGGGTCGCCAAGAGTGTCCCCAGGGGCTGTGGGGGAGGGGCAGGGTGTGACACGTTTTCGGGGTGTCCCCAGGGGGGGAGGGGCAGGGTGTGACACGTTTTTGGGGCGTCCCCAGGGGGGGGTCCCCGGCTCGCGGCTGGTGCTGGAGTTGGGGGAGGGGCGGCTCTGTGTCCTCCCCCGCCCGGGGGGGGTCCGGGGCCGGTCCTGGGCCTGCGCCGACGCCCGGAGCTTCGTCCTGCTGCACGGTACCCCAAAAATTCCCAAAACTGCCCCAAAATGGCCCTAAAACTGCCCCAAAACCACCCCAAAACCGCCCCAAAAACTGCCCCAAAACTGCCCTTAAAACTGCCCCAAAAACCACCCCAAAAACTGCCCCAAAAACCACCCCAAACACCGCCCCAAAAACCACCCAAAACCGCCCCAAAATCGCCCAAAAAAACACCCTAAAACTGCCCCAAAACTGCCCCAAAAACTGCCCCAAAACCGCCCCAAAACCGCCCCAAAACCACCCCAAAAACTGCCCCAAAACCGCCCCAAAAACTGCCCTAAAACCGCCCCAAAACCACCCCAAAAAACACCCCAAAACTGCCCCAAAAACTGCCCCAAAACTGCCCCAAAACCGCCCCTAAAACTGCCCCAAAACTGCCCCAAAACCGCCCCTAAAACTACCCCAAAACCGCCCCAAAACAACCCCAAAAAACACCCTAAAACTGCCCCAAAACTGCCCCAAAAACTGCCCCAAAACCGCTCCAAAACCGCCCCAAAACTGCCCCAAAACAGGAATAGGGGACCCCAAAACGTGTGGGGGGGGCCGAGATGGGGGAGGGGGTGTGTGGAGGGTCCCGTTTTGGGGGGGGGGTTCCGTTCCCAGTTTTGGGGGGGGTTCCCGGTTTTGGGGGGGTGTTCCCGGTTTTCGGGGGGTTCCCGGTTTTGGGGGGGGTTCCCGGTTTTGGGGGGTGTTCCCGGTTTCGGGGGGGGTTCCTGGTTTTGGGGGGGGGTTCCCGGTTTTTGGGGGGGGGTTCCCGGTTTTGGGGGGGTGTTCCCGGTTTTCGGGGGGTTCCCGGTTTTTGGGGGGGGCTCCCGGTTTTTGGGGGGGTTCCCGGTTTTTCGGGGGGGGGTTCCCGGTTTCGGGGGGGTTCCCGGTTTTGGGGGGGGGGTTCCCGGTTTCGGGGGGGGGTTCCCGGTTTTGGGGGGGGGTTCCCGGTTTTTAGGGGGGTTCCCGGTTTGGGGGGGATTCCCGGTTTTGGGGGGGGTTCCCGGTTTGGGGGGGGGTTCCCGGTTTTGGGGGGGCTGTGGCCCGTGTGGGGGTCCCCAGCCCCTCCCCCCCCGTGCCCCCCCCAGGCCCGGTGCCCGGGGAGGGGGAGGGGCCGCCCCCCCCCCCGCTGCCCACCCTGCTGCCCTGGGAGGACCCCCCGCCCCCCCCCGGGGTCCCCCCGACCCCCCGAATGTTGGCGATGGCCCTGGAGAGCCGCCCCGGAGCCCGCGGGGACACCAAGGTGGGGACAGGGGGCACAGGGGACACCAAGGTGGGGACGGGGAGGACGGGGGGGGACAGGGGGGACAGGGGACACCAAGGTGGGGACGGGGAGGACGGGGGGGGGACAGGGGGGACACAGGGACATTGGGGGACACCAAGGGACAGGGGGACACCGAGGGGTGGACGGGGGGCACAGGGGACACCGAGGGACAGGGATTGGGGACAGGGGCGGGGGGCACAGGGGGGATGGGGGACATCGGGGGAGGGACGGGGGACAGGGGGGACAGGGATTGGGGACAGGGACATGGGAATAGGGGACACCGAGGTGGAGATGGGGACAGTGGGGGGGGGACAGGGGACATTGAGGGGGGCACGGGGACAGGGGGACACCGAGGGACACCGAGGGACACCGAGGGACAGGGATTGGGGACACCGAGGTGGGGACAGGGACAGCGGGGGCAGGGGGGCACAGGGACAGGGGGACAGAGATGGGGACAGGGGACAGCAAGGTGAGGACACAGGGCCTGGAATTGGGGACAGGGGACACTGAGGGACACCGAGGGACACCAAGGGACAGGGACATGGGAGTAGGGGACACCGAGGTGGAGATGGGGACAGGGGGACTTGGGGACACCAAGGGACAGGGATTGGGGACACCAGGGTGTGGATGGGGACAGGAGGGACAAGAAGGACATGGGGACACTGAGGGACACCGAGGGACAGGGATTGGGGACACGGGGACACCGAGGTGGGGACGTGGACAGGGGGACACCAGGGGACATTGAAGGACACCGGGGTGGAGATGGGGACAGGGACAGCCAAGGGGGGACAGGATGGGGACAGGGACACCGGGACACGAACCGGGGGACTGAGGGGACAGGGGGGACTGTGGGGACACCGGGGGGTTGGGGGCACCCCCGATGTCCCCCCGATGTCCCCCCGATGTCCCCAGGAGCTGGAGGTGGCGGTGGCCCTGGAGGGGACGATGCTGCGGCACCACCCGGACCCCCCCTGTACCCCCTGGTACAGCCAGGTGGGGACCCCAAAGGGGACGGGGGGACCCCAAAGGGGACACGGGGACCCCAAAGGGGACGGGGGGACCCCAAAGGGGACGGGGGGACCCCAAAAGGGTCAGGGGGACCCCAAAAGGGTCAGGGGGACCCCAAAAGGGTCAGGGGGACCCCAAAAGGGTCAGGGGCACCCCAAAGGGGATGGGGGGACCCCAATGGGACACGGGGGGACCCCAAAGGGGACAGGGGACCCCAAAAGGGGACAGGGGGACCCCAAACGGGACAGGGGGACCCCAAAAGGGGACAGGGGGACCCCAGACCCTATTGGGGGTCCCAGCCCCTTTTGGGGGGTCCCAGCCCATTTTATTTTATTTTATTTTATTTTATTTTATTTTATTTTATTTTATTTTATTTTATTTTATTTTATTTTATTTTATTTTATTTTATTTTATTTTATTTTATTTTATTTTATTTTATTTATTTTATTTTATTTTATTTTATTTTTTTTATTTTCCTAAGGGTTTGTGGTTCTCGAGCTCTTTTATTCATTCCCATTTCGGGAGGGTTTTTGGGATTTTCCCATTTTTGGGGTTTTTTTTTTGGGGTTTTGTGGTTTTACACTTCAGTTCATTCCTGTTTTTGGGGATTTTTGGGGTGGTTGGGGTTTCTCTCGGGGGATTTCCTGGTTTTGAGTTATTTTATTTTATTTTATTTTATATTTTAGTTTATTTTAGTTTAGTTTAGTTTAGTTTAGTTTAGTTTGTTTTTTTTTTTTTTCCTAAGGGTTTGTGGTTCTCGAGCTCTTTAGTTCATTCCCCTTTTGGGAGGGTTTTTGGGATTCTCACATTTTTGTGGGTTTTTTGGGGGGGTTTTGTGGTTTTACACTTTCATTCATTCCCATTTTGTGAGGGTTTTTGGGAATTTCCCATTTTTGGGTTTTTTTTTGGGGTTTTGTGGTTTTACACTTTAATTCATTCCTGTTTTGAGAGCGTTTTTGAGAATTTCCCATTTTCGTGTTTTTTTCTTTTCCCCCGCGGTTTTTGGGGTTCGGGGGTGACTTTGGGGTCCCCCAGCTGCTGACCCTGCTGGCCCTGGAGGACGAACCGGTTTTGGGGTACACGGCCCCGACCCCCCTGACCCGGCTGCACCTGCACCTGCAGCGCTGCGGCCTCGACTACAGGTGGGACCCCAAAAACGGGGGGGGGGACACCCCAAAATGGGCTTGGGGGGCACCCCAAAAACGGGGGAGGCATCCCAAAAACAGGGGCCAAAATAGGGGTCCTGGGAGGAGGAGGGGGTGACCCCAAAATAGGGGGGTGACCCCAAAATGGGGGTTCTGAGAAAGGGGTGACCCCAAAAATGGGGTCCTGGGAGGGGCGTAACCCCAAAATGGGGGGGGTGACCCCAAAACCGGGGTTCTGAGGGGGGGTGACCCCAAAACTGGGGTTCTGACAAGGGGGTGACCCCAAAACCGGGGTGCTTTGGCAGGGCCCTGCTCCCTTTTTGGGGGGGTTCTGATTTTGGGCTCCCCTGAGCCGGACACCCCAAATCGGGGGTTTTTGGGGTGACCCGTTTTTGGGGTTTGGGGGAGCCCCCAGCTTTGGGGTGCCCCAATTTTGGGGTAACCCTTTTTGGGGTGACCACTTTTTGGGGTGCCCAGGGAGCCCCCAGCTTTGGGGTGCCCCGATTTTGGGGTTTGGGGGAGCCCCCATTTTTGGGGTGACCCGTTTTTGGGGAGCCCCGGTTTTGGGGTGACCCGATTTTGGGGTTTGGGGGAGCCCCCATTTTTGGGGTGCCCAGATTTTGGGGTGCCCTGATTTTGGGGTGCCCCGGTTGTGGGGTGCCCCGTTTTCGGGGTGCCCCGATTTCGGGGTGCCCCAGTTTTGGGGTGACCCGGTTTTGGGGTGCCCCGATTTTGGGGTGCCCCGTTTTTGGGGTTTGGGGGAGCCCCCATTTTTGAAGTGCCCCGTTTTTGGGGTGCCCCGATTTTGGCGTGACCCGGTTTTGGGGTGCCCCGATTTTGGGGTGACCCGGTTTTGGTGTGCCCCGTTTTTGGGGTGCCCCATTTTTGGGGTGCCCCGATTTTGGGGTGCCCCATTTTTGGGGTGCCCCGTTTTTGGGGTGCCCCATTTTTGGGGTGCCCCGGTTTTGGGGTGCCCCGGTTTTGGGGTGACCCGATTTTGGGGTGCCCCGGTTTTGGGGTGCCCCGGTTTTGGGGTGCCCCGTTTTTGGGGTGCCCCATTTTTGGGGTGCCCCGGTTTTGGGGTGCCCCGGTTTTGGGGTGACCCGTTTTTGGGGTGCCCAGGCCGCCGCTGCCCCTGCGGGTTCTGGTGAGCGCCGAGATGCTGAGCCTGACCTGGGGGAGCGGCCCCGAACCCCCCCCGGCCGCCCTCCGGTGGGTTTGGGGGGTCCCGGGGGGTTTTGGGGGTCCCGGGGGGTTTTGGGGGGTCCCGGGGGATTTTGGGGGTCCCGGGGGGTTTTGGGGGGCCCCGGCGGGTTTTGGGGCGCCCCGGGGGGTTTTTGGGAGGTTTCCCGGGAGTTTTTTGGGACTGGGGGAGGCGCCGGGAGGATTTTGGGGTTCTCGGGGGTTTTGGGGTTTTTGGGGGAGGTCCCGAGGGGGTTGGGGCTGTCCTGGGGGGGGTTTGGGGTCCTGGAGGAGTTATTTGGGGGTCTGGGGGGGTGTTTTTGGGGGGTTTTTGGGGGTGTTTTTGGGGTGTTTTGGGGGTTTTTTTTGGGGCAGTTTTGGGGGTGTTTTTGGGCGGGTTTTTGGGGTGTTTTTGGGGGGGGTTTTGGGGTGGTTTTCGGGGGCTTTTGGGGGGTTTTTGGGGTGTTTCTGGGGGGGTTTTTGGGGTGTTTTTGGGGTGTTTTTGGGCGGGTTTTTGGGGTGTTTTTGGGCGGGTTTTTGGGGTGTTTTTGGGGGGTTTTTGGAGTGTTTTTGGGTGGGTTTTTGGGGTGTTTTTGGGGGGGTTTTTGGGGTGTTTTTGGGGTGGGGGTTTGGGGTGTTTTTGGGGTGTTTTTGGGGTGCTGACCCCCCCACCCCCCAGGCTGTTGGTGGACGACGGCTCCGTGTTCCTGAGCGAGCGCTGCGGGGGGATGGCGCTGGAGCTGCAGAGGGGTAACGGGACCCCCCAAATGGGACCCCAAAATGGGACCCCAAAATGGGACCCCAAACGGGACCCCCCCAAAATGGGACCCCAAATGAGACCCCCCCCCCCAAAACAGGACCACCGAAATGGGGACCCCAAAACGGGACCCCCCAAATGGGACCCCCAAACGGGACCCCCCGAAATGGGAACCCAAAATGGGACCCACAAAGTGGGACCCCTCCCCAAAATAGGACCACCAAACCGGGTCTGGGGGTCACTCTGGGGTCACTCTGGGGTCACCCTGTGGTCACTCCAGGGTCACTCCGGGGTCACTCTGGGGTCACTCCAGGGTCACTCTATGGGGGTCACTCCGTGGTCACTCTGAGGTCACTCTGGGGTCACTGCGGGGTCACCGCGGGGTCACTCTGTGGTCACTCCGGGGTCACTCTGGGGTCACTCTGTGGTCACTCTGGGGTCACTCTGTGGTCACTCTGGGGTCACTCCGGGGTCACTCTCAGGTCACTCTATGGGGGTCACTCTATGGGGGTCACTCCGGGGTCACTCCGGGGTCACCGCGGGGTCACCCCGGTCCCGCCGTGTCCCCCCAGATTTCGTCTCCGTTCTGGACGTCGATTTCCTGGAGCTGCTCCTGAGCCCCCGGCGGGGGGGGGACGGCGAGGGGGGGGCGGTGAGTGGGGCCGGGGGGGTTTGGGGGGCTCGGGGGGGTTCAGGGGGGGCTCGGGGGTCTCACCCTCCCCCCCCGAAACCCGCAGGGCCCCCCCGAGGAGCTGCTGGTGGCCCCTGTCCGGCTGCGGGGCCGCACCTGCGCCGACAGCGCCGCCGCCCTGGCCCGGCTGCTGCAGCACCTGGGGACCCCCCCGGGACCCCCCCCGGGACCCCCGCCCGGGCCCCAGCCCGGCCCCGCCCCACGGGAGAGACCCCCGGGCCCGGCGGAGCCCCCCCCGGGGGGAGAGCAGGTGGGGCTGGGGGGGAAATGGGGCTGGGGGGGAAATGGGGCTGGGGGGGTTAAAATGGGGCTGGGGGGGTTAAAATGGGGCTGGGGGGTTAAAATGGGGCTGGGGGGGTTAAAATGGGGCTGGGGGGTTAAAATGGGGCTGGGGGGGAATGGGGCTGGGGGGGTTAAAATGGGGCTGGGGGGGTTAAAATGGGGCTGGGGGAGAAATGGGGCTGGGGGGGGTTAAAATGGGGCTGGGGGGGTTAAAATGGACCCCAAATGGGGCTGGGGGGGCACACAGGGACCCTCGGTGCCCCCCCAAATCACTGCCTCCCCCCAGGCCGCCCCCATCAACCAACAGGACCTGACGGACGCCCTGAGGGACCCCCCCGGGACCCTCCCCGGGGACCCCCAGACCCCCGGTAAGGGGGGGGATTTTGGGGGGCTGTGGGGGGGGATTTTGGGGGGCTGTGGGGGGATTTGGGGGGGCAGGGGGGGATTTGGGGGGGTTTGGGGGGGTTTGGGGGGTGGGGCAGGGTCTGAGGGGGTGTTTTGGGTTTGGGAGGGGGTTCAGGGGGTGGGGGGGCTCTTTGGGGTCTGGGGGGGCTCTTTGGGGTCTGGGGGCGCTCTGACCCCCCCTCTGCCCCCAGCCCCGGCCCCGCCCCCCCCGGCCCCCCCCGTGTCCCTGTACCTGTTCCCGGGGGAGGGGGGCGGCTCCGCCCGAGCCCCCCCCGAGCCCCCCCAGGGGGGCGGCGCCGACCCCGACCCCGACCCCGACCCCGACCCCGAGGGGTTCTGCGTCCTCGAGGCCCCCGAGACCCCCGAGATGGTGAGTGGGGGTTGTGGGGGGGTCCTGGGGGGCTTTTTGAGGGTCCTGGGGGGTCCCGGGTGACTTTGGGGTGGGTGTGGGTGACCCCTTGGTGTCCCCGGGTGGCACTGGGGGTGTCTGTGGGTGACATTTTGGGGTCCCAGGTGAGGTTTGGGTGACATTTTGGGGTCCCAGGTGAGGTTTGGGTGACATTTTGGGGTCCCAGGTGAGGTTCGGGTGTCTCTGGGTGACATTTTGGGGTCCCCAGGTGACACTGGGGGTGTCTGTGGGTGACATTTTGGGGTCCCAGGTGAGGTTTGGGTGACGTTTTGGGGTCCCAGGTGATGCTCAGGTGTCTGTGGGTGACATTTTGGGGTCCCAGGTGAGGTTTGGGTGACGTTTTAGGGTCCCAGGTGACACTGGGGTGACATTTGGGGTGCCCTTTGCCCTTTGCCCCCAGGCCGCCCCCCGGCTGCGCTGGTTGGCCCCGGGGCCGCTGCGGCTCCTCCCTGGACATTTCGGGGCCCCCCGGGGGGAGCGGGACCGGCTGCGCCCCCCCCCCGGGGCTGCCCCCGCCCCGCTCCCGCCTCGTCCTGCGCGACCTCAGCCTCACCTGGGCCCTCTGCGGGGGGCGCGACTTCGGCCCCGCCCCGCCCAGGTGGGACACACCTGGGGGGACACACCTGGGGGGAAACACACCTGGGAGGGGACACACCTGGGGGGGGACACACCTGGGGGGAACACACCCATGGGTGGAGCTAAGGGACACACCTGGGGGGACACACCTGGGGAGGGACACGCCCATGGGTGGGGCTGTGGGACACACCTGGGGGGGACACACCTGGGGGGACACACACCTGGGGGGAGACACACCTGGGGGGGGACACACCTGGGGGGGGACACACCTGGGGGGAGACACACCTGGGGAGGGACACGCCCATGGGTGGGGCTGGGCAACACACCTGGGGGGACACACCTGGGGGGGGGACACACCTGGGGGGGGACACACCTGGGGGGACACACCTGGGGGAGGACACGCCCATGGGTGGGGCTAAGGGACACCTGGGGGGACACGCCCATGGGTGTGTGCGGTGGGCGTGGCCAGCACAGGCAGTGGGCGTGGCCGCGCTGACCCCGCCCCCGCAGGCCCCGCCCCCGCAGCACCGGCCCCGCCCCCCCGCGGTGGCGCTGCCGGGGGGGCCCCGGGAGGGTCCCGGATCAGCTGATGGAGCTGCACCTGGGCAAGGTGAGGGTACACCTGGGCACGGTGAGGGTACACCTGGGCAAGGTGAGGGTGCACCTGGGCAAGGTGAGGGTGCACCTGGGCACGGTGAGGGTGCACCTGGGCAAGGTGAGGGCACACCTGGGCAAGGTGAGGGTGCACCTGGGCAAGGTGAGGGTGCACCTGGGCAAGGTGAGGGTACACCTGGGCACGGTGAGGGTGCACCTGGGCAAGGTGAGGGGCGGGGCCGGGGGATACACCTGGGATACACCTGGGGTACACCTGGGCACGGTGAAGCTGGGAGAGTCCGACGGGGTCTTGGGGGGAATTTTGGGGCACGTTTGGGGGGATTTTGGGATTCTAAGGGGGGGATTTTTGGGGTGCGTTGTGGGGGACTTTAGGATGTGTTGGGGAGGATTTTGGGGCGCGTTGTGGGTATTTCAGGGCGCGTTTTGGGTATTTCGGGGCGCATTGTAGATATTTCGGGGTGCGTTTTCGGTATTTTGGGGCATGTTTCAGGAATTTCGTGGTGGGTTTCAGGTATTTCGGGGCACACTGCGGGTATTTTGGGGGGTGTTTTGGGTATTTCTGGGCGCGTTGGGGATATTTTGGGGCATGTTTTGGGTATTTTGGGGCACGTTTTGGGTATTTTGGGGCATGTTTCGGGTATTTTGGGGCACATTGCGGATATCTTGGGGCACGTTTCGGGTATTTTGGGGTGTATTTCAGGGCGCGTTGGGGATATTTTGGGGCACGTTTTGGGTATTTCGGGGCGGGTTTGGGGTATTTTGGGGCTCGTTTTGGGTATTTCGGGGCACATTTCGGGTATTTCAGGGCACATTATGGGTATTTCAGGGCACGTTGGGGATATTTTGGGGCGCGTTTCGGGGCACGTTTCGGGTATTTTGGGGCGCGTTGGGGATATTTTGGGGCACATTTCGGGTATTTCAGGGCGCGTTGGGGATATTTTGGGGCACATTTCGGGCATTTCGGGGCGCGTTGGGGATATTTTGGGGCACATTTCGGGCATTTCGGGGCGCGTTGGGGATATTTTGGGGCACATTTCGGGCATTTCGGGGCGCGTTGGGGATATTTTGGGGGGCGCGTTTGGGATATTTTAGGGCACGTTGGGGATATTTTGGGGCGCGTTTCGGGTATTTTGGGGCGTGTTTCGGGTATTTCGGGGCGCGTTCCCCCCTCCCAGCGCCCCCCTCCCCAGGTGTGTCTGCAGCACGAGACGTACGCGGCCCCGCCCGGGCCCGGGGGGCTCTCGGGGGTCCCGGGGGAGGCGCCCACCTCCCGCCTGGTGCTGCTCGTGCCCGACCTGGAGCTGCGCGACCGCCTCAGCGCCGCCGCCGCGCCCCCGTTCCTCGGCCGCCACCCCCGCGCCACGCCCGGGCCCTGCACCCCCACGGTACGGGGGGGACCCCGCGGTGGGACCCCCAAATCTGGGACCCCCAAATATCACCCCAAATCTGGGACCCCCAAATCTGGGACCCCCAAATCTGGGACCCCCAAATGTCAGCCCAAATGTGGGACCCCCAATGTCAGCCCAAATCTGGGACCCCCAAATGTCAGCCCAAACCTGGGACCCCCTCAGATCTGAGACCCCCAAACGTGACCCCAAATGTGGGACCCTGGGATGGGGCCCCCAAACCTGGGACCCCCAAATATCACCCCAAATCTGGGACCCTCTCAGATCTGAGACCCCCAAATCTGGGAGCCTGAGTGTGGGACCCCCAAATGTCAGCCCAAACCTGGGACCCTCTCAGATCTCAGACCCCCAAACGTGACCCCAAATCCGGGACCCCCAAATGTGACCCCAAATGTGGGACCCCGGGATGGGACCCCCAAATGTCACCCCAAACCTTGGACCCCCTCAGATCTGAGACCCCCCAAACCTGACATCCCCAAATCTGGGACTCCCCAAATATCACCCCAAATTATGGACCCCCCAGATCTGAGACCCCCAAATGTGGGACCCCGGGCTGGGACCCCAAATCTGAGACCCCAAATTTTCCCCCCAACCCAAACCACCCCAAAACCAACCCACCCGTCCCTGTCCCCCAATTCCTGCCCCCCATTTCTGCCCCCCATTCCTGCCCCCCATTCCTGCCCCCCATTTCTGCCCCCCAATTCCTGCCCCCCCATTTCTGCCCCCCCATTCCTGCTCCCCCAATTTCTGCCCCCCAATTCTGCCCCCCAATTCTGCCCCCCATTCCTGCCCCCCATTTCTGCCCCCCATTTCTGCCCCCCAATTCCTGCCCCCCAATTCCTGCCCCCCAATTCCTGCCCCCCATTTCTGCCCCAGCTCTGCCTCAAGGCCCTTCGGGTGCTGCCACAGCCGCCCCCCCCCGGGGGGGTCCCCGAGTGTCGCCTCAGGGTGACACTGACCCCACTGCGCCTGCACATCGACCAGGTGGGCGGGGAGGGGGGCTGGGGGCTTCGGGGGGTGCTGGGGGGGTCTTCGGGGGGATCTGGGGGTGTTTTTGGGGTACTTGGGGGGGGTGGGGGTCTCTGGGATGTTTTACAGGGGTCTTTGGGATGTTTTATGGGGGTCTTTGGGGGGGTCTGGGGGTGTTTTTGGGGTCTCTGTGTGTTTTTTAGGTGCTTTCAGGGTGTTCTGGGGTGATTTTGGGGTGTTTTGGGGGTCTGTGTGGTGGTTTTGGGGTGTCTTTGGGGTGTTTTTGGGGTCTCTGGGGTGTTTTTGGTGTGTTTTGGGGGTCTCTGTGGTGTTTTCGGGGTGTTTTGGGGGTCTCTGTGGTGTTTTTGGGGTGTTTTTGGGGTCTCTGTGGTGGTTTTGGGGTGTTTTTGGGGTGTTTTTGGGGTTTTTCGGGGTGTTTTGGGGGTCTCTGTGGTGGTTTTGGGGTGTTTTGGGGGTCTCTGTGGTGGTTTTGGGGTGTTTTTGGGGGGTTTTGGGGGTTTTTCGGGGTGTTTTGGGGGTCTCTGTGGTGTTTTTGGGGTGTTTTTGGGGTGTTTTGGGGGTGTTTTGGGGGTCTCACGCTGTCCCCACCCCCCCAGGACGCGCTGATCTTCCTCAGGGATTTCGCCGCCGCCTTCCTCGCCCACCTGAGCCCCCCCCCGGGACCCCCCCCGGGACCCCCGCCCGGTACCGGGGGTGGGGGGAGGGGCTGGGGGGGGAGGGGCTCCAGGGGGGGAGGGGCTCCCGGCTTTGGGGGTCCCCTCACTGTTCCCCTCCCCCCCCTCCTCCTGCAGCCCCCCCCCGGGATCGGGGACCCCCCCCGGCCGGAGCCGCCCCCGGAGCGGGACCCCCAAACGGAGACACCCCCGATCTACTTCCGGTGGGACTGGGGGCACTGGGGGGGACTGGGGGGGACTGGGGGGGGACTGGGGGGGACTGGGGGGGACTGGGGGGGACTGGGGGGAACTGGGAGGGGCTGGGGGGGACTGGGGGGCACTGGGAGGGACTGGGGGGGACTGGGGGGGGCTGGGGGGGACTGGGAGGGGATTGGGGGGGACTGGGGGGGGCTGGGAGTGACTGGGAGGGACTGGGGGGGACTGGGAGAGACTGGACTGTCCCAGGCTGACGGTGCTGTCCCCGTCCCTGTCCTGTCCCCTCTGTCCCCAGCGAGTTCCGTTTCATGGCCGATGTCCCCGTCTGGTTGGATTACCGCGGCAAGCGCGTCACCATGGAGCAGGTGAGGGGGGACAGGGGGTGACAGGGGGTGACAACAGTGACGGGGGGTGACAACAGTGACAGGGGTGACAGGGGCACACAGCCCCGCGGCCGTGTCCCGGTGCCACCATTCCCCAATGACCCTGCGCTGTCCCCTCTCTGTGACCCCTCTGTGTCCCCCCCTGTCCCCCCTGTCCCCCCCTGTCCCCTCCTGTCCCCTCCTGTCCCCCCTGTCCCAGGGTGCCCTGGCCGGGATCCTGATCGGACTGGCGCGGCTGAACTGCTCCGAACTGCGGCTGAAACGGCTCTGCCACCGCCAGGGGTGGGACACGGGGGACAATGGGGACAGTGGGGGGACACCAGGGACAGTGGGGACATGAGGGGATACTGGGGGACAATGGGGGGACACCAGGGACAGTGGGGGGACATGGGGGAGACCAGGGACACAATGGGGGGACAATGGGGGATACTGGGGGGGATAATGGGGGACACCGGGGGGACAGTGGGGGGGACAATGGGGACAGGTGGGCACTGGGAACAAGAGGGACACTTGGGGGACACTTGGGGGGACAATGGGGACAGTGGGGGGACACGGGGGACAGGGGGGGACACGGGGGACACCAGGGACAGTGGGGGGACACTTGGGGGACACTGGGGTGGACATGGGACAAAGGGGCCGGTGGGGGCCTGGGGGTTCTGTGTGACCCCAGACTCACCATTGCCATGTCCCCCCGTGTCCCCCCCTGTCCCCCGTGTCCCCCCCATTGTCCCCCCAGGCTGCTGGGGCTGGGCCGGGTCGTGTCCTACGCCGTGTCCGAGTGGCTCCGGGACATTCGGTGTCACCAACTGCCGGGGCTGCTGGGGGGGGTGGCACCGGTGCACGCGGTGCTGCAGCTCTGTGAGTGCCACCGTGTCACCGTGTCACCGTGTCACCCGTGTCACCGTGTCACCGTGTCACCCGTGTCACCCGTGTCACTGTGTCACCGTGTCACCTGTGTCACCGTGTCCCCAGTGTCACCGTGTCCCCAGTGTCACCTGTGTCCCCAGTCCATCCCAGTATCCCCAGTGTCCCCAATGTCACCCCATCCCCAGTGTCCTCGGTGTCCCCCCAGTCCCTCCCAGTCCCCCCCAATCCCCTCCCAGTCCCCTCCCAGTCCCTCCCAGTCCCCTCCCAGTCCCTCCCAGTCCCTCCCAGTCCCCTCCCAGTCCCTCCCAGTCCCTCCCAGTCCCTCCCAGTCTCCCCCAGTCCCCCCCAGTCCCTCCCAGTTCCCCCCAGTTCCCTCCCAGTTTCCCCCCAGTCCCTCCCAGTCCCTCCCAGTCCCCCCCAGTCCCTCCCAGTGCCCCCAGTACCGCAGTGTCCCTCCCCAGGGCGCGCTCTCCGGGATCTGCTGCTGCTGCCGCTGCCGGGGGGGGGTCCCGGGGGTGTCACCCACAGTGTCACCCGTGGGGTGTCGGCTCTGGGCGCCGCCTCGGCCAGCGCCGCTCTGGGGCTGTGCACGCGGCTGCTGCGGGCGCTGCAGGTGGGACCCCAACACCCCAAAAATACCCCCAAAATCAGCCCAACATACCCCCCAAAATACCCCCAAAACCAACCCAAAATACCCCCAAAAATACCCCCAAAACCAACCCAACATACCCCCAAAACCGACCCAAAATACCCCCCGAATATCCCCTAAATCCCCTCAAAATACCCCCAAAACCAACCCAACATACCCCCAAAATCAGCCCAACATAACACCCAAAATCAACCCAAAATACCCCCCAAATCAACCCAACATACCCCCCAAAAATACCCCCAAAATCAACCCAAAATACCCCCCAAATCAACCCAACATACCCCCAAAATACCCTCAAAATACCCCACAAATCCCCTCAAAATACCCCCCAAAACCAACCCAACATACCCCCCGAATATCCCCAAATCAACCCAAAATACCCCCAAATTCAACCCCAAATACCCCCTGAACACCCCCAAATTCAACCCCAAATACCCCCCGAATATCCCCAAAATCAACCCAAAATACCTCCAAAACACCCCAAAAATCCCCTCAAAATACCCCCCAAAAATCAACCCAAAATATTCCCAAAATCCTCCCCAAATCCCCCTAAAACACCCCAAAATCTGCCCCAGATCCCCCTAAAATACCCCAAAATCCCCCCAAACCCCCCCGGGGGTCCCTCCCGTGTTTTGGGGTCGGGGCTGTGACCTTTGACCCCCTCAGGCTTTGGCCGAGGCCCTTTTCGGACTCGTGGCCCCCCCGGAACCCCCCCGGCGCCAGCGGCTCCCAGTACGGACCAGTATGGACCAGTTTGGGGTCTGGGGGTCCCAGTTTGGGTCAGGGGGTCCCAGTTTGGGTCAGGGGGTCCCAGTTTGGGTCAGGGGGTCCCAGTTTGGGTCTGGGGGTCCCAGTTTGGGTCAGGGGGTCCCAGTTTGGGTCAGGGGGTCCCAGTTTGGGTCTGGGGGTCCCAGTTTGGGTCTGGGGGGTCCCAGTTTGGGTCTGGGGGTCCCAGTTTGGGGTCTGGGGGTCCCAGTTTGGGTCTGGGGGGTCCCAGTTTGGGTCTGGGGGTCCCAGTTTGGGTCAGGGGGTCCCAGTTTGGGTCTGGGGGGTCCCAGTTTGGGTCAGGGGGTCCCAGTTTGGGTTTGGGGGTCCCAGTTCGGGGTCTGGGGGTCCCAGTTTGGGGTCTGGGGGTCCCAGTTTGGGTCTGGGGGTCCCAGTTTGGGTCTGGGGGGTCCCAGTTTGGGTTTGGGGGGTCCCAGTATGGCCCAGTTTGGGGTCGGGGGGGTCCCAGTTCACCCTGGGGGTGCTGGGGGGGGTGCTTGTGCCTCCCAGTACATCCCAGTCCATCCCAGTCCATCCCAGCACATCCCAGTCCATCCCAGTCCATCCCAGTCCCTCCCAGTCCATCCCAGTTCCCCCCCTCTCTCCCCAGCGCCTCCCCGGCTCCAGGACCGGCCCCGCCCCCACCGAGGGACTGGGGGGGCCCCGGCCGCGACCCCACCCCCAATAAACTGGGAGACACTGCTTTTACTGGTTCTTACTGGTTTTACTGGTTCTTACTGGGACTGGGAGCTGGGACTGGGGCTGCTTTTACTGGGACTGGGACTGGTTTTTACTGGTTTTACTGGACTGGGACTGGTTTTTACTGGTTTTACTGGACTAGGCCTTACTGGTCCTCACTGGTTTTTACTGGTTTTACTGGACTGGGCCTTACTGGTTTTTACTGGTTTTACTGGGACTGGGACTGGTTTTTACTGGTTTTTACTGGACTGGGCCTCACTGGTTTTTACTGGGACTGGTTTTTACTGGGACTGGGAGCTGGGACTGGGACTGGGACTGGTTTTACTGGGACTGGGACTAGTTTTTACTGGTTTTACTGGACTGGGCCTTACTGGTCCTCACTGGTTTTTACTGGTTTTACTGGGACTGGGACTGGTTTTTACTGGTTTTTACTGATTTTACTGGGCTGGAGTGGTTTTACTGGACTGGGCCTCACTGGTTTTTACTGGGACTGGTTTTACTGGGACTGGGACTGGTTTTTACTGGTTTTACTGGTTTTACTGGACTGGGCCTCACTGGTTTTTACTGGGGGGACCCGGAAGCGGCGCACGCGCCGGGGGGCGGGGCAGGAGCCGCGCGGACACGCCCCTCCGTGACGTCACATCCGACAGACGTAACGTCACATCCTGTAGACGTGACGTCACCGCTCTGCGTCGCGGAAGGAGCGCGCGGGACGGCGCCGGTGGGTGGGGGAGGGGCGGGGGGGGTTGGGGGTCCCAGTTTGGGGTCTGGGGGTCCCAGTTTGGGTTTGGGGGTCCCAGTATGGCCCAGTTTGGGTCAGGGGGGTCCCAGTTTGGGTCAGGGGTCCCAGTTTGGGGTCAGGGGTCCCAGTTTGGGTCAGGGGGTCCCAGTTTGGGTCAGGGGGTCCCAGTTTGGGTCAGGGGGGTCCCAGTTTGGGTCAGGGGGGTCCCAGTTTGGGGTTGGGGGTCCCAGTTTGGGGTCAGGGGGTCCCAGTTTGGGTCGGGGGGTCCCAGTTTGGGTCTGGGGGTCCCAGTACGGCCCAGTTCGGGGTCAGTGTGGCCCTGCCGGCGTGTCTGGGGCCGTGGGGACACAGTGACACGGTGACGCAGTGACACAGTGACACAGTGACACAGTGACAATGTTGACAGTGTGACACGGTGACACGGTGACACGGTGACACAGTGACACAGTGACAGTGACACGGTGACAATGGTGACACGGTGACAATGGTGACACGGTGACAGTGACACTGGTGACACGGTGACAATGGTGACACGGTGACAATGGTGACACGGTGACACGTCTGTCCCCGCAGCCATGAGCAGCGATCTGGACGTGTTCGTGGGGAACACGACGCTGATCGATGAGGAGGTGTACCGGCTCTGGCTGGACGGACACTCGGGTGCGGCCCCGTGTCCCCTCGGTGTCCCCAATGTCCCCACTGTCCCCAATGTCCCCTGAGTGTCCCCAATGTCCCCTGAGTGTCCCCCCAATGTCCCCAATCCCCCCAATGTCCCCACTGTCCCCAATGTCCCCAATATCCCCATTGTCCCCAATCCCCCCAATGTCCCCAATATCCCCATTGTCCCCAATCCCCCCAATGTCCCCAATATCCCCATTGTCCCCAATCGCCCCAATGTCCCCAATGTCCCCTCACTGTCCCCCTGTCGCAGTGGCGGAGGCGGTGGCGCGGCGGCTCCGGGGCGGTGTCCTGGAGCGGGAGGGCACCTCGGTGGCGGTTCTGCAGAGCGACACCCGCGACCATTACAGAACGTTCCAGATGCTGGAGCGGCTCCTGCACGCGCCGCCCCGCCTGCTGCAGCAGCTGCTGTTCCAGATCCCGCCCGAGCGGCAGGCCCTGCTCATACAGAGGTACTGGGGACTGGGGGGACTGGGCAAACTGGGAACACTGGGGGGCTGCTCATACAGAGGTACCGGGGGGGACTGGGAGCACTGGGAACACTGGGGGGACTGGGAGCACTGGGAGGGACTGGGAACACTGGGGGGCTGCTCATCCAGAGGTACCAGGGGGACTGGGGGGGACTGGGCAAACTGGGAACACTGGGGGGCTGCTCATACAGAGGTACCGGGGGGACTGGGAGGGACTGGGCAAACTGGGAACACTGGGGGGCTGCTCATACAGAGGTACCGGGGGGACTGGGAGGGACTGGGCAAACTGGGAACACTGGGGGGCTGCTCATACAGAGGTACCGGGGGGACTGGGAGGGACTGGGCAAACTGGGAACACTGGGGGGCTGCTCGTCCAGAGGTACTGGGAACACTGGGAACACTGGGAACACTGGGGGGCTGCTCATACAGAGGGACTGGGGGCACTGGGAACACTGGGAACACTGGGAGGGACTGGGAACACTGGGGGGGCTGCTCGTACAGCGGTACTGGGGGGACTGGGGGGACTGGGAGGGACTGGGAGGGACTGGGGGAATGGGGGCACTGCTCATACAGTGGTACTGGGCAAACTGGGAACACTGGGAGGGACTGGGAACACTGGTGGGGCCTTGGGGAAATGGGGGCGCTGCTCGTCCAGCAGTACTGGGGGGACTGGGCAAACTGGGAGGGACTGGGAACACTGGGGGAATGGGGCCCTGCTCGTCCAGAGGTACTGGGACAACTGGGAGGACTGGGAACACTGGGACCACTGGGGGGACTGGGGGGCTGCTCATACAGCGGTACTGGGCAAACTGGGAGAGACTGGGAGGGACTGGGAGGGACTGGGGAAATGGGGGCGCTGCTCGTCCAGCAGTACTGGGAGCACTGGGAGGGACTGGGGGGCTGGGGGAATGGGGGGATGGGGGCGCTGCTGGTCCAGTGGTACTGGGAGCACTGGGAGGGACTGGGGGGGCTGGGGCGCTGCTCGTAGAGTGGTACTGGGAGCACTGGGAGCACTGGGCAAACTGGGAGGGACTGGGAATACTGGGGGAATGTGGGGGCTGCTCATCCAGTGGTACTGGGGAGACTGGGAGCACTGGGAGCACTGGGGGCACTGGGGGGCACTGGGGGCACTGGGGGGCACTGGGGGGCACTGGGGGCACTGGGAGCACTGGGGGGCACTGGGAAGGACTGGGGGGCACTGGGAGCACTGGGGGGCACTGGGGGGCACTGGGGGCACTGGGGGCACTGGGGGGCACTGGGGGCACTGGGAGCACTGGGGGGAAGAACTGAGGAAGCAGCTCCGGGCATCGGGCGCGGTTTGGGAGTTTCAGGAGCAGATTTTGGGGCTCGGGGCGGGGTTTTGGGGATCCCCTCAGTTTTGGGGTGGGGTTTTGGGGATCCCCTCAGTTTTGGGGCCCCCTGAGTTTCTGAGGTTTCTCCCCCATTTCACTTCTCCCCCCATTTTTGGGGTTTCCTCCCTATTTTGGGGTTTTCTCCCCCTGCTTTTGGGGTTTTCTCACCATTTTTGGGGTTTCTTCCTCACGTGCCCCCCGATTTTGGGGTTTTCTCCCCATTTTCGGGGCCCCCCCAGGTACTACGCCTTCGACGAGGCCCTGGCCCGGGAGCTGCTGGGCAAGAAACTCTCCAAGGGCACCAAGAAGGAGCTGGACGAGGTCAGCGCCCGCACCGGGGTCGGGATCCGCAGCTGCCGCCGCCAGGTGGGACCCCGAAACCGGGCTGGGGAGAAACCCCAGAAATGGGGGGAAAAAAAACAGAAATGGGGGAGAAAAACCTCAGAAATGGGGGGAAAAAACCCAGAAATGGGGGGGTGAAAGCCCCAGAAATGGGGGGAAAACCTCAGAAGTGGGGGGGGGAAACCCAGAAATGGGGGGGGGGAAACCCCAGAAATGGGGGGGGAAAAAAACCAGAAATGGGGGAAAAACCCCAGAAATGGGGGGGAATTTCCAGAAATGGGGGGGGGGGGAAAATCCCAAAAACTGGGTGGGGGAAAAGAAATGAGGGGAGAAACCCCAAAAATCGGGGGGAGGGAAGTCCCAAAAAGTGGGGGAGGGAATGTGAAAAATGGGGGAGGAAATTGGAAAAATGGGGGAGGAAATCTGAAAAATGGGGGGAGGAAATCGGAAAAATAGGGGCATGGGGGAAACAAGGAAAAAACCCCAAAAACGGGGAAAACCCCAGAAACGGAGGGCTTTGGCTGAGGGAGGGGGTCTGGTCCTGCTGGGGGGCTCGGGGGGCGTTCGAGGGGGTTTTCGGGCCCTGGGGGCGTTTTGGGGTGCAGGGGGAGGCCCTGGGGGGGTTTTGGGGTGCGGGGGGAGGCCCTGGGGGGTTTTGGGGTGCGGGGGGAGGCCCTGGGGGGGTTTTGGGGTGCGGGGGGAGGCCCTGGGGGGTTTTGGGGTGCTGACCCCCCCCTGCCCCCCCAGTTTGACAACTTCAAGAGGGTTTTTAAGGCAGTGGAGGAGCTGCGGGGGCCCCTGGCCGAGAACATCCAACAGCTCTTCCTGCTGCCCCCGGCCCTGGCCCGGTGCGATGGGGGGCAGAGGGGGCTGGGGGCTGCACCCAAGGGTGCGGGGGGGGGCCATGGGGGGGCTGGGAGCACCCAAGGGTGCTGGGGGGGCCCTGGGGGGCCCTGGGCTCAGGGGGGCTCGGAGGGCCCAGCAAACGCTCCTGTGGTTGGGGGGCTTTGGGAATTTGGGGAGGAGTCTCGGGGTGGTTTAGAGTTTTGGGGGGGATTTTGGGAGGTCTTGGGGGGTTTGGGGGGGTTTTAGGTGGGGTTTGTGGGTTTTAGGGGTTTTGCGGGGATTTTGGGAAGGTTTTGGGGGTTTTAGAGGTTTTGCGGGGCTTGGGTAGTTTTGGAGTTGGGATTTTGGGGATATGGGGGGTTTGGGGGGTTTTGCGGGGATTTTGGGTGGGGTTTGGGGAGGTTTTGGTGGTTTTAGGGGCTTTGGATGGGGTTTGGGGAGGATTTTGTGGGTTTTGTGGGTTTTGCGGGGATTTTGGGGGTTTTATAGGGTTTGGGTGGTTTTGGGGTTGGGGGGATTTTGGGAGTTTTGTGTGGGTTTGGAGGAGGTTTAGGGGTTTGGGGAGGTTTTGGGGTTTTGGTGGGTTTTGGGGGGTTTTAGGTGTTTTGGTGGGGTTTGGGGGGATTTTGGGGGTTTTGCGGGGGTTTAGGTGGTTTTGGAGTTAGGGGGATTTTGGGGGTTTTGGGGTTTGGGGTTTTTTGGGGAGTTACAGGGATTTGCTGGGGGGTTTAGGGGTTTGGGGAGGATTTGGGGTTTTGCAGAGTTTCAGGGGTTTGGGGAGGATTTGGGGTTTTGCAGAGTTTCAGGGGTTTGGGGGGGGGTTTGGGGTTTTGCGGAGTTTCAGGGGTTTTGGGGGGTTTGGGGGGGGGTTTGGGGGCAGTTTTGGGGGGGAGGGACCCCCTGACCCCCTTTTCCCCCCCACAGGGACTACGCCGCCATCGTGTTCTTCGCCAACAGCCGCTTCGAGACGGGCAAACGGCGGCTGCAGTTCCTGAGCTTCGCCGACTTCGCCGCCTGCGCCCAGAGCCTGATGGGCCACTGGAGCCAGGGGGCCCTGGGTGCGCGGGGACACCCTGGGGACATTGGGGACAGCCTGGGGACATCCCTGGGACACCCCTGGGACACCCCCGGGGAACACTGGGGACACCCCTGGGACACCCTGGGGACATTGGGGACACCCTGGGGACATTAGGGACAGCCTTGGGGACAGCCTGGGGACAGCCCTGGGACACCCCCAGGACAGCCTGGGGACAGCCTGGGGACATCGGGGACACCCTGGGGACATTGGGGACATTGGGGACACCCTGGGGACATTGGGGACACCCAGGGGACAGCAGTGACCCTGGGGATGTCCCTCTTTCACGTCCCTGGTGTCCCTGTGGCTGTGCCACCCCCACGGTGTCCCTGGGGCTGTCCCTGACCCCTGACCCCGCTGTCCCTGACCCCTGACCCCTGACCCCGCCATCCCTCCCGCAGCGCCCGAGGCGGCCGAGCCCGACGGGGACCTGCCCAAGTCCTTCCTGCAGGACCTGAAGGAGCTGAAGGTGCTCGTGGCCGACAAGGACCTGCTGGACCAGCACAAGAGGTGACACCGGGGACACCGCGGGGACAGGGACACCCCCGAAACGGGGACACCCCCAATTGGGAACACCCCTGGGATGGGGACACCCCCAGACAGGGACACCTCCAATTGGGGACACCCCAGGGTGGGGACACCCCCGAAACGGGGACACCCCCCAATTGGGGACAGCCCTGGGATGGGGACACCCCCAGATGGGGACACCCCCGAGGAACTGTCCCCCGAAACGGGGACAGCCCAAAAAAGAGCACCCCAAACTCCACGGGGCGCCCCAAAACCGGCCTCTCTGCCAAAGGGGCACGCCCCGACTCCTGGGTGCCCCCAAAACCCGGTGGGTGCCCCCGATCCCGGGGTCCCACCGAATTCCATGGGACACCTCAAAACTGGTTCCCCCAAAAGCTGCAGTGCCCCCCCAAAAACTCGAGTACCCCCCAAAAACCCCAGTGCTGCCCCAGAAATTGCCGTGTCCCCCCAAAAACTCGAGTACCCCCCAAAAGCCCCAGCGCCCCCCAACCCTGGCACCTCCAGGCGCTGTTTTTGGGGTGCGGGAGGGGCTGCCTGGGCCCCGAGGTGGGGTCGTGGTTCCGGGGGTCCCCGGGCCCCCCCAACCGCCCCCTCCCCCCAGCCTGGTGTGCTCGGCCCTGCGGGGGAAGATCTCGGTCCACAACGAGCTGGAGGCCAACTTCAAGGTGAGCCCCCCAAAAACGGGGTGTCCTCAGGGGGGAGGGGTCTCCCAAAATCCCTGGGGGCCGCTTGGAGGGGGAGGGGCCTCCCCCAAAATCCTGGGACCCCCGCAAAATCCCGGAGGATCCCCCCTGCACGTCTGTGGGGGGAGGATGGGTGGGCAGGGGGGATTTGGGGTCCCCAAACTCCTGAGAGCCCCCCAAGGTCCTGGGGGTCCTTTCTGGGGGGCTCAGGGGGTCCTGGGAGAAGGGGGGTCCTGGTTTTGGGGTTCCACCAAGTCCTGGCACCCCCAAAGTGCCGGGTCCTCCCTGGGGAGGGGTTCGGGGAGCCCCCCCGGGTTTGGGGGTGCCCACGCCCCCCGCGCCCCCCAGGCGCTGTCCCGGGCCCTGGTGAACGTCGGGGGGAAGTTGACCCACGCCCGCGACGTTCGGGATTTCTTCGTGGACCTGGTGGAGAAGGTGAGGGGCACCCCGAAAACGGGGGCCCGGGAGACCCCCGGGACTCCTGGGCTGGGACCCCCCCAAAATCCGGCCCTAAATCCGGGTGCGTTTTGGGGTCCCGCAGGTGATCGAGCCCTGCCGCTCCGACAAGTGGAGCCCGGGGGACCTGCGGCTCTTCCTGACGCACTACACGGCGGCACCCCGAAACCTGCCGGGCTTCAGGTGAGCTCCAAAACCCCCCAAAACCACCCCAAAACCACCCCAAATCCCCCCGAAACCTGCCGGGCTTCAGGTGAGCCCCAAAACCCCCCGAAACCACCCCAAAACCACCCCAAAACTGCCCCAAATCCCCCCGAAACCTGCCGGGCTTCAGGTGAGCCCCAAAACCCCCCAAATCCACCCCAAATCCACCCCAAATCCACCCCAAAACCACCCCAAAACCACCCCAAAACTGCCCCAAATCCCCCCGAAACCTGCTGGGCTTCAGGTGAGACCCCAAAACCACCCCAAAACCACCCCAAATCCCCCCAAAACCACCCCAAATCCCCCCGAAACCTGCCGGGCTTCAGGTGAGCCCCAAAACCCCCCAAATCCACCCCAAAACCACCCAAAGCCACCCAAATCCCCCTGAAACCTGCCAGGCTTCAGGTGAGCCCCAAAACCCCCCAAATTCACCCCAAAACCGCCCCAAAACCACCCCAAAACCGCCCCAAATCCCCCTGAAACCTGCCGGGCCTCAGGTGAGACCCCAAAACCAGGACCCCCCGGATGTTCCCCCGCAGCCTTTTCGGGGAACCCCAAAAGCGCCCCGGAGGGGGGCTGGGGGTGGTTTGGGGGCCGGGGGGGTTCCCCGAAGCTGAGGGACCCCCAAACTCGCCCCGTCCGCAGGCACCAGGCGCTGTGGGAGCGCTACATGGCCGCCATCAGCGCCTGCCTGCTGCGCATGTACCACGACTGAGCCGAGAACGGCGCCCCAAAAACGGGCACGGCACCCCAAAAACGGCATGGACCCGGGAATGGACACAGCCCCACAAACAGCGCCCCAAAAATGGACACAGCCCCACAAACAGCACCCCAAAAATGGGCACAGCCCCGGGAATGGACACAGCCCCACAAACAGCACCCCAAAAACGGGCACAGCGCCCCAAAAACGGCATGGACCTGGGAACGGACACAGCCCCACAAACAGCGCCCCAAAAACGGCATGGACCTGGGAATGGACACAGCCCCACAAACAGCACCCCAAAAACCGGGACCCCAAAAACGGACACAGCCCCACAAACAGCGCCCCAAAAACAGGCACGGGCTGGGAACGGCGCCCCAAAAATGGACACAGCCCAAAAATGGACACAGCCCCACAAACAGCGCCCCAAAAACGGGCACGGCCCCGGAATGGACACATCCCCACAAACAGCACCCCAAAAATGGGCACGGCCCCGGAACAGTGCCCCAAAAACGGCCCGGAATGGACAAAACCCCACAAAAAGTGCCCCAAAAACCGGGACCCCAAAAATGGACATGGCCCCGAAAACAGCACCCCAAAAATGGACACAGCCCAAAAATGAGCACGGCCCCAAAAACGGCCCCCCAAAAACGGACCCAGCCCCCAAAACGGGGCGCCCCTGGGGAAGGAAAGGATCCGGGAGCTGCAGCCCAGAACTCGGACACCCCAAAGATTGGGGTACCAAATGTGGGACCCCAAAAAGGAGCGGGGCTCCCAAAAACCCGACAGGACGGAGGATCAGCGCCCCGAAATTTGGGGTTTGGAGAACCACGAGCACCGGGACACCCCAAATGCGGAGGATCCAGGAGAGGCAACGCCCCAAATATTGGGACATTTGGAATGGGGCGGACCCCAAAAAAGGGGTGACCCCAAAACCAGGACACCCCCCAAAACCAGAACCTCCCAACTTAACCACACGGAGACTCCCCAAAATCGGGGGTCTCTGGCAATCGGGACTCCCCAAAATGGGGGCGAACCCCAACCCTGGGGGCCCCAAAAGTCGGGGGTGCAATAAAGAGCTGAAAGCGGAGCTGAGGTGGGGGCGTTTGTGGGGGGCAGCGGGAGGGGTCCCCGAAATTTCGGGAGAGGGGCGGGTTTGGGGTGGGAGGGGCAGAAGTTGAGGGTCCCCAAATCTCAGCGAGGGGCTGGGGGGGGGGGGGGGGGCCAAAATCTGAAAATGAGGAGAGGGAAGTGGGGGGGTCCCCAGAGCTTCGGGGGGGAGGGGCACTGAGGTGGGGGAGGGGCACTGAGGGGTGGGGGAGGGGCATTGAGGGGTGGGGGAGGGGCACTGAGGGGTGGGGGAGGGGCACTGAGGGGTGGGGGAGGGGCTCTCCCGCGCTCCGGGGCCAATTTTGGGGGAGGGGAGGAGCTTTTGAGCCTGGGGGGAGGGGCCAGAGCTGAGAGGGGTAAGTGAGGCCGCGGGGATTTTGGGGGGGGGGGCGCCCCCCCCACGGCGGGGAGCCCCTCGAGATGCCCCTCCCCCACAGAGACGCCCCTCCCCCCCCCCCCGAGCCCCAGAGGGGGCTTTGTTGGGGGAGGGGCGTCCCGGGGATGGGGGGTGGGGGGGCTCCCAGGAGGGGGCTGGGCCCCTCTGGGGGGTTGCGGAGTTTGGGGTGACCCCCCTGCCGCCCCCCAGCGCCATGGGCCCCCCCTCGCTGCTCCTCCTCCTCTTCCTCGGCGCCACCGTGGCCCCCGCGGCCCCCCCGGATCTGGAGGAGCCCGAGGATTACGCGGTGGGGAAGGGGCGATTTGGGGGGGGGGCTCGGGGGGGGTCCCGCTCCCGCTCCCAAAACTTCTCTCCCCACCCCCCCAACACCTGAGTGCCCCCCCAAAAACCTGCTTGGCCCCTCCCCCAGTCCCAAACTTCTGGAGTTATGGGGGGGGGGGTGGTTGTGGGGGGGGGGTGACCCCCTCTCTCTCGCCCCCCCAGGAGTGCAGCGATGGGTACGAGTGGGACCCCGAAACGGAGCACTGCAAAGGTGGGGGAGGGGATCTGGGGGGTCCCCAACCCGCGGGGGGGTTTCGGGGTCCCCCGTTTGTGGGGGCGGCGCGGAGGGTCCCGGGGTTTGGGGTGTCCGGGGGTGCCGCTCCCCCCGCCCCCCGGGGATGTTTTGGGGCTCTCAGGGGGTCTGGGGGGGGAGTCGGGTGTCCCTTCTCGCTGTCCCCCCCCAGGGGTGTTTAGGGGGGTCCGGGGTTATTTCAGGGGGGCGTTGAGCCCCTCTCGTGGGGGGGGGGCTGCGGAGGAGCGGTTGGTGGTCCCGGGGAGTGTCCTGGGGGGGCTCGGGGGAGATCTTGGGGCTGATGTGGGGCGGGGGGCCCCTCTCAGGCTGTTTTGGGGGGCGGCCCCTCTCAGGCTGTTTTGGGGTGGGGGGCCCCTCTCAGGCTGTTTTGGGGGGGCCCCTCTCAGGCTGTTTTGGGGGGGACCCCTCTCAGGCTGATTTGGGGGGGACCCCTCTCAGGTTATTTTGGGGGGGGGCCCCTCTCAGGCTGCTTTGGGGGCTCCGTGGGGCCATTTTTTGGGGAGGGGTCCCCTCTGACCGTGCCCCCCGCCCCCCAGACGTGGACGAGTGCGCGGCGGAGGGGCCGCGGCCGTGCCGGGGCTCCATGAAGTGCCTGAACCATTTTGGGGGGTACCTGTGCCTGCCCCGCTCGGCCGCGCTGCTCAGCCCCGCCCCCGGCCCCGCCCCCGCCCCGCCCCCGGCCCCGCCCCCTCCCCGCCAGGCCCCGCCCCCCGACGGCCGCTGCCCCCCCGGCTTCGGCCCCGCCCCCGACGGCACCTGCGCAGGTGAGGGGGGCGTGGCTACGGTATGCAAATCAGCGGGCGGGGCTGTGGGAGGGAGGAGCAAAGGGAGTGGGTGGGGCCGGTTGTGGGCGGGGCTTGTTGGGTGGGCGTGGTTTGGAAGGGTGGGGGGGGTCTCAGGGGTGGGGGAGGGGCTGTGGGGGTCATTTTTGGGGGTCCCGGAGCTCCGCCCCTCCTGTGCCCCCCCCAGACGTGGACGAGTGCGCGGGGCCCCCCCCGTGCCGGCCCAGCCAGGACTGCATCAACGTCCCGGGGGGCTTCGAGTGCCGCTGCCCCCCCGGCTACCGGCACCGGCCCCCCGAGTGCGTGGGTCAGTGGGGCCGGGGGGCTTGGGGGGCCGGGACGGGTTTGGGGGGTCTGGGGTGGGTTTGGGGGGTCTGGGGTGGGTTTGGGGTGGGTTTGGGGTGGGTTTGGGTGTTCTGGGGTGGGTTTGGGGGTTCTGGGGCGGGTTTGGGGTGGGTTTGGGGTGGGTTTGGGCTGGTTTGGGGTGGGTTTGGGGGGTTCTGGGGCGGGTTTGGGGGGTCTGGGGTGGGTTTGGGGTGGGTTTGGGGTGGGTTTGGGTGTTTCCGGGGCGGGTTTGGGGGGTTCTGGGGTGGGTTTGGGTGTTTGTGGGACGGACAGGAATGACCTCTGGGTGTGGGTCCCCAGGGGCAGTTTTGGGCTGGTTTGGGGTATTTTTGGGTGTTTCTGGTGCAGATGAGGCCGAGTGCTGGGTGTGGGTCCCCGGGGGTGTCCATGAGGTGGTTTTGGGGTATTTTTGGGTGTTTCTGGTGCAGATGAGGCCGAGCGCTGGGTGTGAGTCCCCAGGGGCAGTTTTGGGCTGGTTTGGGGTATTTTTGGGTGTTTCTGGAGCAGACAAGGACGAGCACTGGGTGAGGGTCCCCGGGGGTGTCCATGAGGCGGTTTTGGGGTGGATTTGGGTGTTTCTGGGGCAGACAGGAATGACCTCTGGGTGAGGGTCCCCGGGGGTGTCCATGAGGCAGTTTTGGGGTATTTTGGGTGTTTTTGGGGCAGACGAGGACGAGTGCCAGTTCCGCTGGTGCCAGCACAGCTGCGCCAACTCCCCCGGCGCCTTCTCCTGCCGCTGCCACGCCGGGTTCAGCCTCGGCCCCGACGGCCGCTCCTGCCTCGGTCAGAGCCCCCCGAGCCCCCCCGGCCCGGCGGGGAGACCCTCCCCCGCTCTGTGGGGCAGGGCAGCCCCCCCTGACGCCCCCCCTGACGCCCCCCTGCCCCCCAGATGTGGATGAGTGCTCCATGGGCGCCCGATGCTCCCAGCGCTGCCTCAACACCTTCGGCTCCTTCCGCTGCCGCTGCCGGAGCGGCTTCGTGCTGGGCAGCGACGGACAGAGCTGCCACGGTGAGGGGACAGGTGGGACAGGGACAGGGACAGGTGGGACAGGTGTGGGACAGGGACAGGTGTGACAGGGACAGGTGTGTGACAGGGACAGGTGTGACAGGGACAGGTGTGTGACAGGTGTGTGACATGGACAGGTGTGTGACAGGGACAGGTGTGACACAGCCAGGTGTGTGACAGGGACAGGTGTGACATGGACAGGTGTGTGACAGGGACAGGTGGGACAGGGACAGGTGTGTGACACAGCCAGGTGTGTGACACAGACAGGTGGGACAGGGACAGGTGTGACAGGGACAGGTGTGTGACAGGACAGGTGTGACAGGGACAGGTGTGACATGGACAGGTGTGTGACACAGCCATGTGTGTGACAGGAGCAGGTGTGTGACAGGGACAGGTGTGTGACAGGTGTGGGACAGGGACAGGTGTGTGACAGGGACAGGTGTGTGACACGCCCCTGAGCCACGCCCAGGTGTGTGACACGCCCACAGGGGCCTGGCCCCGCCCCCTGCTGGGCAGGTGTGGCGCGGGCGTGGCCGGGGTGGGGCCGAGGGACCCTCGGGTGTCACCGTGGGGTGGGGGGTGGCTGCGTCCCCCCCGGTCGGGTCTGACCGTGTCTCTCTGCCCCCCCCGGGGGTCTCTCCCCCCCCTTTGGGGTCTCTCCCCCCTTTGGGGTCTCTCAGACGTGGACGAGTGCCGGGCGGGGGTCCCGTGCCAGCACCGCTGTCAGAACCTCCCGGGGGGCTTCAGCTGCCTCTGCCCCCCCGGCTACGCGCAGGAGGGGGGTCTCTGCCGGGGTACGGGCTGGGGGGGCCGGGGGGCGGTTTGGGGGTGGTGGGGGGCGGTTTGGGGGTGGTGGGGGGCGGTTTGGGGGCGCTGGGGGGCGGTTTGGGGGGGCTGTGGGGCCGTTTGGGGGCGCTGGGGGGCGGTTTGGGGGGGCTGTGGGGCCGTTTGGGGGGGCTCCAAGGCAGCACAGGAGCTGTTTGTGATGGGTGGGTGGGGCTGGGGGCTCTGGGGCTGATTTGGGGGGCTGTGGGCAGCTTTGGGGGGCTGTGGGCGGTTTGGGGATGATTTGGGGGGGCTGTGGGCAGGTTGGGGGCTCTGTGATCAGGGTGGGGGGGCTGTGGTCAGGTTTGGGGGGGCTGTGGGCAGCTTTGGGGGGCTGTGGGCAGGTTGGGGTTGATTTGGGGGGCTGTGGGTAGCTTTGGGGGGCTGTGGGCAGGTTGGGGGGGCTGTGACCAGGTTTGGGGGGCTGTGGGGCACTGGGGGGCTCAGCCTCCCCCATATCCCTCCCCCCGTTCCCCTCCAGACCGGGACGAGTGCTCCGAGGGCTCCCACGAGTGCGGGGGGGCCCAGAGCTGCCTCAACACTTTTGGGGGGCACCTCTGCGTCCCCCGCGAGCTCTGCCGGGGGCCCTACGCCCCCCACCCCCGCAGCAACGGGTACGGACCCCCTTCCCGCCCCCAAAATGGGGGGGGGGGGGGGGCTCCTCCTTGTCCCATCCCGGGGGTCCCTGTGACCCCGAGAGCTCCGGGCAGTTCTGGGGGGGGTCTCGGGGTGGGGGTCTCGGTTTTGGGGACCCCCCCCACGCCCCTCTCTGGGCCCGCAGGACCTGCGTGTGCCCCCGGGGGGGTCGCGGCTGTGCCCCCCGGCCCCGCTGGCTCCTGCACCGCTTCCTGGCGCTGCCCTACATCCGCGACGTGCCCGCGGGCATCTTCCAGCTCCGGCACCCCCCGGGGGACCCCCAAAGGCTGCGGCTGCGGGGGGGCCCCCCCGGCACCTTCCGCCTGCGGGTACCGAGGGCCGGGGGGGCTTGGGGGGGCTGGGGGGGATTCTGGGGGGGCTCAGAGGGATTTTGGGGGAGCTCGGAGGGATTTTGGGGGGCTCGGAGGGATTTTGGGGGGCTCGGGGGGATTTGGGGGGCTCAGAGGGATTCTGGGGGGGCTCGGAGGGATTCTGGGGGGGCTCGGGGGGATTTTGGGGGGACTCAGAGGGATTCTGGGGGGGCTCGGAGGGATTTTGGGGGGCTCAGAGGGATTTTGGGGGAGCTCAGAGGGATTTTGAGGGGTTTGTGGTGGGGCTCGGCAGGAACCGGGGGGGGCTGGGACGGATTTTGGGGGCGCTCGGGAGGAATTTGGGGGTATCTGGGGCAGCTTTGAAGCAATTTTAGGGGGGTCTGGAGGGAGGTTGGGGGGAGCTGTGGGGGAGTTTGGGGGCCGAGTGCTGTCCGGGGTCCCGGAGGTGTCTGTGACTGTATTTGGGGGGGGTCGTGGGGAATTTTGGGGAGGGTCGGTGGGGATTTTGGGGAGGGTCGGTGGGGATTTTGGGGGGGTTCGGTGGGAATTTTGGGGAGGGTCGGTGGGGATTTTGGGGAGGGTCGGTGGGGATTTTGGGGAGGGTCGGTGGGATTTTGGGGGGGGTCGGTGGGATTTTGGGGGGGGTCGGTGGGGATTTTATGAGGGGTCGGTGGGAATTTTGGGGGGGGGTCGGTGGGAATTTTGGGGAGGGGTCGGTGGGGATTTTGGGGGGGGTCGGTGGGATTTTGGGGGTCGCCGTGTGACCCCGCCCCCCGCAGGCGCTGACCAATCACAGCTCGCTGCTGGAGCTCGTGCGCCCCCTGGCGGGCGCGCGGCAGCTGCTGCTGGAGGTGGAGCTTCTCCGGCCGGGGCCACGCCCACCGCCCCAGGCCCCGCCCACCGCCACCGAGGCCCCGCCCCCCAGCGCCTGGGCCCCGCCCCCCAGCGCCTGGGCCCCGCCCCCTCCCGATGGGCGTGGCCTGGCTTTGCTCCGCCTCCACCTGTCCATGGGCGCCCACCCGTTTTAAGGGGGGGGACACCCCCAAAACCGCCACCGGGACCCCCCAAACGCCCCCCGGGACCCCCAGATGGGCCCCGGGGCCTCCAAAACCCCCCCGGGCTGAGCCTCGCCCCGCCCGGGACCCCGAAATTTGTTCCCGAAGGGATCGGCCAAAGAATCCCCAAAGAAATGTCTGGGACCCCCGGAGTGGGGCACAGAGCGAGTGTCAGCGCTGAGCTGTGGGGTGTGCCGGGAACTGGGAGGGACTGGGAGGGACTGGGAGGCACTGGGGGGGGACTGGGAGGGACTGGGAGGGAACTGGGAGGGAACTGGGACAAACTGGGAGGGAACTGAGAGGAACTGGGGGGGACTGGGAGGGAACTGGGGGGGACTGAGATGGGACTGGGAGGGACTGGGAGGGAACTGGGACAAACTGGGAGGGAACTGGGAGGAACTGGTGCCCCCCAAGAGCCACACGGACACTTCTGCCTCCCTCTCCACACGGGGGCGCAGTTTATTGGCCCCGCCCCGCGTAGCCCCGCCCAGGGGGCGTGGTCAGGGCCCCACCCGCACGTGGGGGTTGTTGAGCGGCTCGAGGGCGGGGTCAGAGTCGGCCCCGCCCCCGCCCAGAGCGGCCAATAGCAGCAGCAGCAGCGCCGCGGCCGCGGCCCCGCCCAGGCACAGCAGCAGCAGCAGGGGGCGCCGCGGGACCCCCCGGGCCCGGCACCTGCGGGGAGGGGCGGATGGGGGGGCACGGGGGGAGACCCGGGGGGACCCCCTGAGAGACCCCCAGAGGGACCCCCCCAAAAGGGACCCCCTGAGGGACCCCCCAAAGGGACTCAGGGACCCCCCAAAGGGACCCCCAAAAGGGACTCAGGGACCCCCCAAAAGGAACCCACAGAGGGACCCACAGAGGGACCCAGGGACCCCCCAAAAGGAACCCACAGAGGGACCCCCAGAGGGACCCCAAAGGGACACCCAAAGGGACCCCAGAGGGACTCCCAAAAGGGACCCCCAAAAGGGACCCAGGGACCCCCAGAGAGACCCCCAGAGGGACCCAGAGACCCCCCAGAGGGACTCAGGGACCCCCCCAAAGGGACCTCCCCAAAGGGACCCCAGGGATGCCCCCAAAAGGACCCAGGGACCCCCAGAGGGACCCCCCAAAGGGACCCCCCCAAAGGGACCCCATGCCACCCCCAGAGTGGCCCCCCCAAAGCGCCCCCCGGGTCCCCCCCAGCCCCACCTGAGCTTGGGGGGCAGCCAGGCCAGCGGCCGCCGCCGGTACTTGTCCTCGTCGTGGTCGGGGGGGCTCCGGGCCTCGCGGCCCCCCAGGGGCTTCCGTGGGGCAGAGCCTGGGCGGGGGGAGCACAGGGGGACCCTAAAACCCGGCCCGGGGCTGGGGACCCCCCGCTGTGCCCCCCGGAGCCCCCAGACTCACCGGCGTGCAGCGTCGGGGTCTCGCCCCCCATGTGGACGACGGCGTGGGGGGTCGGGGGGCTCGGGGGGGGCTGGGGCGGCGCCAGGGGGGCTGTGGGGACAGAGCCGGGGGTTGGGGGCTGCCCCGGGGGGCTGGGGGGGCTCAAGGGTTGGGGTGCTCCAGGAAAGATTTGGGGGGGGTGAGGTGTCCCAGAGGGTATTGGGGTCCCATGGAGGGGCTTTGGGGGAGTCCCAGGAGGGCTCAGGGGAGGGATGGGGCGCCAGGGAGGATTTTGGGGGTCCTGGGAGGGTTTTTTGGGGGCTCAGGGTGCCAGGGAGGATTTTGGGGGTCCTGGGAGGGTTTCTGGGGGCTCAGGGTGCTTGGGAAGATTTTGGGGGTCCTGGGAAGGTTTTTTGGGGGGGGTCCAGAGTGGTTGTGTAGTCCCAGGGGGAATTTGGGGCCCTCAGAGGAGGAATTGGGGTGCCCAGGGAACATCTCTGGTGAGTTTTGGGATGCGGGGGGGGTTCAGCTTCCCGGGCAGAAAGGCGGGGGTGGTCCCAAGGGGCTCTGCGGGGTCCCAGGGGTGCTCCTGGGGGCTCTGTGGGGTCCCAGGGGTGCTCCGGGGGGCTCTGCAGGGTCCCAGGGGTGCTCCTGGGGGGCCCGGGGGTGGTTTGGGGGCAGCTCCGCACCGTCCCAGCCCCCGTCGGGCTCCGCGGAGGTCTCGGGCTCCGGCAGCTCCTCCGAGTCCTCGATCTGGGGGGGGTTTGAGTGTTTCAGGGCAGTGTTTGAGGCACTCGGGGGTGTTTGGGGGCGGTTTTGGGTGTCTGGGGGCACTCTGGGGTGTTTCTGGGGGCACTCTGGGGTGTTTCTGGGGGCAGTTTGGGTGTTTCTGGGGCAGTTTGGGGGCAGTTTTGGGTGTCTGGGGATATTCTGGGGGCAGTTTCAGGTGTCTGGGGTAGTCTGGGGCCCCCCGGGCTGTTTCGGGGCACTCTGGGGTGTTTCTGGTGGCAGTTTCAGGTGTCTGGGGGCACTCTGGGGTGTTTCTGGGGGCAGTTTGGGGGCAGTTTTGGGTCTCTGGGGGCACTCTGGGGTGTTTCTGGGGGCAGTTTGGGGTGTTTCAGGGCAGTTTGGGGGCAGTTTCAGGTGTCTGGGGGCAGTTTGGGGGCAGTTTTGGGTCTCTGGGGGCAGTTTGGGGGCAGTTTCAGGTGTCTGGGGGCAGTTTGGGGGCAGTTTTGGGTCTCTGGGGGCACTCTGGGGGCAGTTTGGGGGCAGTTTTGGGTGTTTCAGGGCACTCTGGGGTCAGTTTTAGGCACTCTGTGCCCCCCCAGCCCCCGTCCCGCCCCCGTCCCTCACCAGCGGCAGCCCCAGGCCGGGCCGGGCCCACGGCGCCGTGCGCAGCCGCTCCCGCAGCGCCTCCGCCACGGGCCCCTGGAGGTTGGGGGGCGGGAAGAGCGGCCCCCCGCACTGGGGGCAGCGGTGCCCCGCGGGGGCCGTGCTGGGGGGCAGCGCCCGCGCCCACGCCGCCAGGCAGGGCCAGTGGAACACGTCTGGGGGGAGGGCAGGGGTCAGGGCACCCCGGGACCCCCAGATCCCACGGTGCCCCCTGGGACCCCCAGACCCCCCCGTGCCCCCCACCCACCATCTCCCCAGAGCCATCCCCATGCCCCCCAGATCCCCCTGTGCCCCCCGTGCCCCCCACCCACCATCCCCCCAGAGCCCCCTGTGCCCCCCAGAGCCCTCCCCGTGCCCCCCAGGACCCTCCAGGCCCCCCGTGCCCCCCACCCACCATAACAGACCAGCCGGAAGGTGCCTCCCGGGACCCCCCAAACCCCCAGGACCCCCCTGTGCCCCCCAGACCCCCGTGCCCCCCGCCCACCGTAGCAGGGCAGCCGGACGGTGTCGCGCTGCCCCAGCGGGCTGTGGCACAGGGGGCACTGGGGGCTGTAGTCGCTGTCCTGCAGCCACTGCAGGTACGACCGCACGATGCACTGCGGGGCACGGCGCTCAGCGGGGGGGCACCAGAGACCCCCGGGGAGCCCCCAGAAAGCCCCGAACCTTCCCCAGCCCCACAGAGACCCCCACAGCCCCCCTGAGACCCCCAAACCTTCCCCAGCCCCACAGAGCCCTCTGAGACCCCCCAGTGCCCCCCGAGACCCCCTGAGACCCTCCCCAAGACCCCCAAACCTTCCCCAGCCCCACAGAGCCCCCCGCGCCCCCCGAGATCCCCAGAGCCCCCCGGATCTCCCCCAGCCCACCAGAGCCCCCCGGAGCCCCCCGCGCCCCCCACGCCCTCCGAACCCCCCCCAGCCCCCCGGAGCCCCCCAGACCCCCCGTGCCCCCCGAGCCCCCCGAACCTCCCCCAGTCCCCCAGAGCCCCCCGCACCCCAGAGATCCCCAGAGCCGTCCGAATCTCCCCCAGCCCCCCAGAGCCCCCCAGAGCCCCCGCGCCCCCCACGCCCTCCGAACCCCCCCCAGCCCCCCGGAGCCCCCCGCCCGCCCCCAGCCCCACCTTGGGGTGCGCGCTGACCAAGCAGCTCTCGCAGACGTTGACGCGGTGCTCGAAGCAGAACAGAGTGGTCACTCTGCGCTTCGGGCACTTGCACAGCCCCATGGCGGCCTGGGGGGGGCGGGGGGAATTGGGGGGGCCGCGGCTTCCCGAGCCCCCCAGACCCCGCAAAGCGGCGCCCGGCGCTCCCCGGGATCCCCCCGGAGCCTCCCGGACCCCCGGGACCCTCCCGGGACCCCCAAAATTCCCCCCAAATCCCCCCAACCCCCCCCCCTCCTCACCGTTCCTATGGCGACCGCGCTGCCCCGCTGGCGCTTCCGGGTGCGTCGCTCCTGGATGGCGTCATCGGAAGCGCGGCCGCTCGGCGTGACGTCACTTCCGGCCGTTCGAACGGCCATGGCGGGAGCCGCGGGCGGGCGGCGCTCGGCGGGGGCGGCCCAGAGGGGTCCGTGGGGGTCCCGAGGGGGGATCTGGGGGTCCCGGGGGGGATTTGGGGCGGGTGTGGGGCGGCGATGGGGCTGGGGGGGGTCCTGGGGGGAACCCATCGCGGTGAGGGGGCCCGGGGGTCCCTTTGAGGCCTGGGGGGTCCCTTTCGGGTCCTGGGGGTCCCCTTCGGGTCCTGGGGGGTCCCTTCGGGTCCTGGGGGGTCCCTTTGAGGTCTGCGGGGTCCCCTTCGGGTCCTGGGGGGTCCCTTTGAAGCCTGCGGGGTCCCTTTCGGGTCCTGGGGGGTCCCGGGGGGTCCCATGAGTGACACTCGGGGGTGGGGTGGTCCCGGGGGGGATTTGGGGCTGGGGGGGTTCTATTGGGTCTGGGGGTGCCTCGGGGGGACCCTGAGGGAATTTGGGGCTGGGGTCGGGGGGGGGTTCATGGACTGGGGGTGTCCGTCCTTCGGCTCTGGGGGGGACTCTGAGGGGTTTGGGGTGTCCCTGGGGGGGGTCGCGACCACCGCCCCCCCCCACGCCCCCCACCTTTGCCCCCGCAGTGCCGCGACACAGCTCCGAGCGTCTGGTGGTCTCGTCGCCCCGGGGTGCTCCCCCCTGGGGACCCCCACCCCACAGCCCCGTGAGTGGGGGGCGGCTCTGGGGGGCGGGGGGAGGGTCCCAGAGGGTTGGGGGGGGTCCTGGGGGGGGGTCCCGGTTTGGGGGCTCACAGACCCTCTCCCCTCCCCTGCAGGACTCGGAGCGGCCCCGGAGGAGCCCTCGGGTGCGTTTGGGGGGAGGGGCCGCGGTGGGGAGTGGGGGGTCCTGGTAAGGCCGGGACCCCCCTGACCCCCCCCGCCCCTCCCCACAGCTGCGGACCCAGAAGGAGAACGACCCCTGCCCCTCCCCCTCCCCCTCCCCGCGCCCTCCCCCCTCCCCGCTCCCCTCCCCCATCGCCGCCCGCGTCCGGCGCTCCTACAGCCGCCTGGAGGGGGGAGGGGGCGCCCCGCGGGGGCTGGGGGGGTCCCCGCTGAGCCCCCTCCCCCTCAACCTGCCCCCCGAGCCCCCCCAGATCCCCCCCCTCGACCTGCCCGGCATCGGCGGCGGCCCCGAGCGCAGGAGGAAGAAGAAGGTGACGCCCATTGACGTGAGTGACGCCCCCCCGCGACCCCCGGGACCCTCCTGTGCCCCCCCTGCGCCACCAGGACCCTCCTATGCACCCCCGGGACCCCCCTGTGCCCCCCCAGGGACCCCCGGGACCCCCCTGTGCCCCCCCAGGGACCCCCGGGACCCTCCTGTGCCCCCCCAGGGACCCCCGGGACCCTCCTGTGCCCCCCCTGCGCCACCAGGACCCTCCTATGCACCCCCGGGACCCCCCTGTGCCCCCCCAGGGACCCCCGGGACCCCCCTGTGCCCCCCCAGGGACCCCCCTGTGCCCCCCCTGCGCCACCGGGACCCGCCAGGACCCCTCTGTCCCCCCTCATTGCCCCCATTTCCCCCCCTCAGACCCCTCAAGTGCCCCCCTAACGGGCCAGGGGTCCACCACCCCCTCAGCATCCCCTGGACCCCCCCCGTGGATCTGTGGGACCCTCACCCCCCGGACCCTCCCCATTGCCCTGCTGCTCCCTGCAGCCCCCCGTGCCCCCCATCCCCAATGCCCCCCATCCCTGAGCCCCCCACCATCCCATCCGGTGCCCCCGCAGCTCTCGGAGCTCGAGGCCTGGGCCGCTTCCATGAACGCGCAGTTCGAGGAGGCCGAGAGGTTCCCGCTCGTCGTGGAGTGACCCCGAGACCCCCGGGACCCCCCCATGCAGGAGAGACCCCCACGGGACCCCCACGGGACCCTCAGGGGACCCTCAGGACTGGGGGGTCCTTGTGCAGGGACCCCCCCATGCACAGCCCCTCCCCCGCCCTGTGGGACCCCGAGGTGAGACCCCCGTGGGGGGGGAGGGGCTGTGTGGGACGCCCCCCCATGTGTGGGACCCCCCCCATGTGTGGGACCCCCCCGGAGCTGTCAGCACCCCCCCGCCCCCGCCCCCCCCCCCGTTTGTTGCCCATTAAACGAGTTTTTGTCGTGGCTCTGCCGTGTGATGATGTAATTGTGACGTCACAGCACCCGAAAAGGGTTAATTTCTCATTGCGGGGGGGCGGGGCGGCGCTGCAGCCAATCAGCGCGCGGCACGATGACATCACCCACCTGGGAGGCGTGGTCAGCGCCAAGCCACGCCCCCAGAGGCGGAGATTGCGCGTCCCAAACCCCCCCAAAATCCCCCCAAATCCCCCCAAATCCCCCCGTCCCTCCCCCAGCCATGGAGCCCCCCCGAGCCCCGCCCACCCCCGAGCTGGAATTTGGGGGGC